TGGGTTTTTGATTCTGGTTTCGTATCACTGAGGCATGAGGCACCTAAACAGAGCTGGGACATGCGTAAGTCTGTTCTAGGAGTGAGCTGGGAGTAACACAGGGGCCAATTCGCATTGTGTGTGCAGCTTAGCAAGATTTCTAAACTGTCTCAAGACGTCCAAGAGCAGGGCACATGGGACAGAAAGAACAGCATGAGCCAAAGTATTCGGGAAAGAAAGCCTGCATTCAAGAAGGCACCTGACTCCAGGAGTGCAGCAAATAGTGACCCCTGTCAAGGGGAGGGCGACGTTAGGAGGGGTAGAGGTCAAAGCGCACACCCGTGGATGTGGCAGGCCACAGAGGGCCAGGAAACACTTGTCGCAAGGAAACAGAATCAGAATTGTGTGACTGAGGACAAAAGCACTTGCCAAGAGGCTGGTACAGTATTCTAGGTGATGGCAAGTCAACTACAACAGCTAGGGACGGTGAGACAGGGAGACGTGACACCAGGGAGGAGGTCAGAGAAGAGGGCAGGAGAGTTGAAGATGGCTGTAGGAGAGGCTGTGGTCAGCCCGAAGTCTGCTGACACGTTAGCTTCCCCATGCTGAGTCTCCCCCAGGGCTCAGCCAGGAAGCAAGCCAGACACATAGTGACGGGGTGGTGGTCTATGGGGGTTTAGTCCATCTGGTTGAGCTTGCCACTGGGTGGGAGTGGGGGGCAGGAGGCCAGGAGGTGCAAATCCCTGTGGTGAGTGGACAGCGTGGTCAGTTGCAGCATGTCTCAACAGCATGATGGATCATTCTGGAAGCTGAGAACCAGAGAGTCCAACCAGATGGAGCAAACTGTCTCCTATCCAGGAGGTGCAAGTCCAATGTGCAGCACCCAGTCCCACCCAACTTACCTCAAGAGTGTCCTGGTCACCAGACCAAGCCAAAAAAATGAGATTTAGGCAGTAAGAACTCAGGTCCAGGAGACACTAGTAAAACTAGGAAATGAGGGTGAAAGCCACTGGGCCACAGGCAGACCCAGTCTGAGCCTCTAGCCAACACAGGTCCTATCAGCTTGTGGGCAGGGGTTCTAGGTACATGACCAGGCTTGGCTGAGGGGTGGAGGTGGGGTCTAGTGTCTCCACAGGTACAGTGGAAGAGGCTGGAAAGCCCATGTCCAATCCCACGTTCCCTTCCCCAGCCCTCAGCACAGCCTCAAGCACTTAGGCCAAGAACTGACCAATGACTTTATAACCTTTGTCTACTTTCTATTTTACTGGGAGGACAGACTTGCTTCTCCGTCACTCTTCTTTTGGTACCTTCTGGAAAGAAAGGAACCCACAGTGAAACGGTAGGGAAAGGGCAAACCAGGAAGACAGGACAGACTCTGGCCACCGATGGGCCCATTCATTCTCACACAAGGCCAACACTGAGTGTGCTGTGTGCTGCCCGTTGCATGGTATCCTTATCTCCACTCCTGCAGTCCTCTGCTGGAGGGTATTGCCCCCAAGCACAAGGGAGCCCCAATATGAGTGGGGCAGGTGAGCGATGGAGAGATGTGGGGGTGGTCTCAGCAGGCACTGGATCCAGGGCTCTGCGACACTCCTTGAGATTATGAAAGTCCTTCCCCTACCTCAGGGATGTGCCACACATACTCTCCACTAGAGCAAGGAGAGGGGAGCTCTCCCAGCTGACCTGGTGCTCTCACCCTCTCTGACTCTCAAATGCTCTCAGCAATTGCTTTAGACTCTCCTGACAAAGGAACTGGCCACCTCCCCCACAGCCTGGGAAACTGCTGATCACTGGCAACCAACAGCCAGGACAAGTGGCACTGGCCTGGGCCCTGACCCAAGGCTAGAGCATTCCATTTCAGTTTGAAGCCACTCTAACATCTTCCCCACACCCCTGCTCCTTGACTTGAGGTGAGTTGAGGGTTAGAGGCGCCCAGCAGGGAGACCATTAGGGAAAGAGCCGCTGTGAAACCATCTCAGCTGTTCTTGTGGGAACCTGGAGGAGCAGAGGGGATGAGGAGACCAAGGTCTGAACTGGAAAGTCAGAGGTGTCCTGAGGTGGGCACCAGCAGGTGACGCTGGGAACACTGCTCACCTGACCAGAAGGAAATGCATCATCTGATCTCTGGATGGCATGTCCTTGGGAACCTCAGAGAGGTGACTGCGCATTCCTGAGCCCAGAGTCCAACTAGGAGACTGAAATAGGCATAATGCCAGGCTCTTTCACACCATCTCACTGAATCTTTGGGCTTACTCTTAGGTGGGAAAGCCCATAATTCTCCATATTTCACTGAAGGGGAAATTAGAGCCCAGAGGCATTAAATAACTGATCTAAGGTCACACCACCAAGGAGAGAAAAGCTGGGTCCAAATTCAGGTTTGGCTGCCCCAAGAACCCAGGCTGTCTGTCTCTTGGTGAGACTAGAAAGAAGAACAATGTTGAGGAATTCAGGCTTCTTGATGGGGAAATGATAGCAGTTAGATCTTAAGATACATATGTGACCATTTCACTGGGTAGTATTCAACAGCAACACTCACTCTATTTTTGATCACACCTCATAAAGACCCTTATGAAGGAAAACGGCAGAAATGACAAGTGTGTTTGGAGAGAGAAGGAGTATTTTAAGAGGGATGAATGACAATGTATCCTGTACTTTAATAAATATTTTTAAAATTCTTTTAAAGATTCCCATGTGGAAGTCCCATAGCCAGTAGCTCAGAAGGTGGAGTCTTTGAAAAGGTAATTAAGCCAAAATGACATCATTGGGGTGAGTCTTAATCCAAAATGACTAATTTCCTTCTCAGGTCACAGGCACACAGAGAGAAGACCACAAGAAGACACAGGGAGAAGCTGGCTTACCAACCGAGAAGGGAGTTTAAGACACCAATCCTGCCACCATCTTGATCTTGGACTTCTGACTTCTAGAACTGCATGAAAGTAAGTTTCTATTGTTCAAGCCACCCAATCAGTGGTAATTTGTAATGGTAACCAAATACACTAATACAAACTCCCACTTTGCGAAGTGTTGTTTTCCAGACATGATTTCAGAATATTTATAAGCAGTTACATTCAGAATAGAATTCCACTCAAGAGACAGGTAGGGAGGTTGGGGTATTACCGAAATCCCCCAAATCCCTTAACTAATATTCTTTTTTTATAAATCTCTGAACGTGGTATATATCTGTCAACTCCTTTTTCATTGTAATTCTCCTGACAATTACTACCCTCAGCCTCCTCTCAAGACTCAGAGGAAGATGACAGAAGGCAGTGGGTTACAGCACTGACCTTTCATATCCACAGGACTAGCTGGCCTTTTGGGCACTGACAGGTGGGACAGAGGCACCTGTTGGTAACCTGGGTGACTGTAATGTCTCGTGAAGTGTAACGTGTCCACACTGGGGTGCTCCCTCATCAGTGAGCACCCAGTGATTATTGAGGACCATCACATGATGCTGGACCAAAGAACTTTGACAACTGAGAAAACCAGACTGCAAAAAAAAATCGGCCCCTGAATTTTGAAAGTATTTAATTTCAGTACATCCTGTCATGAGTGAACATGAGTAAACACCCACAGAAAGGGTGAAGAAGAAAGCCCCTTTGAACTGCGCGGGGTGGGGGAGGGAGGAAATGAGAGGCGTTACAGCCACGAACCCAAGGATAGAAGGGGAGGCTGGAAATGAGTGTTTCAAAAAGCAAAAGTAGCCGGGGGTGTAACTCAGTGACACAATGCATTCTTAGTATATACATGGCTCTGGGTTCAATCCCCAGCACCAAAAAGAGAAAAAGAAGAAATAAATCTTACATAGTACATCTTCTGAAATATAATTGGGGAATTTTGTTCAAGAGAAAGTGTTAGGTCAAAGCTGCCTTGCAGGGAAGGTTTAAGCCTGTCTCCAACATTTTTCTTGATTTGTTAGTCAACAGTAAAAAAGGCACCGGAACAGGAATGCTCCTAAGGAAAAAAAACTTCATTTTTAGCACTCTGCAATTTGGTGGTCTTCAGACTTGATAAATTCTAAGTGGAAATCTTGATCATTTTTAGAACCTATTTCTGTGTTTTACCCAATCCAAAGACCATGAAAGCAGTGTGACAGGCATGGTTAAACCCTCTGTCTCTCACCTTAAGCAATGACAGTGAAGTTATGCTGTCTTCAAACACGCAGAAAAAGCTCTGCTCTAGAATAGCCCATACTGACATATGTGTAAAATATATAACGGCATGCTTTGTTTATTCCATCTTTACTCACATGTATAAAACAGAAGAGGAAAAAATATCTCCGTCTGACCTCATATTCTAGGAGAGAATATGTTCTAACCACACTTCATTACAAGTGTGAAAAATATGCCTTCTGAAAAGGAGAAACTGCGTATGTATGTGATATTTGTGCCCCGGGCTGGGAAGTGACCCGTTAGCTTTGGTTTTGCTCTGAGTGGCCGTGGACCCATACTCACACTTCAGTGGGACTGTCTTCAGGAGTCTCAGCTGAGCAGAAGCAGCTAGTCTGCTCAAAAATTCCCACAAAGCACACAAGAGGATTAAGCCTGACAGTCAAAGCAGGATAAGAAAGTATAAGAAACTCTTGGCCTCATGAGGGTGCAGAGGGAGTTTTGGGACAGTTGGCCAGCAGGTGCAATAGTCAAAGGTTGTCTGTTGGGATGGGCACCTCCAGAGACTGAGCCAGAGTGCTGAGTGCCCAGGCAGCAAGTGTCGAAGCCATAGAAGAGGAACTGGAAATGGTGGTCAGCAACAGTGAAGTGTGGCACCTATACATCATTTGAAAGAAAGTCTCAAACACAAATGGGGTGAAGAGACCAGAACGGTGGGCTGGGGCAAGGGTAGATTTCTTGGCATTTCCCCTGAGCATAAAGTCACAGTAATAATAGGTCAACAGACATCTGTTCCAAGAGTTCTATGTGAAGCTCTGACCCCAGGGTTGCAGAGTTTTGTCAAAATCCAAGACAGGAGTTTCCAGGGTTGCCAGGCAGAGAACATGGTTGGGGTTGTGAGTGAACTGGCTGCAGTATTTTCAGGGCATTTAATTCTACTACAAAATAACAGAAAAATAATTCTAATCACGAAAACCACATAGAACACATGAGTGTAGAACATAGATTTTTAAAAAGATGAAAGAAGTGGTTTCTCAAAAAAGTTAAACACAGAGTTAATCAAATGATCCAGCAATTGTAAGCCAGTGGTCATAGAAGCATAATTCATGATAGCCAAAATGTAGAAGCAACCACATCATCATGGTCATCAAGCAAGTGAATCAGCGAAGTAATATACATGTAATATTAGTCAGCCTTAAAGGAATGGAATTCTGAAACATGCTACAACATGAACCTAGAAAACATTCTGGTGAATGAAGTAAGCCAGACACAAAAGGACAATTACTGTGCAATTCCACTTAAATCAGGTACCTAGAGAAGGCAAAATAATACAGACAGAAAGAACACAGGATGCCAGGGACTCAAGGCCAGGAGAAATGAAGAGTTATTGTTTAATGCATCACACATTCTGTTTGACACAATGAAAAAATTGTGGACATGGATAGTAGCGATGGTTATACAACATCAAGAATGAATTAGTACTACCACATTGTACTTAAATATGCTTAAAACGGTGACTTTTATGTTGTGTACTTTTTTGAAAAGGATGAAGATGTTGCTGGTGGACAGAAAAGACAGAAGGGCCAGGTCATACAAAGAATGGATTGTGCCGCATCTAGTGAGACCGCTACGTTATCCCCAAGTCAGCCTCCATTGGTGACACCATTAGGCCCTCATCTGGCCTGACATATGCTTTGCCTACACACAGAGAAACCCATGGCTGCTTAGTGAGGCGCTATTTGACTGGGCGTACTCGCCTGTCATTTTTCTGATGGAGAAGACTGCTTCGGCTCCAGGCAGTTTCCTCTGCAGACCTCCTTGTTCAAACCTCCATGTTTGTAGCATAAGTAGCCTGTGAATAGGAAAAGCTGGAGTGCTCAGATGGACAGTGAGGCACTGGCCATCAGGCAGTGGTTCTTCCCCTCATTTGCACCCTAACCTGTGTGGGTTTGCCTCCCTCCCTCCCATCTTTCCCCTTGGAAACACTGGTGGTTTTTAAGTGATTCAATCAACCGTGGGACCTGCGCACCTTAATTCGGTCTGACGGCCTTTTTGTAATCACCACTGCATCAAGGACGTTTCTCACACAGTGCTGGAAAAGACAATCACTGTGCAAGAAATGGTAAGAAATTAATGTGAAAGGCAGTAAGGGCCGGAGAAAAATTAGAAGAAAGGAGTGGCCACAGGTTTCTCTGAGACCCTGAGATTTGTGCTGGGATTATGTGGGTGGTATGAAGCGGGCATGGTGCACAAGGTTATAATCTCAGCACTCAGGAGCTGAGGATGGAGGGTTGCTGTGAGTTTGAGGTCATCCTGGACTACACAGCAAGACCCTGTCTCCAAAACAATCGCAATAAAATGTGGTTGGCATGGTGTCAAGTCAAGGGGACTGGGAGAATGGGGCAGCCCAGGATGATGGGAAGCAGCAGAAAGAACACAGAAGCTTTTCATGTTACGTTGACCAAGAAAACACTCGGGCAAACAGCGAGGCCAGCCGCTGGGCCAACGGAGCAACCTGCCTTCACGACACAAAACCCACCTGTGTGTTCCAATGAATTTTTAATTTTGCCACCTACATTTTGTAGAGAGAATAATGGATGAACCAGAAGTGGTCCCTCAAAAATATCTCTTAGCTTTTGTTTTAATTTTATTTTACCGTTCAGTGCAAATTTACTTTTTTGCATGTTTTAATTTTATTGGTACATGTTAGATACATGTAATGATCATGTTTATCATAGGGAGTTTGTCCCTGTACATCATATAACTTGCTTCTTTTTTTTCCATTCCTTTCTCCTCCCTTCAACCCCAATTCCCTTGCTTATTTACAAAAAGTTCGTTCCCATTTTTGTTTCCTATGCCCTTCCCCCCTCGTTCCCTTTCTCATTTGAACATTTTGTTCCCATTTCCCAGTATCTATTACACATTTTAGCCCTCATTTATACTTTCACTTTCTCACGCCAGACAGACAATGCAATATTTAAACACGTGCACCCCACTTAGTTCACATTTTTTTAACATTAAAAAAATTACGCAGGAGAAAGGAAATAAGTTTTGTTGAATGAAACATTGATCTTGATGCTGTCAGTAATATACCCACTAGAAAAATGGGGAAATTGAAGGTCAGAACTGACCTTCAATGACCAGGCTGGTATCAAAACCCACATATGTTAGGCTGCACATCCTGTGCCCTTTTTCAAGGTGCCAAACTAGAGCAAATCTAGAGAAAATACGGTTCAGACCCAAAGTGGTATCCAGGTGGTCCTTGGGTCATCTAGAAAGGAAGACAAATCTTGTTACTCAGTTACTCAGTGAGGAGATTGAGGGTGCTAGAGTCTAGGAGAAAACACAAGATAAATGGGTTAGGGTCTAGGACACACTACAACATTGAGCGCCAAGGAGAGAAGACAGAGAAATGAATTAGTTAAAAATAGAGCCAGCTGGGTGCTAATTAGTTAACCTCTAATGAATGAGATAAAGAGCAGGATGCAATTACTGGCTGCACAGAGGGACCCAGGGTGTTTCCCTCCGCGGGTAAACCCCTGTGGGTCATCATGCTAACTCAAACTGAAAACGTGTAGAATCTAATTTTTTTCCATAAAAGAATACAGATCGTTTTACTGAATTTTTTTCTATATCTATTTTGAAGACTGCATAATTAAGAATCCGAGTTATATGGAAGATTATGTCTTACAGCAGAGACGCAAACCCTCAGAGGAGAGGCTCCCAGGAACAGTAATCCAGGCAGGGCCTAAGTAACTGGGGCTGTGGTTCACTGCAGAACAGCAGCCTCAAGAGGCTCCTTTGATGCCTCCACACCTGTGCTTTTCCTTTTTGTCTTTTCCAGGGCTGTTTATCTAAGGATCCCACTGAGCATGCCACAACCACAAAAAAGCAATATTTCAACAGAAATGAGTTGATCAGTCTTGCACAGCATCAAAAGCTATAGTGATCTGAATATAAAAAGTCCCCCAAAGCGGAGTGGCTGGGGAGGGTGGGGGCTTAGCTGCCAGCCAATGAGCTTTTAGAAGGTGACTGGATCATGGTGAGGTTTCTAACTTCATCAGTGGATTAGCCCACTGATAAACTGTTAATTGCATGGCACTTTGAGGAGAGAACAGGAAATAGGACAACTGAGGAGAGCGATCACTGGGCACAGTGCTGGGGGCTGCGTCGGGTCCCCACTCCTTCTCCTCTGGCTCTCTCACCTTCTGAGCTGCCTGGCTGCTATGAAGGATGCACCTTTCTTCTGCCCAGCTCTTCTGCTGTGTGTTTTTGCCTGGGCACAGGCCTGGCAGCAAAACAGCCAGCCTGCTGCAGACTAAAACTTCTGACACCAAGAGCCAAGAAAAACCTGTAGGTTATTTTCAGGCATTCTGTCACAGTGATGGAAAGCTGACTAACACAGAAGCCTTCTACTTTTTTTTTCTGAATTGTTCATTAAAGTTGGACATCATCGTTTAGAAACTGTGGGTAGGCGGCCACTTCCTTCTGTGGACCTGAAATGCAGAAATGCAGGGGCTTTAGAGTTTACAAAGAACTACAGGGCTTCTAAGGCTGCTCATTAGCTAGATAGGGCCCGCGTATCAGGCATCGAAAGCTCACGCTGAAAGCTCTGTTCTTCCTTATACTGCCCAGGACCCAGTCAAGCTGCACTATAATTGCAGTGAGTATTAACTGAGCCCTATATAATAAGACTTCAACTGGGTCAGGACATACAAGAGAGAAACAGGCAAACACCTGGTGGCCAGGACACATACTCCCTGCACTTACTGGGCAGCTCTGGGGATTATGTCCAGGGCCCTCTGCAGAATCATGGTGAACACCCCAAAGGTGACAGGGGTCTGGCAGTGGAAGCCTGTCAGCAGCATGCCACAGGCCTCCTGTCACTTTGTGTCATTTATGGCTTTACCAGAGAGGAAATAAACCCCCACAACCCCAGATTTTCTCCTCTTAATGTGATTTCAGGTCATTTTATTGTTTTCAATAAGACAAGCTTTAGTTAAAACACTTGTAAATGTGCTCCTATGTTTTCTTTTTATAAGAATTTTTATTTAAATAATTTCACAAGGTTAAAGAAATCCTTCTTGACCTCATATTCTGGTATTTGGTCTGGATAATATGTGCATGGTAGGATCTTTGTAAGATGATTTAGAGATTCTGTTGTCTTGACGAAAAGTAAATCATAATTACACAAATTTTTCTAGTTTTACAAGTGGTAAAATCAGGGTATGGGACAAGCAGCTGTCTTCAGATGACAATGAAAGTGACAGCTAGGTCCATACCTGGGTCCTCTTGCATCTAGGCTGGCTCTCTATCCATGGCATAGATTTCCCACAGAGCCTTTGCATCATCTTGGCTCTCTTGTAGTTTCAGACAATTGCTCATCTATTTTTAGCAGGCAAATTCACTGGGGAAGCGAGATGCTAACAAGTGAAAGGAAAAGCACATAAATACAAGGGCAAAATGACAGAGGGGAGACAACAATTAAGGATGAAAGGTTTGTAAGAGAAGTCGAGGACAACACGGCAAGCATAGCATTTCAGTGAATGAAACCCACTTTATTCACGACAGCCCTTTTCTTCCACAGTTCAGGTCCTTCCCTTTGTGCATCTCCAAGACATCTTATTTGTTCTTTTCCAATGGTATTTATTAGATTTTTCTCTGCAGCAACATGCACTGGCAATCACAGCCTGGCTGGGCCCACCAAACTGTAAACTCTATGAAGGTACTGTCAGTGTTTGGGATAAATTTGTTTTCTCCACTATACTTTGCATATTTGTTGAATGAATGACTAAATGAATAAGAAAATATGCATAGCTAGAGCGACTCAAAAACAGCCCATTTTTAGTTCCTGTTTATAAAACCTTTGGCCCCTAAAAATTTGTCCTTGAATACCTAAAGAAATTTCATCATAGTACTAAAGATATTAGTGTTTGGGTAAACAATTTGTTTTTAAATCAGTTCCAGGGATCGAACTCATGACTCCGTGCTTACAAGGCAGGCATTTATGCCACTGAGCTAAATCCCCAGCCCTTGGGTAAACAATTAAATAAAAACTGATGAACTTTGTGAAATTATCCTAAAGAAGGGCCAGAGAAGAGCTTCAGATAGCCCCTTATGCACAGCATTTTAGTGTACTTGGCTTTGGGGAGGATGACATGAAAATGATCTTGCAGAAAACAAAGGCATTTCAGGAGGAAGGTGCTGCTTGAATGACATTTCGAGATTAATTTAATTGAGGAAAGCATATCTACTGGAATTGGGATAGGATTGCACAAGGATAGATATTTATATTCAGCTGTAAGCCTCAAGGTGAAAATACTCTTTAACAAGGTGTTTACCACCAGGTGTTTGCCTGTTTCTCTCTTGTATGTCCTGACCCAGTTGAAGTCTTATTATATAGGGGTTGATAAAAGTGCACCTGCTCAGAATCATACCTGGTGAAATGCACCTCATCTGAAAATGCCCTGTCTTTTCATTTTATAGATGGAGAAATTTGACTAAAGCCACTCAGTCAAATGGTGGTGTAATCCAAGACTGAAGAGTTTACAGAGTAGTAAATCAAACAATGTGTCAAAGCCTTTTTAAAAGAGTACCTGGGTTAGAATCTCAGCTTTTTAAATCATTAAGAAGTGCCACAGTATCATCCTCAGAAAATTAATAGAGGCTTCTAAAGTAATTCGTGACAAAGTCACAGCTCCATCTTAACAAAAACAAAACTTTTAGGCCGAGCTTCAGAGGTTTTTCTGCCAGGTTCAGTCTAAACATGGAAGACTTTCCTCTGCTTTGTAGTCCCCACGTGATGGACAGACAGTTCTCAGCTGGACACATAAATGCTGCCTAAGGATACGCTTGGAGACACTGGTGTCTCTGCTTCCAGCATGAGATACCTCCTTGTTCTTTTGAACATTCCTGTTACCAGGTGTAGACACAAGATATCAGAATAACAAGCAAGGCCCCATTTTTGTTCGGGAAAGGGAAAAGACTTCCCTTTCCACTGCCAGCTTGCTACTAATTCATTAATGACTTTTTTTCAGGCAAGTTTTATTCAGGTACTTTGGGACACAGCAGTGAGTCAGAGGTTGACATCAAAACCAGAATAGAAGCCCTAGTTTTCCCCTAGGGATTTAACTCGGGGCTTCAAATTCCCAGATCACACAACTTCCTAATTGGAAAGAAATGTTCTTAAACAAGGGCAGGCATTTTGCTGGAGCCTGACAGTGACTAATAAGGTTGGTTAAAGACTGTCTAATGAAAGGGAAGTTGGATTTACACGGCATGGTGGTTGTTAAAGAGTATTTTCACCTTGAGGCTTACAGCTGAATATAAATATCTATCCTTGTGCAATCCCATCCCAATTCCAGTAGATATGCTTTCCTCAATTAAATTAATCTCGAAATGTCATTCAAGCAGCACCTTCCTCCCGAAATGCCTTTGTTTTCTGCAAGATCTGCTTACTGAGGAGCTGATTCACAAAGTTCCTGTGTAAGCTGACTGCTTCCCAGCCCCAGCCAGGAGACCAGTTGGAGGCCAGTTTTCTCTCATCTCTACACTGTACCCATTTAATTGTGGACCAAACGGCACACGCACTTCAATTTAAAATTATCTATGGTGCTTACTCATTAACAGATAAATACAGCGCGCTAATTTAAGTCTCATTTGCTGAAATTCACAGGACTCAAGACTAATTCCTGAGTTGGCAAGAAGGGGTTTGCTGTTCTATTAGTCTCTTTCAAAATCCAGGACATTGCATTCATAACAAAAGCGGCCCTAGGTTTAAATGCGTGAAGTCCGACGTTGCTGTCCCCTCTAGGGAACCGGCACGCAGGCGTGGGCACACACACGTGGACACACTCACACACACACGCGCGCGCGCGCGCGCCCGCCCACGCCCCCCTCCGTGTGACTCGCCTGTTGGATTTATGGGCTTCGCCACCACGGATTACTGTCAGGTGCAGAAAGCAATTCTTTGTTCTGCGGGGATCTTCCTCCTCCCGGATTCCACAGTTATTTACGGGTCACGTGAGTGCGGGGCCAGGCCAGGCCGCTGAGGAGGCGCCCCCAGCGCAGGGACACAAAGGATCCGCGTGGTCAGCGCCGCCCGGGACGCCTCTCGGTTCCTGCGACACGCGTGAAAAAAGCCCAGATCTCACAGCGACTGAAAGGCTCCTTTAAGAGACGTCCGGTTATCTCCGTAAAGAAATCGGTCTTTCCTGCAGCAGGGAGACTTCGGGGTCCGGCGGGGGCCGGATTTCTGAGCTGCGGTGCAGCAGTCTGGAGAGCGCGAATCAGCCCGGAACCGTCGAGGCACCGAGGACTCGGGCAGGGCGCATTCCTGGCGCGCTAGCGCAGCGAGTTAAATGCAAAGCCAGAGCCTCCCCACACACCTCAGCGGGAGGAACCGGAGCCAGGGCCCTCAGCCCTCCCCAGGGGAGCGGGCACAGTGGCTTCGCTTTGCTGCCCTCCCACCCGCCAAGGCCGGCGCCCGCGCTCGTGCGTCCTGCGGCGCCGCGCGTCCGCAGCGGTGGCCCTCACGGGCCGGGAGCAGGAGCAGCAGCTGCTTGGGCGAAAAATTTAAGGAAGGGGGAGAGCAAAAGTCCAACGATCAAAATAAGCATCTTACTGCAGTGTTTTTAAAAATTAATACAAAAGACCATAATGAGCAACATACTCAATTTTATAAATAAAAAACAGGACCATTTGCAGTGCCGTATTATTTTGAGATCTCAGGCAGAAAGATCCCCACGGACGAGCGGCGTCCCGCACACACCGCTGGCTCGGGGTATCGGGGATGCTGGGAAGGGAGCGCAGGTCGAAGGCCTCGGAAGCCGAGTCCCGCCAGGCCCCCAGTAGGGAGGGGACGGGCGGGCCCGGGGCTGGAGGTGCGCGCAGCGCCGAGCCGCTCCTCCCGGAACAAAGGCGCAGAGGAAGCCGCGAGGGCAGGGCCGAGCCGGGGCGGGAGGGGCCGGCGGGCTTGGCGGCCCTCGTGGCCTCCCTCCGCGATCCACGCGCTACCCGAAATGGAATATGCGACCCCCGCCGCCGCAGACGCCGCCGGCGAGTCCTGCGCTTCCCTCGCTCGGCGATTAATTCTAGCTAACAAGACTTGGCAAGATGTCGGGTGAATGATTTTTGGCTTCGGTGAGGGCCCCATCGCGTGCGCACACAAACCCCCTGCCAAAAGCGGCCTCTGGGAAATTAAATGCATAACTAAAACGGGGCGGGGGAGAGGAAATGCTTTGTGACCTGGAAAGAGAGATGCAAAGAAACCTGAATGGGCGCCAGAGTTCACTAAATGCTTTCAAAGGTCGCTCTTTGAGCGTATATTTTTTTCAGGGTTTAGCTGTACACCAAATGTGGACCCTGTTATTTCCTGAAAGGGCAATTCACAGATGGGGGGCGAGGGCCTCCCCCAAAGCCGAGAAACACCGCTCCCACCCCCACCGCCAGGATTAAACATCTTTTAGGAAGCGTGGACGCGAGTGCCGCCCAGTTCTCCCCGGTGGGAGCAATGTTCCGGTAATTAACGCCTCCCTCCGGGTGGTAAAGCACCAAACCCCACACCTCACTCCTATTCCTGGCCCTCAGGCGGGAGGGCTGTCTTTCATCTTCTAAATTGGGGTTTGCCCACGTTCCTCGGGAAAACTGTAAAGCTGATTGATTTAATGGCGTAAAGAAGGAAATCGATCACGCTAATGCATAAGGTAACGTCTGAGAAATCGCATTTTAAAAAACGACTGGCCAGGCCGAGAGCGCACGGTAAGTACAGGGCGAGGAGGTCCCAGGCCCTCCGGCCCGGGTGCTGGCAAGAGACCTCGGAGACTGCTGGGGACAGGGCCTAGGGGAGGGGGACAAAGAGGGATGAACCCTCACACCTGATCCGGGCCTCGGCAAGGCTGCTTCTCGGCGGGCTGTTCTTTGCGACGAAAGCCGCACAGCGTTGGGCGCGAGCGGCAGCGACCAGGCGCGGGGCGAACGGCGAGAGGCCGCCGCGCTCCATTCACAAAGTGCGGACGCCGCGGCTGGCAGGCGGGTCGGAGCCCGCCTCCCTCTTCGCCTCGGTCTCGGTTTTATGAATGGGCCCGGCCGCGCGCGCCCTGTTTACTCCGGTCTTTGTGACGTCGCGTCCCCGTGACCCTGCGCTAGCAGCCGGCGCTCCATTCAGGAGCCGCGGCGGGGGCGGGAGGCGGCCGGGGCGGGAGGAACGCGAGCGCGGGGGGCGGCGCCTGGCCAAGAATGGAAAGAGGCGGAGTCGCGGGAGGTAGTAATCCATCTCGCCTCCGCGGGGAGTGCAGAGGAGCATTAATAAATCTTGAAGCCGAGGAGGGAAGTCTTGCTAGGGCAGTGCGCGGAGCTCCGGCGGAGCGTAGGGGACGGCAGCGCGCGCACAGGCGGCGGCAGGAGCGGCACAGCTGGCAAAACACCCTCCAGGCGACCGCGGAGGGGCGCCGGTGCCCTCTCCCGTATACACATTCCTCCTCCCCAGTACTTCCCCTCCGCGCCGCGCGCCTGCCCGCCTTGGCTCCCGAGGTCGCTCGGATTGCTATGTAACAGCGAGGCAGTGGGAGGAAGGGGACTGGGGAGAGGAGGGTGGCCCGGGGAGCCTCTAGGGGCTGAGTTCACGGTTTTTCGTGCAGGCGCCTCGGCTTAGCCTGCACTCGCTCGCCCCTTCCTCTAGTCTCGGTGGTCCGGGTGCCCGTCGTCTCCTCGGGTGCCCATCAGCTGCGGTTCCCGGCGACCATGGTGACGATGGAGGAGCTTCGGGAGATGGACTGCAGCGTGCTTAAAAGGCTGATGAACCGGGACGAAAACAGCAGCGCGGGTGGCAGCGGCAACCACGGCACACTGGGGCTGCTGAGCGGAGGCAAGTGCCTGCTACTGGACTGCAGACCTTTCCTGGCGCACAGCGCGGGCTACATCCGAGGTTCGGTCAACGTGCGCTGTAACACCATCGTGCGGCGGCGGGCCAAGGGTTCTGTGAGCCTGGAGCAGATCCTGCCAGCCGAGGAGGAGGTGCGCGCCCGCCTGCGCTCTGGCCTCTACTCGGCAGTCATCGTCTACGACGAGCGCAGCCCGCGCGCCGAGAGCCTTCGCGAGGACAGCACCGTGTCGCTGGTAGTGCAGGCGCTGCGCCGCAACGCCGAGCGCACGGACATTTGCCTGCTCAAAGGTAAGCGCGGACACAGGGGAGCGAGCTGGAGGGGAAGTATGGGGGCCCTGGCGGCCTGCACTATATTTGACTTGGGGATGAGTACCCTGGTGGCTCCAGGCTGAAGGAGCCGGGTGCGCTCCTTTGTGCGCGTTGCTGTGCGCCGGTGCGTTGCTGTGCTGATGCAAGCACCCAGTCCTCTGGTGCTGTGCGGGCGCATTTCCCTGGTCACCTGCAATCCCTTACGCGTCGTGACGATACTGCGCTTACTTATACTCACTACGGCTTCTGGCGTGGAGGGCAAAACGACTCCTCTCTGTGGCGGGCTATCGTTGAATCACGGAAAGAGCTCCCGGTGCGGATGGGGACAAGATTGGCCCAAGGTACTGAGTCTCATCACAGTAATACGTGGGATGGGGAATGGGTAAAGGAGTGAGCGTCAGGGTGCCATTGGCCCCGCGGGTTCCATCGGAAGCCATCTCTAGGGATGAGAACTGGACAGTAAACTGTGTCGGGAGCGATGCAGTGTCGCCTCCCCCCCCCCCCGCCCCGCGTCCCAAGTCCCAAGTCCTGGAAGGTGGCTCCGGGAGCCGGAGGCCGTAGGACGGTATATCTGGGGTCTCCGGGCAGAACCCTGCCTCTGCTCGCTGCCAGTCCGGGCAGCGGCGAATTACGAACTTTTGTTTAGACTGCCTGCGGGTGGCGCGTGCCCCGTTTAAGTGAACCCTAGCGAAAGTCTCCTTGGCGGTCGGGGGATGGGTTATCAAATCTGGCGATCAGAAACTCCGACAGGAGTGCGCTAGCTTATCCCAGTATCTGGAGGGACTTCGCGGGCCGCACCTGCTCGGCGGGCCGGATTCCCTGCGGAGCTCTGTGCGCGGCGGGTGGGACGCGTGGGGCTGGGACGCCCCCTGCCGCGCTCCCCTCCTCCGGCGGGCCGCATTCCACGCATTCTTTCGCTAGGGTCGGGTCTTCGCTTCCGAGCCCAGAGGCTTTTCAGACTGGCGTCATCAAAGAGCCGCAGCTTTTCCTCTCCGGACCTGTGCGCCCCAGAGGAGGGAAGATGGGGGGCGGAAACCTCCCTCCCGCCCTTTCCAAAAAGCACAACAAAACTGCTCAGTGCAGGCGATCCGGGCTTGCCCCTGCTAAACAGCGGGGGGCTTTGTTCTCGGCAGTTGTTTCCTGACCATTTGACCTGTCAGCTGCTGGGGAAATGCTGCTGTTGACCTGTGGTTGAACTGTTAAGGCGATTTTGCTGATTTTTCTTTTTCCGAGAGGGCCGCCTTTTGCATCTCCAGTTGAGCTCAGACCCTCTCCCTTTGACTCAGAGGGCTTTAGGACCTAGTGCTAGGAAGGAGTTTATCCCGGGATGTCCGGCTGTGGAGCGGCGAGCTGAGGGGTTGACCTCGCCTACCCTGGGTCCCGCAAGCTCAGCCAGGTCTGGCCCAGGTCACTCAGCGATAGTCTGCGCTATTGTTAGGGCCTGCCGGCCCTGCCTGGCCAGGTCCTGGCGCAGATGGGAAACACCGGAGGTTTTCCTCCTGCACCAAAGCCCCTTCGGGAAGAGGGGCTGACCGCGGTGCGCCCGATGCCTGGAGCCCTCGAGGGCCGCCTGGTTCCCAGCCCAAGTGCGCGCCGTCCACCCCAGGCCCTGAACCGGGGACGCGCAGGAACGCTCCAGGGTGGGCTGGCGGCAGCCCCATGTGGTGACAGGCAGGATTTGTTTTGTTTTTCTTTCCGGAAAAAATCCGAAGGGCACCGCCCTGGAGCGGCAGCTTGGCCCTAGGGCTACAGGGGGCGCCTGACACTTGGGCCCTGCTTCTGGGGACAGAGGCATATTTTTAAGGTGTTGCCTGGGAGACCCTGGAGCCAGACTGATTTTGAGAGCCGCTCGGCTGGAGCAGGAGTTTCAGGGAGAGGCAAACACTGACAGACTCACTGGGTCAGACAGACCGCCTTGGGGCAGAGTCCCTTGGTGGGTGACGAAATTCCTGACCAGCGGAAGCAAAGCATTTCCTGCCTCTCTGTGTCCCTGTGGGACAGGAGGAGCACCCCTGCTCCTCCAGGCCTCGAGCTCCCGGGTGGAAGTGGAGGGTGCCTAACCCCTGGACGCTAGTGTTGTCAGGAAACCCCCTATCTCCACCCTAGGGCAGCTGACCTCGGGAGCAAGCCTCACAACTCCAGGCGGGGTCTCCAGCCCTCCTCTGCAGTGCAGGCGAGGCTAAGTGGCCTTGTTTACTTGACCTCTGTCGATGGATGCGTGGAGTAGGGCTGTCTTGAACTCAGTTTCTCTTTCTTCTTAATCCTGGTCTGGGGGCTAAGGACAGGCCACCCTGAGAGGGGAAAAGAAAAAGCCAGAGTCCCGTTGCCCACTCCTGCGGGCAGTTGCAGCCTAACAAGGAAAGCTCAGGCCAGCCCCAGAGAGGCCCCAGAGATGAGGCTTCCACGTGGAGAAAGCAGCGCTGGGGGACAGATGCGGCTTCCTGGGAGCGGACCGCGGCCAGGGGCCTAAAGAAAAAGCCGTTGAGATAATCTTAAGTAAATACTTGAGTTGCGTAAGGGCTGGGCCCCTGGGTTCCCACCAGAGTTGCTCCTTTTATTTTATAGCTGGGAATTGAGGACACTTGTGTGTATCGTGGTCTGTGCCTGGTGGATGCAGGGAGAGGGAAAGAACAGGAGGGGCAAATAGCACATCCGGTGGTGGTGGGTGTCTGTCATCAGCGGTGTGCGGTGGGGACAGTAAAAACAGCAGGTTATTTGTAGACATGATGTCATCTGTCCCAGTGAAAACTTAACCTAATAATCTACTGAATTCGATTACCCAGTGCTCCTATGTGTTCCACTTTGAAAAAAGCAGACCTATTTCGGGGAGTTAGGAACGAGTTCCACAAATGAGACTTAGAAAAGACAGGAGTAAACTTTACTGAGTAGCAAGAAAACTTGGTTTGTACTATGTTTGCTAATACTAGCCAACTTTTGCTAGAAGTAACAAGAATTCTACCATATTTTATTTTATTTTTTTTCTAATAAGTGATTCCCATTGGGGCCATTTTTTTTTTAAAGCTCTTTTAACTTAAAATCCTGTAAGGCATCTTTAGGGACAGTTTACAACTTTTTCATATATTTATCACAGTGTGTGTCTTCTTCGAAATCCCTTCCTGTCCTTAAATCCTTGGGGTTAGATGCCCCTTGGCCTTTGAAATCAAAGAAACAAAAAGCAAGAGGAAGACTTTCTTACCTTAGTAGAAGTCATTCTTTAACTCAGGATCCTAAAATAACAGGTTAATCTGTTACGCAAAAAGATTTCAAATCTAAAACTGTTATCTCACTCCCCTCTTGTCTAGAATTTACCTCCTGACTTCTGTCATTTTCTTATTTAAATCCTGATTGCAAAGCTGGCCTGTTCTGATCAGTTGGGAAGGTCATCTAGACCAGTGGAGGCAGGCCTAGGCAGCCTACAACTGCAGCGAGCTGTTTGTATCATTGAAAGCTCTGAAAGGTTTGCTATCACAGTAGGGTTTCTCTCTTCAGCTTGGGACTCTCCTTCTCTGTCCTCTCCTTACAGTCCCTGGGCCAGACCATGTGTTGAACTGGAGAGTGACACTCAACAGGGAGTCTGGCCACTGTGGCCACTGTCTTTGGTTTTGTGTCCTCTGTCAGCATCTCCAGCTATTTCAGTGGCATCCGCCAGATAGCTTTCCAAGCTTTTATATGCAAAGGCAAAGGCAGGGTTTTCTGTTTGCAGACATACAGCCTCTCTGTCAGCCAAGGATTGGGAATGTCTGAATGATATAGTAGTAAATATGAAAGATTATTTCCATCCCCTGTTATTACTTACAATAAAGCAACTCTCATCAGGCAACACAAGAATTGTATGTTTCTAGCTAACAGAAGTAGCTAAAACTAGGTTGTAAGTGTGAATTAAGGGTGCAGACTAGATCGTTAAGATCATAGCCTTCTGGGCTGGTCCTTCCTCTTAAAGAGGGGAGCACTGCACTACCAGCCCAGATTCACAGAAAACGGGACAGAGAAAGGGTGGCCATTTTAAGGAGCCAAGAAATTGCTTTAATAATTCAGAACATCTAAAACCAGATAGCTACTTTCCTTACTGGGAGGAATTCCCAGCCAACAAAGAAGTGTGACAGGAAGGCAAGTTCACTGTCCAGTGGAAGCCGGCCCACTGGACATGGCAGACAGCACTGGAGGACTGGGAGAGACTGTGGGCCAGCCCCGGCCCCCAGGAGCAGGAGCCAGCCAGCCAGCCTGGGAATTGTAAGTCTTGGTAAAGTCCCAGTGTGAGATGGGACCACATTTTTACCTTAGGAGAACTTTAGGTACATTTTAAAACACTGCTTAGCATTCATATGATTGATTTATATAAATTTACTAATTCAAAGTTCCCAAGGGAGAATGACCTTCAAATAACCCAGGCTTAGTTGCTGGGCCAGAGTAGGGTCTTAGGACCTGTCTGAGAGCAGCTGGTGTTTGAGTGTTATTGAGAGGGTGAGGGACAAAGTGGCCACGTTGTTAAGCTTCATAGCCCTGGACACTATCACAAGACTGTTTTATCCCTCCCAGAGCCCACCAAGAGTCCTATTATGGTGTGTTCTCAGCACCTTGGTAAAACGCTTTACATTGATTATCTCCTGTTTTTTCAAGGATTAGCAGTCTTAGAGGATTTGTGGCTGGGCGTATGTTCCTTGAACTTTGAAAACTGCCTTGCTGGGTGTGAGCTAGAAAAGGAAAAGCTTGGGGAGCATTCCTCTTTGTCCTTTGTCATTTTGAAATTCAGAAATGTAGGATTAGGAGTATATTCTTAAAGATGAAATAGGTCAACATTTATGAGCACCTTTGTTGTGAAAGTTGATTCACAACACAGAAACACAGATTCTAGGTACAGTACCTGCTCCTCGGGAGCTGGCAAAACTGAGCTGGACAGGAAGTAGAAGTTGGACAGGAAGGATGGTGCTGTAGTGAAACCTGGGCACCATTATAATCTGCAATGCTTTTATTTTAAGGGCAGATGTTTGAATGTGCTTGTTCCCAGCTAGAGCTGGGGCTTGTCCCCAGATCTGTCTACCTGTTTTTGAACCACCTGTAGGAGGCACAGGGCGCAGTACAGGATGGAAATCAGCTTTGGATGAAACATGATCTAAACCCAGCTGCTGTGGCTGTGATACTTGGACCAATAGGCGCATGGCGGTGGTTCTTGGGGAGCCATCTTTTCCCACACACAATCAGTATGTTGAATTTACATTATAATCCCCCAGCATTATAGTCCCCCACGCACGCCTGAAATAAAATAGACACGAAATGATACACTCTTTAAATGTAATGCCTTCTGCTAATTCCCATTTTATTGTAGTTCTTTCCTTCTTTCTTTCTCTTTCCTTCCTTCCTTCCTTCCTTTCTCTCTCTCTCTCTCTCTCTCTCTTTCTGGTCATGTCTCCTTAAGAGCAGAGTTTGGTGAAACATCACTGGCATACTGTTGGGATCCATTCTGTTTCTGTCTGTGTCTCACTTTGGGACACCAGCAGGCTGTGGCCACAGGAGCAGGTCTGCCCACTAGGAGTGAAAGGCAGGGAGGGGAGGGCAGCAGGCTGGGCTCCAGATAGCCAGGGTGGACATTCAGCTTCTGAAAGCCTGCCCTTCCTTTATGTGGCTGAGGGATCACATGCAGGCTCCTTGGCTGCTTGTGCCTTGGCTTTCTATTTGTGAAATTGGAGCTCAGCACACTTGCCCAGGGCCTGGTGACAATCATGGAAAGTACTGTGTAGTAAGTATTGCCTTTGCACATGCTCTTCAGGTTTTTTTATAGTATTGGGGATAGAACTCAGTCTCGTACCCCATAATGGCCATAGTTTGTATTAACAACGATGATACCCAAGGTGCTCCAGGGCTCTGGCCTTATGGGGTGCAGACGTGCCTGTCTTCTCCCCTCCTGAGTGGATAAACACCTGCTTGTGCTCATTGTTATGTAAAACCTTGACTTCTCCTGCAGGTGCCTCTTATCTAAAGCCAGCAGCAGCTCTGGGAGAGGGACCCCCAGGTCTCCTGTCCCTTGGGCTAATCTGCTTCAGCCCTTAGTTTCTTTCAGACTCCCCTCAGAGAAAACTGTTGAGTTTCACTCTGTCTTTTCGGGGCAGTGTCCAGTGGTCTTGTCAGCCACCCATCCAGAGATGTGAAGACACAGGGCCGACAGCCCTGCCCATACCGCAGTGGGTGGCTGCTGCTGTCCCCTCCTTGGGGGCTCTGCTAAGCTGGCTAGTTGACTCCAGAGGTGGTGGATGCAAATTCCTGGATGGGACACTGGAGTCAGGAAGTCAGATAAAGACCACAAGGTCTTAAGACTCCTGGAGCACATCCAGAAGCCCCAGGAAAGAGGGCTTTCAGAAAGCTAGGAAGTTCCTTTTCAGGTACACACAGCCCCTTGGTACTCTTTGGTCTTGAGGAGCTCACAAAGTGCACTACTTAGCATAGGTGCCAAGAAAGGATACCTTCGCTGTGTGTATCTCAAGGTCAGATGCCCAGCGCTGGTTGTTAGAATCAGTCCTCCTGCCACACAAGGGCAGGTGATCACTCTTTACCCATGGGGGAGGGTCAGAGAGGTTAGACCGGGACGGAGGCTGCACAGCAGAGGCTCGCAGCCTGACTGCAGAGCCGTGCCCCTCCTGCAGCTTCAGTTTGGTCTGGTTCTAACCTGCTCTGCAACCGGGAGAGTATGCTGTTGGCTGCTCTGTGACTTGAAAGCCTTTTCTGGCTCTGCCTTTTAGGTGGGACAGTTACCTGCCTTCTCAGTGCGGAGGTTGGCTGGATCCCACTCACAGACCTGGCGTTTGTTCTTTCCAGTGTGGTTCTGTAGGTCAGGTTATATAATGGGCACTAAGATCTCTTGGTTTAAAGCTCTGCAGGTCCTGAAGAAGTCGAGTGACAGGCGATGGCTATGGATGTTGATCTTCAGCCACACTTTTGATCCATCCCTTGCCCCCTCCCTCTCCGAAGGTGGTGGACATTGACTAAGGCTTCCTGGCCCACGAAGGACTTGGGTGAACATTTGCCAGCCTTTTCTCCTCCATACTGTGGTGTCTCCACTTCCGGCAGCCTTCTGTGGAAGGGGGTTGCCAGGGGTCTACCGGGGTACTCTTGGGTGAGGTGCCCCCAAGGTTGCCAGCACACCGGAGGCTGGCAGCACCGGCCAACAGGCAGGTTTTCCAGCCAGGAGGCTGGTCACTGTGACTCAGCAGGGAGGACGGCCTGTGACCACAGAGATACCATTTATATCCCGAGGGATGGGGCAGAGGGGAAGAGCCGCCTCCGGTCAGAGAGGAAAAAATGGGTGCCCTGTTTCTGTAAGCCTTATGATGTGGCAAAGAATAATTTTCCTTTCCCTCAGAAGCAGCAGGACACAGTGTTTTAGGGCCAGGATTAGGGGCAAGTGCTTGAGTAATCATCACATGTCTGTTCATTGGAAGATTTCCTGCGGACATGCAGTAGGAGGGGACAGCGCCTTGTGACACAGAAAGACCAAACCCAGCTTGCTGTCTGCTCTGGGACCCTCTGTTGGCATTTTCTTGGTTACCTGAGTGGAACTGTTACGGTGATTATTGCCTCATGTGCTGACCCTAGTGAAACAGCAAACTAGAAGATAAAGGCAAGGCAGGTCTTTCACAGTTGACGGTCAGCGGCCCACACAGTTGCAGAGCTCCTGGAACCTTAGAAGCACACGGCATTTGTCCCTTGAGGCGGGCAGAGGCGGTGCTGGTGCCAGCCCAGGCCAGTGGGTCCTTCAGGTTTGATTTCCCTTCCTGGAGGGCAGTCCCAGCACCAGCCACGCCAGGGCTTGCAACTCTCAGGTCAATAAACCCTTCCTTGCCCTGACCCGACTGGTAGGAAGGACTGGTTTATAGGGCCTCCTGTGGCTGGCCAGTTGGCTTGTAAGACCTAGAGGGGCAGAGTTCAGGGTGAGGTGTTTTTTCTCACATTGGCCATGTTTTCCAGAGGAGGAGCTGGAGCCACAGGGTGATGATGGGCATCATTCCAGGCCTAAGGGCACGGCAGTGACCACCTGAGGAGCTGCCCTGGAGAGTGCCTTGGCCTGTCCGTGGTGCATCTTTGTCTGTGTATCTTCATCCCACCCTGATTCTAGACCCTCAAGCTTTCTGGAACCCGTCAGACTCCTGGTTTGATGGGGTCCTGGTCAGTGAGAGACTCCTGCTCTTTGGCCTGGTCCCTGCAGCCTTCACCTCTAGACACGCAGCACCACCTAGTGGCAGACCTGGAGCCATTCAGCTCCCACTTCCCCCGAACTCTTGGCTGGTACAATGCCAGGTCTTTCCAGCTTCCTGGTGGTTCTGCAGCCTTGTTAATCTGAGTTTCTTTCTCCTTCAGGTGGCTATGAGAGGTTTTCCTCTGAGTACCCAGAATTCTGCTCCAAGACCAAGGCCCTGGCTGCCATCCCACCTCCTATGCCCCCTGGTGCCACGGAGTCCTTGGACCTGGGCTGCAGCTCCTGTGGGACCCCACTGCACGACCAGGTAGACCTGGGGTGTGGGGCGTGAGAACCAAGGGTGGGCTGGGGACAAGCACAAGGATACTTGGAGCCACCTTCCTTTCAGAGTTTAGGTATTTCCAGGCTTCAAACGCAGTGCCTTAATGTGAGGAGGATGTGGTGAACTTGAGCACTGGGGTGGGGTGTTTATTCTGTACAGTTCTTTCCCTTCCTTTTATAATCGTCACTTAAGAAAAAATATGAAGACATTGTCCCCTGGCTTAGCCTCCGGATTTCTGAGTGGACAAGCCAGGACCTCCTGCTATACAGGAGGCTGAGCATGCTCCCTGGAGCGAGCCCCCGTTCCCCCAGCAGGCAGACTGCTCCCCATGTGTGTTGGGGCAGTGCCAGTGGGTATAAGGAAATCAGCTTGAGCTGCTACACTTCTCTGAAGCCACCTTTCCAGTTTAGTGGGCAGAGAGTAAAGTTTAGGGTCCAGCCTGGCAAATCTCACATAACCTTAAGGCAGTATCCATCGTGTCAATTTGCTACAACCCCTCCTCTTGTCTGTGAGGCCAGAATGGTGTGTCTCTGATGTGCTGAGTGGGGACATACCCAAATGGCCAGGTCCCTGAGTCAACACAGCCCTGGATGGTTAGCAGCTGTGGGCTCCAAGTGTTGCAGATGTGCAAGAGCCAGCAGTGTGCACCCTGCCTCCTTATCATGGGGGAGGTGAGCCCAAGGCTTTGCCCATCCTGGCTTCTCTGCCCAGCCACCCCTCCAGAAGATTTGCAAGGGGAAAGGGAACTGAAAGGCTCTGTCCAGCAGGATGCCCTCAGGACCTAGAGTGCCCACCTTGAACTGGTCTCCCCCTCCCCATCTCCAGCACTTCAGCCCCTTTCCTGGAAGCTTTTTTCTCACATTGTTTTCGGACCTTTATCCCTTTGTATTCCAGGGCGGTCCCGTTGAGATCCTTCCCTTCCTCTACCTCGGCAGTGCCTATCATGCTGCCCGCAGAGACATGCTGGACGCGCTGGGGATCACCGCCCTGCTGAATGTCTCCTCAGATTGCCCTAACCACTTCGAAGGACACTACCAGTACAAGTGCATCCCCGTGGAAGACAACCACAAGGCTGACATCAGCTCCTGGTTCATGGAAGCCATCGAGTACATCGGTAGGCCGGCCCACCCGGGATGCTGGATGGCAGGGAATGAGAGAGCACTGTGGGGTCTGCCGTTTCCTCTCCCGACAGGAAGGCCTGCCTGTTGGGTGTTTGGTATGGGGTGGGGACAGAATGATTTACACGGTACCCATGCTTGGCTTACAGGGCCAGTGCGCTTTTCCTTGCCTGGCTCTAGATGTGTAGTACCGAGGGGCTCACAGGGGAAGGATGACAAAGACTTAGGTCACTACTTTTTTTCCTGCATGGTGGGTCTAATGGGTCTAGCATGCAATTCTCCCAAGCAGAGGGCTTTGTTTGGTTAAATCTCGAAAATACCTTAGGATGGGTGGCATTAGCGTCCTCCCCGCCCGGTCTGGCATGGCTCTTCAGCAGGGTCCCCAGCCCCCACCCTGGCTGGCCCCTGTCTCCGAGGGCAGGGCCGCCGCCGCCTAATTTGCGCCCCTTCTCCTTCCGTGCCACAGACGCAGTGAAGGACTGCCGTGGGAGGGTGCTGGTGCACTGCCAGGCGGGCATCTCCCGCTCGGCCACCATCTGCCTGGCCTACCTGATGATGAAGAAGCGGGTGAGGCTGGAGGAGGCCTTTGAGTTCGTGAAGCAGCGCCGGAGCATCATCTCTCCCAACTTCAGCTTCATGGGGCAGCTGCTGCAGTTCGAGTCCCAGGTGCTGGCCACGTCCTGTGCCGCGGAGGCCGCCAGCCCTTCCGGGCCCCTGCGGGAGCGGGGCAAGACCACCCCGACCCCAACCTCACAGTTCGTCTTCAGCTTCCCAGTGTCCGTGGGCGTGCACTCGGCCCCCAGCAGCCTGCCCTACCTGCACAGCCCCATCACCACTTCCCCCAGCTGTTAGAGCAGCCGTGGGCCCGGGACGCACGGTCAGCGCTGGACAGGGGTGGGGGGGCCGCACACACGTGGGCAGGCAGCCGGGAGGGGCTGACCCTCTGGGGCCAGGTGACCCAGCTCCGTCCCCATCCGTGTCGCCTTGGCAACCAAGCCCGGGGCCAGCTAGAATGGCAATAAGGACTCAAACCACGTCACACGCAAACACACAGAACACTCCCAACTTAGAGCAATAACGGCTGCGCGAGCGGCCAGGGAAGACCTTGGTTTGGTTTATGTGTCGGTTTTACTTTTCAGGTAGAAATTTCTTACCTCATTTTTTTAAGCAGTAAGGCTTGAAGTGATGAAGCCCACAGACCCTGGCAAATGTGCCCAACCAGCTTCCTTGGGGGTGGGGTGGGGGACAGGAAGAAAACGAGTTTGCCAGAAGTGCCTGGTTCTGTCTGCTTGTCCTCTTGTTATTGTTGTAGTCACAGGAGCTTTCTTTTTCAAAAGAGACTTGGGATATGGTTTTTCTAATTATTCACCAACAGGTGGGTAATTATGCTTAATAATAAAAATATTTATTATGAGTTTCCTCAGAGTATGTCATACAAGGAGTCTAGTGGCAGTGAATTTGGAATATATTTCTGTTGACGTCCACAGCGGAGCACGAGCATGCCAGTCCCCGACAGCAGGGAGTGGTGTGGAGTAGGACTGCATGGTGGTCACTCTGTCGCCACTAAGAAGCAGGCAGGTTGGGAAGGGAGGGGAAAGAGAGCAGAGGACTACTTTGTAGTTACTTTTGGAGCTGGTTCCTGGCACATGGACCGTAACCATACAACCTTTTCTCTCCAATAATCCATTTGATGGTTGGAGCATTTTTTTTTTTTCCCTACAGGCCCGCCTAGGCCCTGTATGTGGTCTGTGATAAATGCCATATTACATATAAGGTGCTCCTGGAAAATTGGGTGCACTTCCGATTTTGCTTTAGTGAAATCATTTGGCAAGGCCATAGGGGAAACCAGATCTCTAGCAATACCTGAATGCTTTCTTTTGCATAAATCAGAGTTTTTAATTTAAGGGGGATTTATTTGAAATGAAGTATACCAATAAATTCTTACAGTATTAAAGTCCAGTTAAATGAGTTTTTAAAAGGCCTTTCATCTTGTGAATAAAAAGTGGAGTGGATGCCACGTTTTAGGTCTCCTTGAAGTTTAGAAGTATGAGAGGCCCCCTTGAAAGTGGGGTAGGGCAGAAACTGCCCAAGGCTGGCTGCTGGCTCCTTGACGTGCATCGTGGGTACTTGGGAGCCATTTTGGATCCTTCGTTGAGCTGATGTCATTTTAAGGGGCCTTTCCAAGCGGAGGAATGGCTCTAGAGGAAAAAGGACATTTTTCTGTGGGGAGGGGTGGGGGGAGGGCAGAGGGAAGAAGCTTCGTGTTACTTCATTTGTAGTATTGTGGAACAGTGTTGTTACAGATTAGAGGTCATTGCAGACTTGTCTAGAAATGAGCATTTTTAAAGCCCTTTGAGAGTAGCTCTCAGTGAACATTCTTGCCCGCCTGTTAGTAATGTCAGTTCTCAGTGTCGCAGTAGGGGGGATGCTCTTTCTCACTCGGTGTTGCAGACAGGCCCAGGTTCATTGCATTTTCCCTCTGTGAACTTGCTTGTGTCAAGCCTGCCTCTGGAAAGGCCAGCGTTGCCACTTCCTGGTTGTATAAAACTCAGAAGTGCCCTGTGTCTCTCTGGGAGCTGTGTGGCTGAAGAGTTGATAGGCACGGAGGGGGTGAGGTTCCCAGGTAGCAGACTCCTTTGGAGACCATACAGCTGGACATTTCCACTTCTGCCTTGGTTCCTGAAGTCACCTCATGTCTGGTGAAAATGAAGTCAAGTGAGTTCTGCACTGTGAAAGGCACCGATGCCAAGAATAGGTAGAGAGGGCGCAGGGGCTGCAGCGGGGAGGGGCAGATGACCCCCAGAAGATTCACTTTTTATACAAGGAGTGGACATTTCCCAAATCCGTCCTGCTTTTTTAGACTGGATCCCAACTACATAGATTGTAGGAACTCAGGATTAGCTCCCAGTGTGTCTCTCTGCTTCCCATTCAAGCCTATCACAATGTCAAACAGCTATTTATAAATCGTTTTCTTTGTACTTGATAACAGCATGACTCTTAGAAATAAAATAGGACATTGGCTTGATTGAACAAGGGAACTGTCTCTATTGTTGATTGCCCACCAGAAGTCTCTTTGATGACTTGGAACAACTCTTATGAAGATCCTGCCACAGGGTCAGGCCAGACGGCCGGTGGGTTCCCATAAGCAATTTCTGGTGATGGGGAATTTGTAAATAGTAGAAGCATAGCCACAATGATTACCAGCTTTGCTGTTGGCCACAAAAGGCCGTAGGTTCATTGGGTATTTATCATAGAGTGTGAGAGTGCTGCCGATTCCCTCCTGGGATCTTGTCTTGACTTGGGTGTTTGTGAAAGAGTCAGAGGAATGGACCAGACTTCCCCACAGAGCAGAATTAGGCAGAAGCACTGGTGAGCAGGTGGCCGGCAGTTCCCAGCTTCCTTCCTGCGGCCCTGGAGCTGGGATGCTCCGTTTTCAACAAAACTAGGAAGCCCTGAGAAGACATGGTAAATCAGGTCCATCTTGGCTGTCCATTACAGTCACCTGAGGAACTTTCAAATTGCTGATCCCTGGGCTGTTTTTGACCAAGTAAAAGCAGAATTCCTGGGGAGCTGCCCACTTTGAGAGACTGCCCTTCCTTTTGGGTGGCGAGGTACTGCCGGGGGCCAGGTCTCACTGAAGCCACAGCCGGGCATGTGGCCCTGGCTCTGGGATCTCTGCCATCCCAGCCAAATTAAGGGATGAGCTGTTTTCTCCAGGGAGCTACTGAACGGGGCACCTCTTCGTGCTCCGAAAGCCAGCTGGTCTGTGGAGCATGGTTAGCAGACTTGTATTGAAGTTTTTCCTTGCAATTTTCTCATCTATCACGAGAAGTGGAGTCTGCTCTGAAGTTGTCCTCCAGAGTGCCCTACTGTCCTTAAAGTTTGAGTTATTCAAGAAGAGACTTCAAAAGGACAGCAACGCAATACTTGTAAATAACCCCATCTTGTAGAGCAGGTCATTTCTACATTTTTTACACTTGTATTTCTGTAGATGTATATAGTTTAGGGGATTTTCTGTGTATTTGTTTGTTTTTTTGTTTTTTTTTTTTTTTTTAGAAAAGCCAAGATGTCTGTTTTTATTTATTGCTTGAGAAAGATCATTTGAAGAAAAATAAATACATTTTCAACCATTTCTGCCTTGGGTGAAGCTCTCCTTTAACACAGCCCTGCTATAACAACACAGAAGGGCAGGAAGGGGAACCTGGCCATCGCGTAACTGTTCCTGCCCAGCGACTGCAGAGGAGCATGGCTGTGAGGCAGGAATCTCCTCTTCCCCTCGCCCCACTCCAGGCCAGTGAGAGGAGCAGGCCGATCTGAAAGCCTGATACCCCGGCAGCAGGCAGCTACGAGACCGGCTGAGGTTCTGCTGTGCTGCACTAGGACACAGGCAAGGAGGGGTCAGGCTTAGCCAGCAAGAGCACAAAGCCATGAGGCTGGAACAGGCACGCATGTAAGGAATTTGCACCCAACGGTCCAGCCCGGTTCCCAGAATCTGAGGAAATGGTCCTGGCTCTGTAGTCCATCAGGATCATGGAATATACTGTATTTTTTTCCTACCCTATAAGAGGAATTAATGGGGGTGATTTAAGCCATGGCTTCCCCAGTGCTGATCTGCAGATTATTTGTGCCAGATTCTATTGCTATGAATTTCCCAAACCACAAATCGCAAACTTAACCACTAAGTACACATGCCTATTGTACTATAATTATTTACCATTACTTTGGGAGCACTAGGCAAAGTGATTAGTAAGTGAAAGAAATGAGAGATTCAGTTGGGAAAGAGGCAGACTGAGTTATCTGGAAATGTGTCTGGGAAAAGAGAATCTCAGAAATAAGAGCTGGGTAAGTGATAAACTTTAAAATTAATATGGGAAAATAGTAACTTTTCTATATGAAAATACTAACTAGGATAGGAATAGTAGGAAACCCCTATACAAAGACAATGTTAAATGCCTATAATAAGCTTGAGTGGAAATAAGAGGACCGGCAGCTGCTAGAGCCCTCCCAGGGGCTTCCGTGGACACAGGAAAGGTGAGAGGGATGGCCTGTGTTCTTGAGTAAAAGACCTACTATTGAAACACGATTTCTCCAAATTTAACTTGTGCATTTAATAAGATCTCCAACACACCAGCAGGATTTGGGGGGCAACATGGGACATAATTAGGAGTTCACTTGGAGAAATGCACATGCAGGTAACCGAAAACCCAGCAGGGAGGGAGGCATCACAAGGAAGGGCTGCCTTAGCTTGGGTTGCTGGCATAATCATACAGGGTAAAGAGCAGAGATTCATTTCTTACTAGTTCTGGGGGCTGGGATGTCCTAGGTGAATGAGGGCTCTCCTGCCTCTGTCCCATGTGAACGGCAGATAGGCAAGGGAGTGTGAAATGCTAGGAAGAGCCTTTAGAGGGCACAGCGGTGCACACTTGGCAGGGGAGGCTGAAGCACAAGGATCACGGCAGGTTTGAGAGCATCCTGGCCTACCTCCTGAGTTCCAGGCCAGCCTGAACTACATAGTGAGACCCTGTCTCAAAAAAGGGGGCCGGGTCAACATCACTTTTCTACCAAGCCCACATGCAAAGAGGTCTATACAACTATTTCTGAAGCAAAGTTCTAACCTTTTTACCTCTTAAAAACTACTTCTCAATACATTTGCACTGAGGATTATATTTCCAAAAGGTGAGCTTTTGGGGAACACGTTCACACCACAGTAAGAGGGAGAGATAGGTCCTTGTGCACTGTATCTATCATTGTAATAAAGTAGTTTAACATTTTGTATGGACTGTTCCTTAAAATAGACCCTCATGGTTCTGTGCCTGTCCATGTAAGAGATGTTACACACTCCCACTGGGATTTTGGTTTCCAGCTTATTTCAGAAGTGTCTGTTTATCCTGTTCCCTTTCTAACCTCTCCTGGCACGACAGTCCACAAATCATAACTACTATCACTGTATCCAGGAGCTTATTTATATGAATAGCAATCATTTCATTTTGCATATGCAGTGACCAGCTAGGGATTGGGGCAAGGCTGTGCTGGACACTGAGCACATGGGGTTGCCCGTGGCCTGTGCTGCACTCACCTGAAGGCCAGCCGGCTTCCCAGCGCCGGTTGGTGCTGGCTGGTGGACAGTCCTGTGACTGTGATTGAGCTCCCGTGAATGCTGTCTCAGGATGCATGGCAGGCTCAGGGTGGGTTTCTTACATGACAGCTCAGAGTATTCCAGCAAATAGGTAGAAACTACTCCTGCTATGGTCTCGTTTCAGAAGTCTCAGAATGTTCTTTAATAAAGAGAAAGCCTCCTCTGATTCTGATAAGAGGAAAGCCCATGTCTTGTAGGAAAAAATGTCAAAATAGTTTGTAACCATTAAAAAATGCCAATAAACATTTAGAGAACCTGAAAATGCAACTTTCATCCTTAATCCACAGATACTTGTCATCTGAGACTACATCCAAGAACCAAAACGTCTGATTGGGGTTTTACCTAGATGTGGTCTTTAAAATTCCCAGGTGGATCTGGGTATGTTTTATTTGCTGATGCCAAGATCCTTACCTTGATTTCTTCCTGAAACTCAATAAAATTGCACCAAGTTGAGGGCATCAGAAGGATTTGGCTCTCCATATTAGGGGTGGTCACATATGATGTTTATGCTGCTGCCGATCATTACGACATCCACAAAAGACATTACTAATCAACTATATTCCTGTTGAGCTCATGTATGTCACTGAGCTCAACAGCATATTACAGGTACCTATTGCCCCTTCCCTGGGCAGGCATATAAGATAATAAACACTAGGTGTTGTAGTCAGGGACTGCAAGGAAAACAATATAATACAGGGCACATAATTTACAGAATTATTTTATAATAGTCATTGAGAGCATTAAATACAAGAGGTGTGAGAAATCTGTCCACACGCTAAGACCCAAGGAATCCAGCTGAGGGCATGGACCCCAGCAATGTCCTATATGAGTCCAGCTGAAGACTAGAGCCCATGACAATGCCTGCCACAATCCAATTGGAGGCCTAGAGCCCACGACAATGACTCATGCAAGTCTATTTCATGGATCTGTGCTGGGAAGGCCCCATGGTCAGCAGTGGAAGCCAAAAAGTCTATGCCAGCAGGATGAAGGATCTGTGGCATCAGGCGGAGGGTTCTGTACATGAACCAAGAAGCAATGCTCAAAGTAAGAACCAGAATTCCCCCCAAAATCAACAATGAGGTCCTAAGCTCCTCAGGTAATGAGAACAGTTGGAGTTCATATCAGGAAGCCAGAATAACAAGCTTCTCTAGGAGGAGGGCTGGGGATTTAGCTAAGCGGTATAAGTGCCTGTCTGGCAAACGTGAGTTTGAGTTTGATCCCCATTAAAAAAAAAAAAAAGTGAGTAAGCTTCCCCAGGAGAGTGAACAGCATACTATCTTCCCCTCTAGAGCCAGGAAGCTATGCTCAAAGTAAGAAACAGAGCTCCCCCAAAGTGAATTACAGTCATTCTCAGTGACAAGGTTTTGAGCTTCTCTGATGGTGAGAATAGCCAAGTTCATATCAGGAAAGAAGCTTGACAAGCTCCTCCAGGAGAACCCATGGGAGCAGGAGGACTAGCATCACCACAGAGAACCAACAACACACCTCCTCTGCAGTTCTCCTTTTTATCTTGGCAACAGTCCTCAGGTAGGCTATCCACACTCAGCACCACGCTGATTCAGGTCAGCTGGCATCACAAGCTGACCACCAGTATCAATCCACAACACTAGCTAATATTTATCAAGGGGCAGTCTAAGCTCTTAGTATTAATTCATTTAATCTTCACAACATCCTAATAGGAATTTAAGTCCCAACATCATTTCCATTTTATAGGAGAGAATAAAGAGGCAAAGAAAGATGAAGTAACTTGACCAGGATCACAGGGTTTTGAACCCAGGGTTTTAGCTTTGAACCCAGGGTTTTAGCTACTGTGCACAATGCCTGCTTATTATGTGCTGACTCTATCTGACCCAGAAACACAACAAAGCAAACCTATCCCTAAAGAAATACAGCAAAGTAGAAAGCTGTAAGAGTGCCATGAAAGGAGGTAGAGGTGAGGAGGGTACCCATGAATTCCTGCCCCTACCTGCTCTTACTCCAAGCCTGCAGTTTGTGTCTTTTGTAAGTCTATATCTACTCAACTAAATGCATGATATGGAGAACAATTAGCCAGGAAAATACTGTATATACTGGATCCTCCAGCACTGCAGTATGGAGTGCTGCAACCTGATGTCTGCCTGCCATGTTGGGCCAGTCAGGTACGGGAGCCCCAAAGTTTCTGGGTGAGATGATGCATCCCCATGAGCCCCTGCTGTAACACTTTACTTTGGTTCTACCAAGTTACACCTGGTGCTATGAGTGAAGGCAAGGAGGGTTAGACTTGGGCTTTACCCACTGATGTTAAAAACAAGTACCATACATCCCATGGGTTCCTATTTGCTCCCGCCCAATAGTGGGTCCTGTGATAAGACCTCTGACTTACTGCTCCATGAACCCAAAAGACCTGTATCTAAAGAGCAAATCCTACATTAAACTTCCTGTTGCAGGGAAGGTATCGGCTGTGACAGGAGGAAAAAGACAAGTATGCTAATCTTGAGGCAGACAACCTCAATGAAAAAATGTCCATAGTGCAGGGGATGCTCTTTGTTCTTGGCAGCTGGACAGGCTTTTTCTCTTTCCCGTGGGAGAAGGTTCCCGGGTCCTAGGGTATCCCATATGTTCTCCTCTGAAATTCACAAAGGGCTTACCCGAGTCCCAGGAATTTCACAGAGACGGCACAGAAAGAAGAGGGCGCTAGGATGCTTTTTTGAAAATGGAGCTCAGGTCACAAGTGACAGAGGGTCAGCTGTCTGACCAGAGCAGCAGCTAGGGAAACTGGCTCCCTGCTTGTGCAAACGGAACTTCAAGGAGCCAGAAGCCAGTGTTCCACTGCCTCCTGCTCAACCTGAGTCTTGCAGTAACCGCAGCTACCTGCATTGGGGAAGCTCCCCCCATCCAAGTTAGTGCTGTGGCTCAGGCTTAAATTAAAAGGACTCAGCCCACGCACTTAGCCCCCAGGACAAGGGTCAGGGATGAGCACTTGGGTGGCCCTGTGTGGCAGTCTAGAGCCTGAGCTCTTATTGGGTGGCTGGAGAAGAGCTTTTTTTCATACCTGCACGTATACATGCCTGTTTATTTTTCTGAAACAACAAACAAACAAAACTCTTTAGTGGCATACTTGTAGTTTCAACTACGTTGGAGGCTGAGGCAGGAGGAACACTTACAGTCAGGAGTTTGGGGCTGGCCTGGGCAACCTGTTTCTAAATAAATAAACCACAGTTCAAAAACAAAAATTTTTAAGGGATAGTTTTAGGTTCACAACAGAATGGAGCAGGAAGCACAGAGGGTTCTCACACCCGTCTCCTCTGCAGGTGTCCTGACCATCAGCGGTGCAATGTGTGGTAAGGTGGCCCTACCTCAGCGCAACGCAGTTTACCTGAGAGTTCCCTCTTGGTGTTGTGCATTCCTCATGACAACTGTAAAACGTCATGTTCCTGCTGCATCAGACAGAGAAGCTTTCTGTCCTAAAATCTTCTGTGGTCTGCCTGCCTACTCATTCCTCTGAACTTTTTATCTCCTTATTTTGTCTTTTAAAATGTCATATAGTGGGGCTGGGGATTTTAACTCAGCGACATAAGCGCCTGCCTTGCGAGCAGGCAGTCATGAGTTCGATCCCTGGTACCGATAAAAAGGAAAAAGACAAAAAAAAAAAGTCATATAGTTGGGGTTTTTTTGTTTGTTTAAGACAGTGTCTATTATAGTTCAGGTGGCACTCAAACTAACTTTGTAGCCCAGGCTGGCCTTGAACTTGCAGTGATCCTCCTGCCTCGGCCTCTTGAGTGCTGGCCTCATGAATGCTGGGATTACAGGTGTGTGGCACCATGCCTGGCTAAAGGTCATATGGTTGGGAGTCATACAGCAGGTATTTTCTTTTACTTAGGAATGTGCAAATATGCTTACTGTGGTTTTTTCTGTTTGTTTGTTTGTTTGTACTGGGGATCAAACTCATGACCTCATGCTTACCAGGCAAGTGCTAAATCCCCAGCTTCTGCATGTCTTTGCATGGTTTTATATATATGTATATGTATTTATATATATATATACATATATATATAGATATAGATATAGTGTGTGTGTGTGTGTGCCTAACAATATTCTGTTATTTGGATGTACCACATACAGTTTATCCTTTTTTTTTTCTACCACAGGAAACTTGGTGATTTCCAAGTTTTGGCAATTGTGAATAAAGGTTCTATTATCATTTGCATGCAGGTTATTGTATGGATGCTTTCAATTCACTGGGAAAACACTAAGGAGCACAGTTGCTGAATCATCTAGTCAGAATGTTTGCTTCTTAAAGTTTTTAAAATTTTTATTTTTTATGCTTGCTTTTTCAAGAAACTCTTTTCCAGAGCTGGCTGTACAATTTTGCATACACCAGCAATAAAAGCAGAGTTCCTGTTGCTCCACACCCTCCTGGGCATTGGATGTAACCAGTGTTCTGGATCCCGACCATGCAAATAGCTGTGTGGTCCCACACCTACCTTTGCTTTAAGTTGCACTCCCAGATGGCCAACCATGTTTCCTATGCTTTTCTGCCCTCTGTTATCTTCTTTAGTAAGAGGTCTGCTTAGGTCTCATCTTTTACTTAGGTTGCAACCTTCTCACTGCTGCATAAGTCCTCGTTCATTTTGGATAATAGTTCCTTATCAGATGTATCCTTTACAACACTTTCTACCCAATTGGTAGCTTGTCTTCTCATTCACTTGACAAGCTTTCCCACAGAGTACAAGTTTTAAATTTTAAAGATGTTTAGCTTGTCAATTCTTTCTTTCCTGGATTGTGCCTTTGGTATGATATCTAAAAAACTTTTCCACACCAAAGGTCATCTTGATGTGTCTCCTATTCTACGAGTTTCAATTTTGTGTTTTACAATTAGACCAATGATCTATTTTCAGGTAATTTTTGTGAAGTGCACAAGGACTTTTGTTTGAATGTGGATTCTTTTGTAATGTGGATGTCCGGCACCGTTTGAAACAGTATCTTTGTTCCATTGTATTACCTGTGCTTTTATTTATTCATGTTTTGTCTTTTTTTGTTGTTGTTTTTACCGGTACCAGGGATCGAACTCACGACTATCTGCTTGCAAGGCAGGCATTTATGCCCCTACCTGTGCTTTTATTAATGTCAGTTATATTTATATGGCTTTCTGTTTCACTGATCAAATAGGATTATCCTCCCCACCAATGGCATGTGGTCTCAAGTACTGCACCTCTATAGCAAGTTGTGCAGGATCCCAACCTTCTCTCCTTTGATTGTTGCTAGTCTGCATCTCTCGCCTCTGCAGATGCTTTAGACTGTGGAACAATCTGCCAACATGTTCCAAAAGGCATCCATACCTGGAGCTTTCCCATCGACAGGCCAACAAGGTCAAGTGTCAAGCCTCACTCATATTCATAGCTTCAGATCAGCTTTTTAGATGCCTGCCCTTTATTCTTTTTAAATTGAGGTTGAAACTTTGTGTCAGTCTTTAGAGCTCAGTGAATTTCATCTGTACACATCTGTGTCATGAAACCATCATCCTGAGGAAGACACTGAACTTCACATACTCCCAAGACTCATATCCACGGCTACTTTGTACTTTATGCTCTAAACTATGGCTGATTTGTAAGCGGAATTATCAAAGTAGAGATGAATAGACTTACTTTAAGAATCACTTGTCAAGAGTCATATCAATATAATCAACATGTGGCCTACTGCCTTATTTGAAGACTACTTGTCCTGTTGTGCTTTTATGAGCACAATCAGAAATGTGGAAATTGGTCAAAATGAAGATATACACCCCACCTCAGTAGAAAGTAGTCTTGTTTTTTCTGTGTCTAGGTCAGTGGTGGCCAACCTATAGCATGCATGTCACAGCGGGCTGCTATACCACTGAAAGCTCTAAAAGACTTGCCATCACTGGCAGGCTTTCAGAGCAGATGCCAACCAAAAAACTTAGCCATCAGGTTCCACTGCAATGGGAGAAAATGACCTAGCTTACACTTTCAGTGCAGAGTTGAGTGCTCCTTTGCTGTGCAGAGCTTTTGTATAACCTTAAGCTGCTAATGAGGAAACGTGAGCCAAGCTAAGTGGTGAAGGTTTGCAACCACTAGCTACACTTGGGGCAGGCTGCCTCTCACCTGAGACAGTGGCTCACAACTACCAATAAAAGGGAATGCAGAGGTAAAAGCTCTTCAAAAACTGCTGCCAGACGAACACTTATCCTTGCATATTAAGATTTATTTTTCTTGCAACTAATTTTTTAATTTCCTTTATAGAACAAATTCAGCTGCTGTGATTTTCAGCCTGAGTGGTTAAGACTACAAAAACAGGGATGCTACTGTATCACAAATCAAACCAAGCTACTGAAATTCTAGGTTATCATTCCATATTCCATTTGCTTTTTCCATACAACTCAGATAATTCCTAGATTCACACAGTAACAAAGGGCGGCCACTAATGGCATTTAGGATGTGATCTTCTCATGAGTCACCGATGACATAAAATCACCCAGTGGTGTCAACTCTTCGTTACTTACAGAGCACAGAGAGTCAGGGATTGGTACATTGCAACTGGTACTCAGGCATACAGTGGAAAATATTCTGATACAAATTATTTTACCTCTTCAAGTTTCTTTATCTGTAGAATGGGGGTCAAATGAGTCCATCCCATGAGCCCGACGGTAGCTACCTTTATTTGCAGGGTTACTGAATGCTTCCATGTAGTTTTCAGGTCTCCTTTTGACTCTGACAATCCCTCTGGTTAAAAAGTTACTACTAAAATTCTTGCTTTGAATGTTCATGTAATCACTGGGTGTGGAGAAAGGAATGGCGTAGAAATGGAAGCATGCTCTTTGTTCTCAGTGCAGGTGCCAAGGTAGGTCTTCAATACTGACTGTGCACAAGCAGGTATTCTGCGTTTTTCTCCCCCAATAAAATAGGGGACATAGTGAGTCACTGTGTAGGGATGGGGGAGGCCTGTGAGCCACTCTTGGAACTTGAGGTGTGACTCCAAAGCCCATGGCTCTCTGTTTTACAGATGTTTCTAGACAGCACCTGTTTCTCCTGCCTCTGCTACACTTCCACGACACCCTTATGGACTCAGAGGTGAAGAAGAGATACTTCAAACCTCATGTTCACTAGTAAAAGGGTAAAGAGAACTGTTATGCAAATTCTGAGTTTGAGGTCAGCTGCTTTGAGGCTGGTCAGGAGGAAATGAAGAAACAGGGCAAAATCAAGGCTCTTGAGAACTAAATACTATACACACAATGTACTTTAAAAATGCTTTTATTGAGTATTAATCAGTTACAAGTACTGTAGGTTAGACATTAAGCCAAAGCACAATTACAGGTTAAATATAATCACAAAGATGTTTTAAATAGAAACCCACCATGGAGGCAGGTCAAAGTTCACTGATGCCCTCTTTTGGAAATAAGCAGAGTGGAAAAAAGATGTTCCATTCCAGGTGAAAAATAATGAAGACTAAAAGAATTTACATGCTGGAAGTGACTTTTTATGACCTGATCAGCAAAGTTGCCAGATTTAGAAAAAGTGCAAAAAAACCCAAACCCAAACAAAACTATCCCCCAAAAAACAAACAAAAAAGATGCTCAGTTAAATTTTAATTTCAGATAAATAATGAACCCTTTAACTGTAAGAATATGCAACTATTGTATGAAACATACTTAAGCTGAGAAATTGCTTGTCTAAAATTCAAATTTAACTGGGCATCGTGTATTTAATCCGACAATCCTACAAATAGACAAATACAAAAAAGAAAGACATAGAGGTTGGAACCCCCTGCCACTGGTGGGTCACACAGGGATTAAAAAAAAATCAGTAACAAACCAAGGGTGTCACTATATTGGTTACTTACACAGACTAACATCACAACAAGAAAATACAATGACTACTTCAAATGCTGTTGCCAGAAAGCATTCTAGATTTCCTCAAAGCTGGTTTTGTAAATGTTTTGAGAAACTTTGTTCATTGAAGTACCTCTTTAGTTTTGTAGGTATCAAACACAAACACTACCACAAAGATAGGATGAGCGAAAAACAATGGGAGAAGCAGTAATTATACATACACGAAGAGTCTGTTTTATGTAACGGTACAATTATTATATGGTCAAGGTCACCTCACAGGTCTAAGGTATCGGCCTCAAATGTGCTGGCTGCTTTTCAGCTTTCACCATGGGGTTTTGTAGTTCTTCCTCCCGAAGTGTGGGTGAGGCAGGAGGGTGTGTGTGGGACGTTCCTACTACCAGGGTTTACAGCTTTTCCCAACTGACAAAGGGCATAAGGGCTGCCTACAGAGACGGGCAGACAGATGAAAAATAAAACCATCTGAATTTTGAAGGGTGAGAGAAAATTCTTTGAAAGGGATGGTGCTATGTGAGTGTGGAAATGAGCAGGGTAAAGCAGGAGAAAGATGGGAAAGTGTGAGGGGTGGAGATGCGAGGCCTCCACAAGGCGAGTATGACGGGGGTGGGGTGGGGGGGGCGGGGGGCAGAATGAGGAGAGAAATGTGAAGCTGGTCACAGCATGACTGCACTGGCCTTAGAGTGTATAGAGTCCTTAGCTCCCTACAGATTCTCACGTTAGTATCTCTTAGCATATAATTTAAAAGTTAAACACAGTTTGCTTATCACTCAAATTCTACACAGTATCACAGTTGATACTGTACCCACACATACACGCAACTTTGTAGGCTTTGAGATCGTTCTAAACAATTTTCCCAACCAAAAATCTGGTTGCTGAGGATTTCGAGTATGGAGAAATTAATGGATGGATTACATCAGCTGTGTTGTAAGTGAAGGAGTGTAGCTCATGAAATGTACCCCCATAATACAAGCTCAAGAAGTATGAAAATCCGGGAGATACGCCAACTCACTGACAGTTTCCAAACACCAAGAAACAGAATTGCAATGTTTTATTTATTAGAATGTAAAAGGTTAAAAACTTTCTGCCATAATTAAGGCTTTCTTAAGCTAAAACATTTTAATTGTCTACTAATTGCAGAATGCACAAGTAACCTAAAAAAAGTTTCCAGGTGGTATGTTTTGAATGCATTTCCTTTTAATTTGCTAGATGTGTCTAACAATAGCTCAAATGTTACTTTCACTTCTCTGTCATTTATTTGACATTAACAAACTTAACTTCAGTCTTTAAATGAATTTCAGGTATATGAAGCCCTAATGTCAATTGTGAATATCTGCTGAATGACTAAGTCTATAGCTCTGTACAAGACAATTAGCCTCACAGAAATCATAGCAAGAAGGCTGTATGTCACAGACATCTCACAAACAGGATAGGATGTGCTAAGGAAAGGTGCTTAAAAACGGGCACCATTTCTGTTTGTGAGGCTGTTTACAGGAATTCAGGGAGTGCGCTTGTTTCCAAAAAGCGGGGAAGCAGAGTCCAGTAATGCTTCATACCACTAGGAAATGTACTGAAATGGAGAAAACCTAGACAACTTATTGCATTTGAATGCTGTTTTCCAGCATCAACAAAAATTTTACTTCTTGTATAATTCCTGTGATAACAGAATGTGAATCTACATGAACTTGCTTGCCATCTTCAGGCATTTTGTGCATATTTCAATGTACTCTGCTATTTTCTATCATCAGCTCAAAGGAGTACAAAGAGACTATTCCATTAAATATCCAAATATTGTTTATTCTACTTATGTTGCTTGAAAAGCTGGACATTCTAAACTCCAAGAAAGAAAAGTAAGAAAGAATCCTGGTGTGCTGCTATGACTTTGCATAGAATCAAAACTCTAGGTTCCATGCTGTCATTCTGTTAACCAAGTAGCAGAATCTTCTGAGCAGAGAACCGATGAGGCCTGAATCCAGTTCTGGCTATGGTATGAAAATGGAAAGGTATCTAGATTCTTTTAGGAAGACTCACAATAAAGAAAGGAGGAAAATGGTGGGGTCAAGGTCACTGTTCAAGCTATTTTTATTCCAGACTAGCAACCTGGGAAAAGCGGAGGTCCAACACAAGGAGAAAAGTGTCCAGAGCACTTAGGTTATGCCTGAGTTAAGTTCCCAGTTGGCTACAGGCGAACCTTCTGATTTAGAGGGAAAGCTGTAGAGATGCCTGGTTTCTCTCCCATGTGGTCTGGGAAGCAGAGGGGTCAGTCAGTTCAGGGGACTCCCACACTTACTAGTGTTGCTATATAGTGTGCATTCAAGAAATAGATTTCAGCCTAATTTAATGCCATGATTTAATATTCTATAAGGTTCTTCACATTGGTATAGATGGAAATTCCAGATGTAATTAACTTTTGCTAACTTTTGGTGAGTATACTCATGATGACTTGATTTTCAAGTTCTGAAAAAAATGATTCTGGCTCCTGTGATATATCCATTAACTCCTTCTCTTTAGCAAATGATATATACACAGTCTCTCAAGAACTACAACATAGTCAAATCATTACAAGACCAGAAGCACTGCAAACGTTTCCCATGTACAGACAGTACCTTCACTTGGCACACAGAACAGCAGACATGTAACATTGGTAGTTTAAATAATGAACCACAGTTTACCTTTTCAAGTGTAAGGCCCAAGTTTAACACTAGCACATCCATTAATCTAGTTAGTATGATGGAAACGACACAACGTACAACTATAGTCTGGTAGTGGTTTACCTTTTTAATGAAGCTATAAAGCTTTCCACATCTATTCCATATTAACTCTTAACTAAAAATTATAGCTGTTGTTTACCACTTTAAACTATGTGGAGGTGGGGGCAAAGTAATACACACTTCACAGCTACTGAAAGCTACAAAGATTGCAATGTCTTTGTCACACACAGCAAAAAAGAAAAAGTGGGGGGGGCCCTCAACAAATCAGATTTTGAAGTGTTATATGGACTTCTAGTGCTGTTAAACACACAACCAAGACATAAACATCCAGCTTGGGTCACTGAAACTTCAACCGATGCAACAACTGAGGCTGATTCTTGATTTAGTTTTGAGGGCCCATGCATGATTCAGCTACAGAATTCAAACAAACTAGTGTAACCCTAGCACGAGCACTGAACTTAAGGTGAGAGAGAGAGAGAGAGAGAGAGAGAGAGAGAGACGGAGAGGGAGAGGGAGAGAGAGAGAGAGAGAGATGCATTTGACAGTCTATTTCTGTACTTCTGCAAGGAACTACTTTGTTTCATTTCTGGAAATTAGAGGAGGTCCCAGCTTATTTGGTCTGCATTAAAAACTTCAATTAGTTTCCAGGACTTTAACTGAAATGCAAACTGGGGATCACACTGTTTTCTTACCATGTTTGTATTGCTTTTGCTCCAAGGCTGAGGAAATGGACAGTGTGTCAAGTAAGTACAGTAACATACTTAATTCAAAATTCAGTTAAGGTGAACAGGGCAAGTGAAAGAACTGTGGCAGACAACTTCTTTTGAAGTGTCAGGTGCACTTGGCAAATGCTGGTTAAAACAAGCAGTACTTTCACACACAAGAAATCCAGTATGGCATTTCTCTATCATCTTCATTTAGAAAAATAACTGAAAGGACTTTGGTTTCAATTTTTGTTTTCCTTGTCTAAATATATTAAGAAGTTTGAAGTGGTTCAAAAGTTTAGTGCAGGGATTTTTATAAACTATTTGAAACATGCCATTCAAAACAATCTCAAATGTGAATTTAAAAAGGTCTTGCATTTGTGTACATCTATCTATTACACGGGATTTGAATGCTAGCTTCCTAAACTAAAGAGTCAATAAAATCATATTCTGGGGACTCTGATGATGTACAATGATTCCATTGACTTTGGAAATAAGGCAGCTAATCTGGGGGTGACAGCTCTGGTGGCAGGGATTGAGGGACAGGACATCTTCGTTCTCTGGGGAGTCCCCGCCTCTTCGGGCTGCAGTCACACAGCGCCACATGCTCCTGGCCCTTCTCAATGCTGCTCCTTCGATGGGCTGATCCCTGGTAGCAGCTCTGTCTGGAGCAGGTCACGGCTGTCTCACTCTGCTCTCTGCTGGCTGCGCTCTCCTGTGATTTCCAGCACTGAGCCGAGCGCCCTGCTCAGGACGTCTTGGAAAGAGCACGCAGCTGCCCCCAGCTTCGAATCCTCTCACCTTGGAGCTCCTAAGTCAGGTTGGTGCTTGTGCCTTCCCTTGAAAAATGGGCCAATTCATAAAAGGAAACTAAAACTTGTTGTTTTTCCTTTTCTCAATTTATGATAACAAGAAGCATGGAGATAAAATCAAACAAAAAAGTAGAAAGAGAATCTTGCTCAGCCAGAAGCTAGGGTTGCATTGTTAATGATTTTAGTCAGTGTGACTTTGTGCAAAATATCCTCAGGAAGGTTCTGGCTCATTTTCAAAGTAAAAATTAAAAAAGAAAACAAAAACAAAAACCTCTGAAAAGCCCCAATGATGCATGTTTGGGAAAAAATTAAAAGTGAGTCTGCATTTGTATATATTTGCTATATACATGTGCCACATTTAATAAAACAAATGTAGTGTGTGAACTGTGAACATCTGAAACAGTATTGGTTATGTTTCCTATTCTCCCATTTCTAAGTCTAGATCAAAACAATCTTGCTTTAGAAATGGGTAACTGTGATGAAAATGAGCCTGAGATATGTTAAAAGGCCACCCCTGTAAACATTTCCTCAAAGGGAACAGTAGTAGTTGAGTATGTATCAGTTACTCATACTATATTCATCACTATAGCAATGCTTTATAAAAGACAAACAGCTTATTTCTAGGCTGTCAGGGATTTAAGAATATTGATTTTTGTTGGAAATGATCCACGCAATCCAGTCCTGTTTTGGATCTGATGTGGCCTTTACCAGTGGGCATTCACTAGGTCTTTTGCTCCGCAGCTGTTGAGGTCTGTGAAGGAGCTTCTGGCTTCATGATCTGGTACGTGATGAGATACTCTGGGTATGCCTGGGGAGGGCAAGAACAGAAACTCCTCACCCTTCTGGTAGTTGTGCTATTATTAAAGCTTTCCTGTAGGTGGAGGCCTCGGAGGTGCTGAGTGCCTAACCAGTGTTCTACACAGACCCAGGAACCTCTGAAACCAAGTAGAGCAAAAGGCACCTGAACAAAGGAAAGGCCCACCAAGCTACAGGAGCACACATTTGTTTATTTATTCATTTGCCATTTTTAAATGTATAAACATATATAAATTCTAAAATCTAGCAAATAATTCAGATGTTACTTCTCCTTTTTTCTCTTTCTCTTTTTAGTGTTAGGCATAGAACCAAGGGCTTTGTACATGCTAAGCGAATGCTCTACCACTGGGCTATGTATCCCCCAACCTACTTCTGCTCTAAATACTGTCAGTTATACACTGTGCTTCCTTTATTAGACAGCCCTGTCTATACACAGGCAGCACTAACACTCATCTTCTTTGCTTTACTTAGCATAATGGCCAATAAAGTGTTAAACGAAGGCCAAATTCTGCTCAATAGTTTAAACTGATCACAAAAATGCTAACTGGCTGAGCGAGGAGGAGTAACAGTTACAATATGTTGAGTCATCAGTGACCTGCAGGCTATAGTTTGGGGACAATTTTTAGAAACTAACCAAAGGTATCTTTTATAGGAAGGATAACGGCTCAGATTCAGGCTTGCCTCTCCCACTACTCTGTCTCTTCTTTGAAGTTAGTAAATCCCAAAGCTCAGCATCTAGACTAGGAAGAGTACTTCTTAGTAGGAACAGGAAGAGGAAGGCTCACCAGAGGAAATTTCTCATAAATCTTAACCAGAAATCATCACGAACACAGCAGTTAGAAAGATGTGAGCAAAAACAAGCTTTTTTTAGTGTTCTTCGACCCTATGTATAACAGGATGCTACACAGTCACAGTACTACTTCAGCCCCATATAGAACATGATGCTAAAACTAGACCCGGTATTTCAGAGCAGTCTGTGGCTAAAAAATAATACTCTTTGGAAAGTAAAATGTTTTTGGGGTCCCAAAATAACTGGTGAATGCTGATCTACGATTTTACGATTTACTTGCATACAGATATGGACTAAGATAATAAAATGTATGCAGGAGAAGGAAAAAATGGACTGATGACCATTCAAAATGCAAAACTAAATATGTGGTCGATGTACTGGATTTTTTCTTTGTAAGTACTACAGCTTGATGTTAAGAGGCAGAATGCATTATGTCTTAGCTTCCCTCATCAATCAATGGCAATAGCAATGAAAGGATTTTTGTTGAGGATCAGATGCAAAGGTCTTGGAAAAGGCTCAGCATAGTAAGACTATTCTGTATTGGTTTTTACTATTGATGTCACTGTCATTATTATTACTCATTACAGACTAGTGCTCCTTAAGTCAGTAAAACAACAGTTTTAAAAAAACAAGAAACATAAATGTGTTTTCAAAAATTCTAACTGTATATAAAAAGAAATAATCACTATCATTCATAATACTCTTTTCCAATCTGCAATGGTCTCCATCACTGGCATACCCTGTTGGAATAACCAAGGATGATAATCTTTCCTGACTTTCTATTTTTGGGGGGACAAAATGAGCAAAAGATGGTAGCAAAGTTTATTTGAAACAGTGGAAGTGAAGAGGCAGAAACTGGCTCTGCACAATGAACCTGGTCCAAGTAACAGAAGAAAAAGCAGGATACAGGTGCACCGTGAGGAAGCAGGGCGGGCTGCTGTCAGGAGAGCTGTGCTAACATCTCCCCATTTCCTAACGGCAAACTTCAATAACTGAAGAGTCTACAGTTTCCCTCTCATAATCTGTATGCTGCTTAATTCGTGAGATAGTTTTAAGGTGGTATTTTAGATTTTAGATACTAAAACAAACTGAGTCAGATACCACTGATTTTAGGGTTAGTTATAAAGAATGCAGCAGAGCTCATATTCTGGTGGAAAGATGGAAATATTGGTTAGTCAAGCAGATGGTTCAATGGCTAAGAAAATTATTTATTTGCCACTGATACACAAGTATCAAGCCTCTACCACATACAAAACACTCTGGTATGAGGTGGAGATCAAGAAGCTAATAATCTAGTTTGGGAGGATAAGCCAAAGAAAACGAGGACTAAAACTAACCTATGCTGATATCTGCTACACGTGAAAAATGAAAGTGAAGTTCATTCCTACTTGTTTTTACCCCAGAAAAACTTACTATCTCTAACACTGGTACGCCGTTTTCTTTTTGTTTGCAGAATGGCTGCTTGCGCAGAGGGGTCACGAGTCAGTGTGTGCATTTTGGTACATGTGTTTAACAAGATCTCCGTCACATGTAAATTTTAGTCAGGGCTATTCAAAGATTTTAATGGCATGAATTTCCTTACCTGAGTGCTGCTTACTAGGTTCTGAATTATTTCTGTGCAAAGTTTAAAGTACTGATTAATCATATCAAAGTCCAGAGAGACTTAAGGCAAGTGAATCATTAAACTGAAGTAGTAGATGGGACTGGATGAGGTTAAGAAAACAGTCTAGAAAACTTCAAGTTACTTTAAACTCCATACTGGTACTGAGAGTGACAAACTATGTAGCGGACTTTCTACTCCAATTTTTTCTTAAATCTTAGGTGGTCTCCATCTGCTCTACTGATGGGTTTAATAACTCGGTCACATATACACGATGGGTAACGTACCTGTTCTCCTCTGTAGATGACATATTCAGCATACGCCAGCCCATTGACACTTGGTCTACCAATAACCGAGTGATGTCCTGGTGGGGCATGGGCCATTTTCATGGTGCTGAATTGCAGAAAGGATTTTCCAAGGGTCACTCTACAGAAAAGCATTTGTCTAAAGAAGAAGGAAAGCAATGCTTTGAAAGAAGCTTCAAATTTTAGAATGACATAATAGTTAAGTTTATTGATTTAAAAAACTAACATAAGGTATTATTTTATAAGTTTATGTGTATGAGTGGATGGGATTTGAGATGCTGATTCACCATAAGGCAGTGGTGGTGAACCTACAGCACGCATGTTGTTTTTCTTTTATGACAAAAGATGTCATTGTGTGAGTTTTTTCTTAAACTAAAACTTCAATATTCAGGTTTAACTGTAGTGCTGGCACTGTGTTAAGTAAGTAGATTCTGGGCTGCAGTTTGGGCCCGTGCCTCCAAAAGGCTCACCATCACTGCTACAAATACTTACCAGGCTTAGTAGGGACACTCATAGTTTAAAGTAGTTTTGGGTGGCTTACAACTCCATCCTAAAAAACACCTGGCATGAATCTGTGCCTAGTAATTAAGGGAAGTACTGTAGAAAACCATGGTTTTAGATGAATGGATAGGTGAAATGTACAGAAAATAAGTATGGAAACAATATCTGAAATTAAGATTGGAAAACTGGGGTGGTGAGTAAAAATTGTAATAAACAGTAATAATAAAATTAGGCTATAAACAAAAGTACTTAGCTTCCATATACAGCTAGCAACTCTATTATCTGGGCAAAACATGAATTAGAGCAGACATTAAACATTATAGAGAGCAAGAAGAGTTAGTTGGGAAGAAAATATATCAATTATAACCTAGGGGCCAAATTCTGGCTGCTACCTGTTTTTGTAAATACAATTTTACTGTAACAAAGCCCTGCATTCATTGATAAGTAGTTTATGGCTGTTTTTTGTACTACAGAGAAGATCTGAGTTATTGTGACATTAATCACATGGCCTACAAAGCCTAAAATAATTATCTAGCTCCTTCAAAAAAAAGGGCCAAAACATGTTCCCCCTAATAATGGTGCTGGAAAAACTGAGGAAGACTACACCTAGACCCATATCTAACACCAAGTACTAAACTAAAGTCAAAAGGGATCAAAGGTCTAAACAGTAAAACAGAAACACTAAATCTACTGGATGAGAAAGTAGGCAGAAATCTTAAGACACAGGCTAGGTAGAGGGCATGAACCAAACTCCATGGGAAATACTTCACAGAATCAACAACTGGAATATCATCGTATTAAAAAGTTTTTGCACCTCAAAAGAAATCACCAACAGAGTGAAGGGGAAAAAATTTTTAGCCAACTGTCCTCAGACAAAGGACTTCTATTTAGGGCACCTAAAAAATTCAGACCCCAAATTCAAAGATTCAATCCAAAAATGGCACTAGAGATGAACACAGACTTCTCAAACGAAGAAATATAAATGGCAAGTAAATATGTGAAAAATGTTCAACATCATTGGTCTTTCATGAAATGCAAATTAAAACAACACTGAGATTTCATCTCACTCCAGAAAGAATAGCTACCATCAAGAAAGCAATCAATAACAAATGCTGGCAGGGTTGTGGGGGAAAAGGAACCCTTCTCCACTGCTGGTGGGAGTGTAGACTGGTACAACCATTGTGGAAATCAGTATGGAGATTGTTCAAAAAACTAGGATTGGAGGTCCCAATCAACTCGGCTATTTCCTCTTCTGGGTATTTTCCCCGAGGAATTAAAAACATCATACCACAGTGATATATGTGCACCTATACTTATGGCAGGACAATTTGCAATAGCTAAATCTTGGAAACAACCTGAATGCCCATCAACCAAGGAATAGATTAAAAAGATGTGGTATTTTTATATAATGGAGTACTTCTCAGCTATAAAGAAGGATAAACTCTATGCTTTTATAGGTATTTTAGGTTTCTTTTGTTTCTGCAGTAGGTATGCTTGAAAAAATCTAACTTTTACATGCTATATATCTTAAGGAATTTCTGTGTTCTTAACCACAGAGGTCACAGTGGAAAGACACTTCCCTTGGAACATATGGCATGCATCTTAAAACTGCTGGTGACTAGAAATTTTTTCATAAAATAATTGAAAGAGATAAAGTTTAAGGTCAACAGCTATAAGGAATTTAAAGATCATTTTTTAAAGGTCTTAACTAAATGACAAGATATTAATCTGAATTTGTGAAACAATACACATGATTAAACAGAAATGTGATAAATCTTTGCCTTTGTAAAGCATAAATTTTCTGTATGATTTTATCACTGGCAGGAAAGGAAATACTGTTTTTTTCCCCATTGAGTTAATAGAAAGTATGCTACTATTTTCTCTTATTCTGAATGTTAAAATTCTACTTAAATGGTAACATTCATTTGTGTATTATTCCAAAGTTGATATTTTCAAGGTAGATTTTTCAAAGCTAATCACAAAATAACAATATCACTAGCACTATGAGAAGTGAAGTCAAAGTCTACTCACTGATATAAGCTATGTGTCTTGCTCAAGTGTGACACGACCTAGAGGATTTCTGTTCCGCAGGGATCATTCTCAGCCTTTCCTTGTTCTGATTCTGAAGCAAGGAATGCCGAGCAGGGAGCAGTGCAGATGCAGGAGGATTCATTGTAACCTATGGCTGGTAAGCGTGCACTTGCTTTTACCACTGAGATCAGCGCTGCCCTCAACCCTCCTATCAGTGCAGAGGTTGCTCAGCTATTCCTACCTACCTCTAAGCCTCTGTTTATCAAGAAGTGAGACTGAAAGTTACCTGTCCCTTTAAGAGCCAGAGAAACTAATCCAGTTGAGGGCAGTAACCATTACACAAAAGGCCAGATGCTTACCTGTGGCATACATAACAAGACCTGTCTTTGTGTGTGGGGCAGCCTGTTCCTCCTCCAATCCCGTAAACATACTGGTTGCTTTTTGAGGAATTTTCAGCAAAGTAAATCCCAGCTCCAAACATTCCTCCTATGTATGCATGTCGTTCATCAAATCCTTTATGAATAATGGCATTAATGAAAGGAGAACCTAAAAATACAAAGATAGATTAGCTTTTAAGCACTTTTCCAGGATCTCATTTAGGTGGATATTATATGCACTGAGTAGGAAAACATTAAGTAATTAATAATGCGTAAGTAAAAAAGTTTATTTTTAAAGATAACCTGTTATACATATTGTTATATTAACTAGAATCTTATTAGTGACCCACATAGTACTTGTCCACCAAGAATGCTATGTGGATTTTGGAGATAGTGTGAGACTTTAGACAGGAAAATATAATGTGGCTATTTTACATGTAAACATACATGGGATAAATTAAATAATTAAATTACTACAAAAAAATACCAAGTAGTTACACTTACAATTTAAGTCCCTAAACAATTTTCACTAAATTACTTTCACTGCTTCTGTCTTGGAAAGCACTGTGAAGACAGCGTCACATGTGTATATGAAAACCACAACACGCTATTTTAACACAAGCCGATTAAAAATACAGGTGTTTTTTGTTTCTAACTTTACTCATTTTACAAAAACCCAGACAGCCGTGCACAAGCACTGCTGCCCACTCACCATGAAATAACATGCGCTCATTGTGATGGTTGTGATTCTCTTCAGACACTTCCTTTTGTCGGTGACAGAATCGCTCTCTCAACTTCTTGTTAACGACTTTTTGAATCTTTATGAAAAAGAAAGAAGCTAATTATGAGTAAAATATAAGTTTATTATTTAAGTATGGTTCTCCTGAGGTGGAGTCAATTTGTTTTGTTTGCTGAAGACCTTAAAAAAAAGTCAGTGTTATTCAGCTAATACACTGGCTATTAGAGACATAAGTTTTAGTTACAGTATTTGCTGTTTGGTATCAAACTAGGCTGTTACCGCAAATGTCAGGAGTTGAAAATTAAAAAAGAAGTTGTCCAAGGCTTAACGGATTTTATGAAATGGGTCTTAGAAATCTGCGTTTTTAAAATAAGCTCTCCGGTAAATTCTGATAGATACCAGTGTAAGTTCCATAGGTTTGTTAACTCAAAGAGTTAAACTCGTTCTAAATAGATCTTACTCATGAAGCTCCTTTGAAAAAGAATTATTTATTTTATACCGTAAATGAAGATATTGACACTAAGAGACATATTTATTGTTGTATGATTACTGACTCAAATAGATTCATGATTTGGGACTTTTAAAGCTACTTTCAAAAGATAGAAACCTTGGTACAATCCAAAAGTGTGGATGCACTAGGAGACTCATATCCATGAATTCACCGTCACTGATTTCACGTTCTGTTTGGAGGTTAGTCTCAGTTTCTAGAGAAGCATGGTCCTGGGGTCAGAGGTTATAGTAGTATAGTGAGAGAATCTGACATCAGGGCAACAGGTAAGTACCCGGTTTTATATATATATATATATATATATATTTTTTTTTTTTGGTACTGGGGATCGAACTCACGACCTTGGGCTTGCCAGGCAGGTGCCTGTGTCACTGATATAGCCCTGGCCTCCAGGTAATTATCTTTGACAGTGTGAAGATACAACTTTTTTTTTTCATTGTTTAGATATGACTTTGAGGCAAAGCTTGCGGTGTAGTTTTCTCTATAAAAGTTTTAAACTTACTCGAATGACATTGTATCTGTTGAATATGCCACCAGCATTACCACCATCTCTGTGTTCCCGTATAGTACTCTGCATCTACAGAACAAAAACGCAATAATTCACTTCATGAAAATATGCCAATTAGGAGGATATATTATAGTAACTTTTTCTGATTTCCTATTAACTTGATTTGAAGCCCTGTATTACTCCCACTATCTTGTTTTGACTGACTAGACTCTGTTCCGTTCTGTTTGATAGTATCAAGTTTGAGGGTATAGGCAACTTCTCTGAAGGCAATAAGATTCACTATAATGCCCGTTGTGGTTTGACTATTATCTTATTTTGAAGTCCTGTAATGTTTCCAATGTTTAGGTTTTATTGGTCTTGTTCTGTACTCTTTTGTTCAATTTTATTATACCTAATGATATAGTCAAGAGACATTATGGTAACCATTGTTGATAACTTTGTATTCTGTTTTTATATCACGTACTATGTCCATCCTTTGTTTTGATTGATTCTGCTTTGTTTCGTCACATTTGGTTTTATTCTCTTCCAAAAAAAAAAAAAAAATAATAAGAACTACGGGTAATAAAACCCAAAATGCGTAAATTTTGTTGTAAAAAAGAGAGGAAAAAAAAGTGCTCTAAAGGATACAACTGCAAGTGTGGTTTGGTGTGTTAAGATAGTTGACCATAATACTGAGTTTTTGTTGGATCACTGAACACAACTATTTGCAATCTCACTGTTTGAATGTCCACTTTGTATGCTTTAATTCTGTAACTTGAACAACTATTTCTAAGATGACAGTAAGTAATCTATTAACTAGTGATTTCTTATTGTTTTCTTTTGTAATTCTGTATTACTTATACCCTTATATTGTTTTTTTTCTTTTTTCCTTTAAATAAAAAATTAAAAAAAAAAAAAAAAAGAAAATATGCCAGAGTATAACATTAATGATGTTCTACCCATTGTTTTGAATACTCCTATATAGTTTCAATTAATAAATCTAACTGGTCAACAAATTTTGTAAATCAGTAATTTGGTGAGACAATAGTCATGAGTATTAAATTTATGCGTTTTCTGATCTAAGCTTTGAAAGACTTTTCTATAAATACAATTGAGAAATAGAAAAGTATCATTTTGAATCATCCACATTTATTATTTTAAACTGATGACTGAGAAACACTGTAATTAGATCAAAACTCTTCACACTGACTTACTACCCCTTTAAACATATGCTAAAAATAATTCCTAAAAATCCAACGTATTTTTCTTCCTGAGGTGAAGTATTCCACATGATTCCAATAGTCTGTAAGTTAGGAACCAGAAGTGTATCTACACAGATGAGGGAAGGTGAGTGTAATGTGCACTAACCAAATGGAATGGTTTTCTTCTCCCGTTACACATTCTTCTACTCTAATTAAAATTATGAAAACTAGAACTGTTTGAAAGACTGATGTGTTCTGGGCTCCGATGTAGTCAGTGGTAGAGTCCTTGCCTACCATGTACAAGGTCCTGAGGTCAAACCCCAGCAAGGCTGGGGGAAAAAGGCAATAAAGTACCAGAAGACAGGATGCCTTTTTGAGAACCAGACTAATAAGCCAAAGGACTGCTCTGGGGTAATGGTCTTCATTTCCCAGCATGGGAGTAACAATAACATGCACACTACTAAAAACAAACTTAAATGTGAATATATCTTTATCTGCTTGTATATTTGCACAATTGTGGAGTTAGGCAGCTTAATTATAATAGTGAAATTATGGGTAAGAAGTGAGGTACATAAGTCATCCACAGAAAGGAAATCTCCAAGCCACTGATCTACCAAAGGTTCATATAAATAGCCTTCCTACAGTGCCGGAGAATTCCATGGCAGACTTCTAAAACATATGTGAAAATCAGATATATTTTACAACTAAAAATAAAGATGAGTAGATACTTGCTATCTATGAGGCAAGAGTCTCCATGTTATTCTCAGGCAGCATTCTAGTATAAGAAATAGCTCTAACAGGATCCTTACATGCACGAATTTTCATGGAAATTTCTAGATTAAAAAGCCAGATTTGTTGTAAAATGAGACAGGCTTGTCAAGTGAAAACAATGTGGCATAGTTCTAACCCATTCACATTTTAATTTTGACAATATTCTATTATAATAGCTAATGGAGAGTATATACAATCATATAGCAGTGTAAGATAAGCTTATGTCTTTGGAAAAGTAGGCATAACTACAGTTTCAAGAAAAGAAAAGTAAACATTTTTGGAGTCCATTACCTCTTCTTCCACTGACTGATATTCTTTATCTTCTGGAGCAAGATCTAGCAATATAGTTCCCTGATTTACACAGTGAAAAGTCAAATAAGGATTGGTTCCTGGGAGAGAGAGGAAAAAAAAAATCAACATATAAAACAAAATTCCATTCTACTCAGGCTCTATTTTAGAGAAACATTAGTCATAAATAATTGGCATTCTGTTATGAGTCTAAACTATTTTCAATTTGAATATCAAATGTAGGTTATATTAAATAAATACAACAATGATAACAAATGGTGACATGCTTGGGTATCTATTTTATCTGTTATTGAACTCTCTGTACACAGCAGGTCTCAACATTTATTGGACTGAAATCAATCATGAAAATATGTCTGACACAAAACAATACCAAACTGAAATTGCAATGTAGTTACATCTAAAATACATGAATTATGCTCTAAAACTTCTTGCATAGCTTGAAAAGTCTCAGTAGCTTTACAATACATTAACCATGTAATTTCATAAATAGTCTAAAATGAAGATAAGTCAGCAAGAATTAAGTTCAAAATCTTTGTCACTCTTGAAATTTTACTAGCTCTGTGGATTGACTAATTCTATTAGCTTACTGTAGTGAACGTTTGTCCAACAAAAAGAGAAAAGAGAAATGAGGAACACGAAGGAGAAATGTAAGAGGCTTATCACAACAAAGGACAATGGGAAAAGACTGAGCTGAGAGCCCTGAGGGAGGCAGAAGGGTTCAAGGTCAGATTATGAAGATCCGGGTTATCACGTGTGATTTCATGCAAAAAGCTATGGAATCCTAGTGCAGGATTTTAGGCAATGGAGTGATTTTTGGCCTCCTACAGTGCTGGTTACAGTGCAGAGAAGGTATGAGAAGAAGGCAAAGGTGAAGGTGGGCGATAAACCGGAACACAGCAGGGACAGTGCAGGAGAGACGGGTGGGGGGACTTGAATTATGTAAAACCGGGAAACACGGAAGTACACTACAGAGGTTATGAGGACTTAGGATATAAAGTGCAGGGCGATGCCCAGTCTTTGCATCTTGTGGGAGCATCATGCCAATCACTGAGATGGGGAAGACAGGAGATTCTGTAGCAGTAACATGCACAGACACTGCCTGAGCTCCAGTGGCAGCCCTGACATTCATCTTGTATCATTAATTTCTGAAAACTTTTTCCAAACAGCTTACCTTGCTGTCCACCTAAAAGTCTTTCTACTCCTTTGATTAATTTGTGGCGGTGTCCATATGCATTGATACCTATTTCTTTCAGTTCTTCATGACCCATGTCAGCCAACACATCTAGTGTAATCTAAAAAACGAAAAAAACAATTAGCTGCTAAATGTTTATCAGTTCCTCAGAGGACAAAAGTTCTTCCATTTGTCTACAATGCTATGGTCACCATACAAATTTTAAAGATTCTTTAATTTCCTTTGTAAGGATGACCTTACAATTTTCTTAAAGCTTAATTACATTATTAGCTTTTTTCCTAACTTGAAATACTGTTTGCTTTAAATCAATGGAGAATTAAAAAGGAAAAACTATTGCAGACATACAAAATGATCCTTGCTGTATTTCTCTTTGATGACTTACTTCTACAATCCCATTTACCTTGAGCCTTATTAGGGATCAGCAGCTCGAAAACGGGGAAATCCCATAGCCTAGAATCCACCAGGTAACCGAAAGGAATGAATGGTAGGGAAAAGGGAGGGATGTTTGTTACAATTAAACAGAATGTGATAGTGAGGAAAAAGCTCTAGGTTAGCAGCTTTTAGGTAAAAATAAGGAAATTCCCAATACTAACCAATATGAAGGTAGAAACAGGCTGCCTAGAAAGTAATGAGATTTAGATCTCAATTATGTATTAAGTTAGAGATCAGTTTATAGGGAATTTAGTACATTAAAAAATTTCAGTTTTGATAAGGAAAGATGGTTTTTCAATCTCTCACAGATAGTACGATTTAATGATTTCTGCCACATAACATAATCTGTTTTTGTATAAAATAGTGGTTTGAAATTTTTGGTTATTTATCCTGTAGATGGAGCCATTTACTTGGCTCTAGTAACAGTATCTAAGTAAGTGAGACTGTACTACCACCCAGTGGCAGTATCCTGCAATGCACAGGGTGAACCGGGGCAGCTAGATCTTTTGAGCGCCGATTCTGTAATTTCACAGCCTAGAAGGGGGCTCTGTGACAATCCAAACATAGCTTTTGATTTTCTATTTTCTTAGAAAGCGAAGAAATCCTTTTATAGACATTCTTTTTCTAACTCAAATGAGATATTTGTAGACTGGATGTAGCTTTTTTTATCCTACTTGCGCATAACATTTAAAAAACTGACAAATTAGACCTGGAGCTCTGCGGACTTTTTGTCAGAATGAAGTATTACACGAGGCAGATCATAGTACAATGAGCATATGTCATTTATGCTCTGAAGTAATTTAGCATATTGCTTCTAAGTGGTCATTTAAGAAATAATAGCTCCCCTGCACAAAATGGGCAATTCACTTTGAATCACCCAAAGGAAACTTCCATCAAGAGTTTTTAAAAGCAACAGTTCTGAAATAACTTTGAAATTAACAGTACTGAGCCTTTACATTTTTATTTGCATATACCTTTAATTACAATCTATTGACATTCTCATGTAAACATACGCTAGATACAAGTAGCACAAAAGACTTGCAATCATCTGTATTTAACTTTGTCAAGGTTAAGAGGGAGTTACTTTAAAAATGATTTCAAAACGATATTTTTAACAGGATTTAGGGATACAAAAGACCTGAATCTCAGAATGACATGTCTAAACTCCAATTAATTGCTTTCCTTACAGTTTCTTTTATTGATACACTATTATAGAGGTACTTTGGTTCACGAACTTTTTGTTTTACAACTTTGGAAAAATTTGTACATTTTTTTGAAAAGATGCCCATGATTGTGTTTGTGTGGGAAAGATGGTCGTGGTCATGCTTGTCACCTGATGCAGAATTTGAAACAAAAACAAAATTTTACCAAACACTTCTGTTTACAAACCAAATTGTTTGCACACAAAAGCATTTGTGAACTGAGACACCATTGCACATGTTCCAATTTGCTTTATTAAGTGAAGAAGTGCTTGAAATTCTGGTTATTTTGGATATGATTAGAATGAAAGGATATGGCTTTAACATATCTGTAGCAAAGGATGATGTTCTAACACAAAAACCTTCAAGAAAGGAACGAAGTAAAGGAACTCTTACTGTTAATAATATTCACCTACACAATCTCTATAAATCAGAAGATGAATAAATGAAAATTCTTATAGCATTCACTTAAATCTTCACTGCCCAAAGGAGACCCATGAGATGTGCCTAGTAAAGTACACTTTAAAATTGGCAACATGGCTTGGAATTATAACTCTCTAGACATTTGCAGCTATTTTACAGTTAAAGGAAGTGATAGGTTAAATGTCTTTTAACCAGATATACACAGTTAGTGAGTGGGAGAAAATAATTGTAATCAAGGTCTTCATTTAGTCCAAAGTTACTTCTACTAAAGAATTTTCATCATTGAAAGAGGCAGAGATGAACTATAAAATAAAGACATTATTTAGCTAAAAATAAGAAAGTATCAGAAAAAAGAACTGCTTTTTTTTTAAATTACAGAAAGTGTGCTTTATGATAAGGAAAATTTAAATACAACCAACACTAGTGAAAATAATGTAACTGGCATTTGTAAGCTTTGAGTTCTTTATTAAACAGGCATTTATTTACTGTTCCATGACAGTTAACTATCAGATTATGTGACAAAAGAGATTAATTTGAAAAAGTGAATAATGAATACAGAATGATGAACAAGAAGTATGGGTTTTTTTGGTTTGTATTTTTTCCTTAACAGATAGGGCTTTTTAAAATCTGAAATAGTAAACAAGTCATCTTCATCTAGAGAGACTCCCATATCCTACAAGAAGGTTTGGCAAAGAGATGCCACAGAAGATGAATTTATTTGTATTCCACCAAAACAATAAACTCTGAATGTTAGGCCATGACCCAGTGTCTATAGATACTAATCCCAACTAGCTGTTTGCTTTTAAATGGGCAAGACCTGGGGTTTTAATTAGCTACAGATAGATTGGCTGTAAGTCTACGATGAAGCTGAAATGGGGCACAGGCCAGTGAAGAATTTAGAAGCTAGAGTGCAGAAAGAATAACTAAAAAGTCAGAATATTTCTCCTAAAATAGGGGTAGGTTTGTAGAGGTAAGACGGGAAGGGTAAACTCTATGATGGATTAAGTTTTTAAAATGATAAGAAGGCTGTATTACGTTGTAGCAGGCTGATCACTGGCCCTCAAAAAGAAATGTCAATGTTTTAATCCCTAGAATCTGTGAATGTCACAGAAAAAAGGCGTATCCCAATGTAAAGATCACAAGATGAGGCCATCATCTAGGATAATACAGGGTAGGGCAAAAATTCAGTTAAGAGAAACACAGAGGAAAAGATTTAGGGGCAGATCTAAAGTCTTAGAAGAAAAGCAGAGAGAAGGCAGACAGTCCAGAAAGCAAAGTGAAGATGAAAGCAGGAACTGAAGTCAAGGAGCTGGAAGAGACTGCAGGGCCAGCAGCCACGACACCTTTTGATTTCAGCCTTCTGAAGGAATACATTTCTGTTTGGCCACCAAGTTTGTGGTAATTATTATGGCAAGCCTATGAAATAATACCTATTTAGACTGCAGGTTAAATTTCTGTGCAAAACTCTGTAAACCTGAAATAATGGACGAAATATGGGGGAAGATTTGGGCATAAGTTACAAGCTTCCCTACCTGGAGGACTGCCATGGATGACCTGCAAGAGCGACTCGATGATTTCTAAATACTTTTCCCATTCTAAGACTCTGTGTATGTTAGTAATTGTTAATTTAAACACAGGCACTGATCAGCTTTCAGTGTTTAATGCTGATGATGGTAATAAACACATGCAATACCAAGAACTCAATATCCAGTATAAAAACAGCATGCAAATAGAAGGATCCTTATTTGTAAATAACACCAGTGAAATGAGATGGATAAATTTGAAAGCAAAATTAAGAAAAAAAAAACTTTGAAAACATTCTTTTGAGGTACTTTTATGGTCTAGGCTTGCTTGTTTTTGCAGGGCTGAAGGCTGAAACCAGGGCTTTGTGCATGCTAGATGAGCTGCCTTCCGTCCCTCACAGACTAAGATTTGAGAGGCAATAAAACATCCACAGCAAGAACGCTTATAAAGACAAAATGAGACAACAATCAAAGACTCTCAACGGCTCAGATAATTTATGGCAGAAGTATAAAATGGCTTCTACAGAAATGTGCTACACGTTTCAGGAGAAAAAAAAGGGTAACAGTTTACAACCTGATATTTAACTAAAGTCTCATATACAAAAAAGTCTCAAGCATATACAAAACAGTTTACCTGTTCTGTTTCAAAGATATCTCGAAGATGTTCAAGGCCAAGGCTTTTTAGGAACTGGCTGATATTCATGTCAAGGCCCGCAACTAGAACATAAACATATTAAATAAAGATTCTCAGAAAGAATTCCATGTATCAAAGAATCTTTCGGTATCTATTTTGAAGCCATGTTCCTGGGTTATACAGAAGACTTTATATAGCATAACATAATTCAGAATACATAAATTTAATTCAGATATTTCAAGTTATCACTGAGCTTGGCTGAGAAGTAAAAGCAGAGTACTTTATCACACAGCAGTATATGTATTTGATCTAATGATATGGTTAGAATATAGACTTAGAATACAAAATTCTATAATGTATCTAAGCATACAATATTGTAATCATACTTCTAACAGCATAAAATGCTATTTTATATAGGATAACATAATACTTTTGGCTAATTAAAAAATCAAAATGTACTATTGTTATAGTTTACATTCCATAAACAATCAGTTGTTTTCTAATGTTTCAGTAGTAAGATTGACTCAGTAGTTCAGTCAGGTACTATGGTTGGCGATGGACATACTAGAACATAGTATAAATGAATAACAATACAGATTCCAAGGAACTTGGCAGCCTTCTATGAAGTACTTATTGTAAGACGTCATGTGTTAAAAAATTTACAGATAGGATATTAAGTGATATGTTCAGTAATTGACAACAGAAAAAAATAAATCTGTTCCAGAGAAAAAATAGTATAAAGAATAAGTGTTCACAGGCTACACATACCTTCTCCTTCCTTCCTTTCCGTACCAGCTGCACCGTCTCCTGCATTGGTGGCTCCTCCTACTGCCAACTCTGCTAGAGGGCCAGTGAGGTTGTCTATGCTGCTGGCTGCAGACAAGCAGGAGGGGGTGGATGCTGGTGAGATCAGAGAAGCACTCACTACAGTCGCCTGAGGTTTAAAACAGGTAGGTAAAGCTTCCGGGGGCATGGCATCTATCAGCAAAGCTCTGATATCGTCAGCCTAAAAATAATAATTTAAAAACACACAGAAGACATTATTTAAAATGCTGTTTTTCATTAAGTACCAAACACTTTGAGAACTTTTTCTTTAAATGAGTATCAGGCATGGAAATTGGAACCTCTAAGTAATGTAATGCTGTAATAAAAAACTATGATGTGGCCATTATGGTGGCATGTTGGCGTGGTTCTTGCGTGGGAGCTGGAAAACAGGCAGTTACTACTGAAGGCTAGAGATGGAAAGCAATACACACAAGCACTGGCACATGAAGCGCTGCGAAAGACGAAATGAACCTAAGAAACTCAGAGACTTATCTTAGGCAGCTTCAAGAATGCTGACTCTGCCAACTGAACTGACTCGTTTTACCTGCCCATAAGTAAGGTACAGCAAGACAGACATGAACTACGGAAGTAACCATTTCATTCTCTTTAAGGAAATATATTGCTAATTATTCCCCATCCTCAACCTTCCTACCAGCAAGAATTTCTCAAAGAAAACAATAGCCCAGGCCAAAGATCACAGATAGAGTGTTAACAATAAAACATGGCATCAGTAAAAATCAGTTCACTGGTTTGGTTATAATACCAAAGTCTTTTATTTATTTATTTTTTTTTGCCTTTTTCGTTTTTATCGGTACCAGGGATCGAACTCACGACTGCCTGCTTGCAAGGCAGGCGCTTATGCTGCTGAGCTAAATCCCCAGCCCCAATACCAAAGTCTTAACAAGACTTTTTAAGCAGTAGATTTTGATCTCTCAGCTAGGATACTGCTCCACGGTACCCTGACTTGCAAACCTAATCAGAGTGACTGCCTATGAAGAGATCTGTGGTTGTGGCTTCTGTTCAATGCAGTGGCATGTATGCAGATAGGAAACTCAAGTTTATAACCATACCACTTGGGACTAAAGGAACAGACAGGTCAAGATGAAGAAAGGCTCTTGGTCTCATATCTCTAGGAGGATGAAGCAAGTTGAAAAAGCCACTTAGCTGTAAACAGGGACCATTTCTTACCTAAGGAATAGGATGATTGAGAATCACAGCTAGTGTCAGAGAAAGCTATGAAAACCACTCCCTGAGGGATGAAATGGGCTGTATTCAAGGACCACTCCTGACTCCTCTAAGAAGATGGCCCTGAAAACACGTGCCCGAACTGGATTTCAGAACTGCTGTGGACCGGTGACAGCTACGTGCCCATCTTGGGAGGGCTGAGAATACAACTTAAATGTGAGAGAAATGTACAAAATTTGTGACCACAGGGAAGGACACTGGCAGATTAAAGACTATGACAAAATCTTTGCTTCATCCTTACAGGAGATCTATTTTTCTATCCTTTTATGTAAGATTTATGACTTGCTATGCATGAGAAAATGTGGTGACAGTTACAGCATCTTAGCTTTTAAGAGGAATGACAGCTTTTGCCATCTCCCTTTTGAAACATAAAACTCATTAAAAAACTGTAGCAGATTACTACATGATGAGACACCATGTGGGGCCTGGCACAGCAGTCCCTCCCACAGGTTTTAGTGAAGCCCTCTTGGCATTTTCACTTTAGCCACCAGGTGTATGCAGCTGCCCAAGTGACCCCAGTGAGCTCAGTGTGCAACTGACTATTCCAGGCAACATAAGGAATCATGCGAGGTTATTAATCATGATTCTTTTAAGCTACTGTTTTGAAAAAATCTGTTATTCAGCAATAGATAAAGGAAATAGAATATAGCATGGAAATTCTTTTTCTGGCTTAAAAATTATAAATTATTGTGACTATTAAGTCCTTCATTTTCAGAAAGTTAAAAAAGATACAATCGGGGCTGGGGATTTAGCTCAGCGGCATAAGCGTCTGGCTTGCAAGCCCGTGTGGTCATGAGTTCGATCCCTGGTACCGGTAAAAAACAAACAAACAAACAACAACATCAACAAAAAAAAGATACAATGTTTAATTGGGCAATTAAATTCAATTGTTGGTTTTAAAAATATTTTTACAGTGTATTAATTGACTTATCTATTTTCATAAGAATAACTTCCTGTCCAGAGTGAATTTTTAGGTCTATTTTATATTTAAATACATATATGTTGTATTTTAATGAACATTTGTTATTCTACAATAATATGCCATGTGTAGAAAGTTGAAGATATTTTGCTAAATGTAATTGAGGAACAATGCTAGAAATATTTTCTTATGATTCGTGTTTTTTCCTTCAAACTAACTTTAAGTAATTAATAGTTATTTTACTGCTTGGTTTACCTTAACGAAAGTTTAAATATAACAAATGTGAATATCAAAAATTGTCAGATTAAAATGTGTTCTTTTAATTTTGTATTAATGCTTATTGTTTTACTGAATGTTTCACTGTGATATATTCGCAAATGTATGCCTCACACTTCGATCTTACTCACTCCCTGTGAGCCCCCTTCTCTAACAGTCTCCCTTCTATTTTTTTTTTTTTTGGTACTGTGGATTGAACTCACAACCTTGCACTTGCCAGGCAGATGCTTATGCCACTTAACTAAATCCCCAGCCCTTCCGTTATTTTTTATGTTATCTTTTTCTCTTTGCTTTTTTCCTAGATTTGACATATGAGAGAAAATGAGCAATGCTTGTCTTTTTGAGTCTGGCTTAAGGAAATTTGTTCTTATTCTAAACAAAATGAACAGGTAAATCTATTGAGCTGGAGAAAGGAACGGCATCTCTGAAATTATCACGAACAATAGCAAAGATCTAAAATGAGGACTTACTGTTGCCAAGTCTAAAGGTGTCTGACCTTCTTGGTTCTTCATAGTTGGATCAGCACCATGTGCCAGGAGTAAGGCACACAGCTGAGTCCTTCCTTTCTGAGCTGCTTCATGGAGAGGTGTAAACGCCCACTTATCTGTTGCGTTTACACAAGTGTTGTATTTTATCAGTAGCGCTGCTATGTCCACATGCTGAGGGAATACAAAAGGAGGCAGGAGAATGAGACCATCGGGAAGCCCTGTCATGCACACTCTTTTTCTTGGAACAACTTTTTCTATATTTCTATTCTCATCCTTTATAAAAGTTTCTTTTAAAATATTTTGCCCCTCTCTCTGCATTTTGGACTCTCATCTTTTCTAGCTTTCCCCCCAAATCTCAATTCCACAGTATTCCTTTATTCTGTAATTCTGCCTGAGTTTTTTTTTTTAAACTCAAGCATCTAGCATACTCAAGTCTACATTAAAAACAAATACTGAGATCTGATCTACTTATTAAAATGCTTACCTAGATACTCAAAATGCTTTTTTATCCAGTCTTTGGGAAAGTAACACAAAACATTTTACAAAAAAAGTCTGTCATGTCCAAAATGATTCAGTAGAGGTTAGTTAATGCATAGGAAAAGTTTCCTTTGTGGACCACATGAAGTGGGGGTGTGGGAGTGAGCAGTATAATCAGACTAGGGCTTACAAGAACAGGTTATGTTTTGTGATCACTTAAAGGTTTTGAGTCTATAAAATTAATTTAAAGTTCAATTATTTTTAGACTAATATCAAAGAAGAAAACAAGGTACCATGAATGGTACCACCAAAATCACTTAAAACCCTAGCAATTCATCTCCCTTATTCAAAGGATACATGTTGGAAAAGCAATTTTTGCTTACGTAAACTGAAAGCATGGAAAAATTTCAAGCTTCTTCTGAGTGAGCTTATAAGTTATTTATGCTGTTTCTAATTATTTGTATTCGATCTGCATATTTATTGGCAGAGCAATATAATTTGGTAGACTAATGTGAATAGGCTTCCAAAATTAGACAGTTCAAGAAAATTATGTTTCTGTATGTATATATATGTAACCAACCATATATCCAGGATGTATTATTAAACTTACTTTGTATTGAATTTGTAGCTTATGCTTAAAGAAACTAATTACATTCTTGTTAAATGTGCTGACAAATGTCTGAAAGAGCAATCAAAAGGAAGGAGTTCATAGGCTAAAAACACAATTCTTGAGCTCTGTAATTCTTTTAAGTAGCTATACCACTGGGGAAAAAATGTAACTGAAAATTAAAGCTGACAAATGCAGTAAATAAGCTGCAGCTCAGTTCTACTTACTCTATGAGAGCAAAGTATTGAACTGGAAAGCCTAGGAAAGAAACTGAACTCTTTTGGAAAGTCACCAGGAGAAAGACAACTGAACAGGCTTTCAGAATGGAGCTGCAAGAGAAAATGTTTGAAATGACAAAAGCAACATAAAAAGACTAGGAAGGCCTTCATTTAATTTTAGAAAGGTGGCACATGGAAGGAAGAGAAATGTGCTTGGGCTTCAGCTAAAGCAATTTAATTGTTACAGGGCTTTATCATGATGATGTCAGAGAACCCCTCTAATCCTATACTTTTAGGGAAAACATTGGAAAATGAAAAAGTTGAGAGTGAAAACTAGCAAATTTTCCTTCAAGTGTCTTCACAAGGTATGATAAAAATGGTGAGTGCCACTGCCAGGTGCCGTCCAACAGAAAGGCAGGCTTGTAAGAAAGAACATGATGGTGAGTCCTCATCTATCCCGTTCACCAGATCTGGATCAGGACTCCCGGCTCTTCTCCAACGTCAAAATGACCAGGAAAAGCAAATGTTTTGAACCAGTTCAGAACACTGAGGCAGCCAGTGCAACTAAAGACACAAAAGAGGACTTCCAGAACAGCTTTTATAAGTGGCAAGAACGACAGATGTGTTTCAAGCGAGGAGCATTATTAGCATCTGTCTCTTACTGCAATACAGTTTTATGTTTAAATGTTCACTGTAATGATTACGTTTCATACATGATATAATGAGCTAAGCATAGCAGTACATGTCTGTAATTCCAGAGATACACAATAGATTGTGTTCTCTACAGGGAAAAGGATAAATATACATCAAGAAATAATCACCAATAAATAACTGCATATGTGAATACTATGGATTTTCACAGACATCTTATATTTTTATTTGATCTCTAGCCTAGTCAGTTAATCTTTGTCTAACATTGATGCGGAGCTGGTCTAATATATAGATTATTTTTAAGACATAGGAGTGGCATGCTGCCCTTGTCCTAAGAAGTTCGTTAGACTCTAATAGCAGTATTATCTGGCACTTTGGTGTGGTTATGTTACAGAATGGATTTTATACATGCTCTGTCTCAGTGATTATAATAACCCTTTAAAGAAGGTCTTAGCACCAACCTTTACTAGTAGAAAAGTGAAGGTTGGAAAGACTAAGGCCCCTGCCAAAGGTTGCTGGGTCACTGAGCAGAAGAATAAAGACTAGATTCCCCAGGGTTAATCGGCCAAGTTTAGGTTCTTTTCATGACATCACAGATTTCACAGGGTCTGTTAGACTAAAAGAAAAACAGAGTAATTTTCCTGAAAGTAAAGATAGGAGACTGGTAGCAGCCTACCTATAACTGCTCTGTAAGGTGCTTTATTATTAGTACAAAATACTCCATTCCAGATAAAATATCACATAAACTAAGTGGCCCAGCCATTCAAGTATCACTGAGATCAATATAACACAATCAGAATTTTGGCATACATATAACATGAGTAAAAAGGAACTTTCAAGAGGTTTACAGATTTCTATAATATAAAAACATTCATCCTTTTTTTGAAGGGAAACAAAATAGCTTTAAATTTTTTTATACATTTAATGTCTGATGGCTTGTATTCTGATAAAGCTATTACAAGTGGAAAATACTGTAAGGTGGAAATGCATTTAATACACTTAAGCTACTGAACATCATCCCAAAGTAAATATCAGCTGTTTCCCTTCACTTGGGGCACACAGGGAGCTGTGGCTCATTGCTGTTGTCCAGGATACCAAAAGACCACAGTGGTCTATAATGCAAATCTGAGGAAAGACTGATTTTACTTGTTTTTTTCTTTTTGTACCAGGAATCAAGACTGATTTTTTTTTTTTTTTGTCTTTCTCATTTTTATCGGTACCAGGGATCGAACTCACGACTGCCTGCTTACAAGGCAAGCGCTTATGCCGCTGAACTAAATCCCTAGCCCCTATCAAGTCTGATTTTAAAGTATGGTTTGCTTTGGCATCACTGTAAAGACTGTAAAGTTGAAAAATATTAAGTCAAATCATTGAAGGTTGATGATCATCTATTCCGTTAACATCAGTCCTAATTTTAACTGAGACTGAGACACGCTGATTTGATAACTTATTTTACAGAGCAGAGAGTCTCAGTAGGGAGGATGACCTTACTTGCTGCCATCCAAGAATCACTATGTGTTATAAAAGAGATTATTATACACATATGAAAAATGTGGTGAAAAAAGTCAAGAACTTATCAAAGTACAGGTTTTAGCAATACATGGTCAAACTGGTAATACATAGTCATTAGCTTACAGATACTTGATTTTTGAATTAACAGATTTAATACATGATTTTTAGAGTGACTCAATTTACCATACCACAAGGTAAAAACACTTGCTAGAAACACATTATCTAACTCATGTACATTCTTTAGAATGACAATGGAATGTACTAGGTTGCTCAAAACCACTAGTAAATGCCTTCATAAACAGCCTGGAGAATTTTCTGTTCATTTGCATCTCGGTAAGTCACCTTTCTTTTGTAAAGCTAAGCAGTAGTGATTTGATAGTCAGTGGTATAACATAAAAGAAATGGTGAAAAAACATTATTTTTTCTCAGTTGGAGATAGAAAAGGAGAACAGGACTTATGGTAATATGTGCTGAAATAAGTTTATGAAAATGGACTACAGGCTCCCGGTTGTGGTACTGGCTGCCTCACAGCTCTCTTCACCTAACAACAAGACAGCGTCAAAGGAGCATGAAGGAGACAGGGTCACTCTACATTACACTACACTACTCTGCAGGCAAGGAGACCACTGTACAATTTCTTCTCCTCATACTGGCTATGATCCACACATAAAATAAATAGCATTTCAACATTTTCACAGTAAGAATGGGGCTCAGACGGTGACCCTTGCTTCACTTACAGGACCCCGTCAAGACTCTGAAAGTAGGAGACTGAGGGGTGGAACTTGCCACATCCACACAGTACATGAACGCTCACTGTCTATGCACTTCACAGTGACACAAGCTTTCCAAGATCAGACCACTAGCACAATCTGTTGCCACCTTATCCTTATTCATTAGGTTTACACGGAAGATAAAGCATTCCAATTTAAACTGTACTATTCCATCAGACTTATAAACATTTAATTGAAGTTTAGAAATGGGTTAGTAAAAAATAGAGTGCTGCTGAGAAGTGCTCAAAATTATCCTCTAAGTTACATACGTGTATAGTTACAACTTAAGGGTAAAAGAACTATATATAGGTTTATATGTAGTACGTTAACAACAAAGTAAGTAGCATACAAGATCTCCACTGAATATATCTATTGTGCTATTGCTAAATTGAGAATTTTACGTGAAGGAAATGCAGACAATTTTAATTAAAAAACTGACTTTTTGGAATGGCAACTTTAAATATTACAATTTCAAAAAGATTTTGGTATTGATGTGTTTACTAGGCATAACTTTGGGTTATTTCATATCATACTTAGAAATACAGTTTTCTTTCTTATTTGTTCAACTCAAAAGTATACTGTTTGCTCTTCTTAAAAGTACCTGTATTCAGACTTTCACTACTCAGAAATACCAGTTTTTGCAGAGCGGATCTGAGAAGATACAGATATTTTGAAGAGGAAGGAAGAAGAGAATAAGAAGGAAGAACTGATTAATCTGATTTGTATTGATAATTTGTTAGGCTTTTGCAAAACTCCAAATCTTCCTTGACAATAGTGAATTCAATTGTGGGAATACCTTGTATGCACAACATGTCATCTGTGGATTTTTGCAGGTCAAATAGAGATGACACAGAAGAGCAGAGAAACACATGCACATTAATCTTATTTCTACTAGGGAAGCAACAAGCTCGAGAAGGCTTGACTGCTGTCAGTCAGTTCTGAGAAATGGCACCCAGGCCAGACAACATGTATCTCTGCAGGCTGACGGCTACAGGTACACTGCTTTAAAGGGTGACACTGGACTTTCAAAGTGGAGTTTTATTTAGTTGTCAAATACATGGAGCTATGTGTACCCACTGCTCAACTACTTGAACATTTTTGAGATGCTGATGATAAATGTTATACCATTATAATTTCCATGCTTATGTAGGGTCCTCCTGGCTTTTATATTTTCTAAACTATAACTGAAGTAAAGCTAAGATATATCATTTGTGTCCATAAATACTAAAACATCTATTTTATATTTTGTGCTAGAGAATGTGGAATGACCAAAATGCTTTTAAAAAAAAAAAAATCCATGGTTGTTGGTCAAAAAATATGAAAGTTGTAAAGATGAGATAAAGCTTGAATAGAAGATTAAAATATTAAAATATGCCATTGATTAGCAGGTCATACACATTTAATAAGGTAATAAATGTCAGGGAAGTCTTCTAGATTTTAACTTTAGCATGCTCACCCCGTAAGATGCTGCATTATGAAGAGGAATTAAACCGCCCTTGTCCTGAGCATTAACATCTGCTCCATGCTCCAGAAGATATTCTGCTACTTCCAGGTTATTGTAGCCTGCTATTGAAGTACAAAAGGCGAACATGTCAGCTTAAGAGAAAAATATTCACATTTGCAGACCAGAAAAAGTTACGATTTTAATTCCATTTGCTTCAATAACTAATACTATTATGACACAACTGAAAACTGTCACAGAAAGAAATTATACTACATTATGTCAGTCAAAAGCATTTTACTAAGTCGTTCCCTTTATTCTCAGAATTTTGTTAATTTTCTGGTCAATCATATTAGGGACCCAGGAAAGGAAAACAAGGCGTGGCACCCTGGTGACGCTTACCAGCCAGGTGCAGCGGAGTTGAATTTCTGCCCTGGGTGTCTCTGCAGTTGATATTCTCTGGGGTGCAAAGCTTCTGCACTCTCGCCAGGCAGCCCTTCTTGGCGGCATCCAACAAGGCAGCATCCCCCCTCAATAGGTCCTGAATGTCTGTGTCCCCTTCTTTGACCAAATCTAGAGGCGTGTTTCCATCTCTGTTCTTTTTGGTTGGATCTGCTCCATGCTATCAAGAAGTCAAACGAGTGAGATTTACATTTTCTGAAGTACCTTTGTGTAGGCAGGTAGTACGTACACACTTCTTCCTTTAACTTTCTTCACCGTTAGTCACTGAGGAACAACATGTATTCTATGTGCATTTTGAAAAAGAATCCACATTCCGCTTTATTTATTTATTTATTCTTTATTGGTACCGGGGATGGAACTCACGACTGCCTGCTTTCAAGGCAGGCGCTTTATGCCGCTGAGCTAAATCCCCAGCCCCTGCATATTCCGCTTTATTTTAACAAATTCCTTCACAATGGGTCACTTTTCTAACTACTAAATTAAAGCCTCCAGATCAGCCTGGGGATTTAGCTCAGTGGCATAAGTGCCTGTCTTGCAAGCGCAAGGTCATGAGTTCGATTCCCAGTACAAAAGAAAAAAACCCTCTGGATCAGTGCTGATGATTAAGTGGGGAAGGTGTTGATTATCTTTTACTCTTTACTATAATATACTTTTTTCTCAGTCTTTAAGTTGTCACTGGAAATCTCTTTTCCTTTTACAAATGCCCTGAATATTAATTCTGGCCAAATTTCAATTACATGCCTAGTAGGTACCATGAAAAAGAGCAGGTGGGAAAAGAATGAATTTCGAATGGTATCTGTTATGAAAAAGTTGGCAATTTAAATATTTTTTTCATTTAGCTCTACCATTTGTCATGAAATTATGTACAAATGTATTAAACTTATCTTGAGTTAAAAACTTTAATCATCTATGCCTATGAAGGAAATAAATCAAATTACTTTATATTACAAGCTTCATACAGACTATTTTTGGCCCACTGTGACATAAGAAATAATACAATCTAGATAATGAAGTCATGTGACCGGAAGTTTTTTGCTTTTTACTAATCAGTGAAAATAAAAATTATCAAACATGGTGACTTCCTTAAGGGTCATAAAAGTGGTGGGAGAAGACATACATATCTTCCAGGAACAATTTTTCTGTAGTAAAAAAAAAGAAAAAATTACATATATACATGCCTGCACATTTTTATATCGTTTAACTTTTAAAACCTGTAAATTATGATTAGCATCATTGACTTAATAGTTTCTACTCATTTACAGACCCTCAAAATCTATTTGAATGATTTTTTATAGATTAACTTACATTTCAATAAAAATCTAATGTCAAATGTTTTAAAACATAAATATTTAAATTTCTAATAATGATTTAGTCAACAATAAAAAGATGTTAAGAAATCAGTAAAATCTGTTGCTCTTTGAGTAAAATTTGTCGCTTTTTGTACCATATTTTTTCATACAATATTTTCTGCTATTAATAGTGTATTAGATACGCTATACAAAGTAAGCCAGCTCCAAAGCCTATTTTTAATGAAATGATCTTAACCAAATGCATTCAGAAAGACACTTCAGAAGCTACTCAGAGCTTTGTAAATATCATAACGCAAAAACATTTCTCTGAAAAAACAGAAAATGAAAGCAGTTGCTATAGCACTTACTGTTCCTAATAGAGAAAAATACTCTAAAGTAATAATAAAAAAATAATTACTTATATGTTGCAACTACATACTTTTAAAAGGAGCTTGCAGATTTCGTATTTTCCTTTAGCTGCTGCTTCATGTAGAGGGGTAAATTTCCATAAGTCCGCCACATTAACAGAAGCTCCGTGCCTCACTAAAAGCTCAGCTACCTCATAGTGTCCATAGGAACAGGCATTATGAAGGGGCACCAGGCCACTAAACAAAAGAAAATTATTTTCAAGTTGTAAAACAAATCTTTGAGTTAAATGATTCTTATAATATTCTTTGATGGCACTGATTACACTGAACACCTACTTAGAGTAATTTCCTTTAGTCTCAATGTAAAGGCTTTTCTTCTGTTTATGGGGATGGATATATATGCCACAGCCATCATTATCCTTAAAATACATATAGATTTACAGAATAAACTCCATCACAACAGAATACTCTCAATTCAGATTTTTACCCTGGCAGTATGAAGATCTATACCACAAAGTCATTTCAAGAATAAGTAGGCAACAATCTGGTTTTATCATCTCTCACATTTTCTTCCCAATTGGGTTTTACTAATGAAAATTCTATGCTTACTTATAAACAATTGAATTCTACTCATTTGGGGAGGCTTTACCTTTGTTTTGTTTATTTTTAAATTCATAATGACTCATGGTAGTTTGTGTGTAAAAGTTTACATACGAAAGTGCCAAGCGATGAAAACCCACAAAGCGAGTGATTTTCAATACGGGAAATAATGGTGCAAATTTTAAGTTCTCAGGTACAAAAATCTAGTTCCCTCAACTTATTAGCAAACTATTCTGAGATGATTCTAAATTCTAATTAAAAAGCACATGGCATTCTAAAGGGACAAAAAGATGTCCTATAAAAAGTTAGGTACGGTGGCAGAAGCCTATGTTCTTGGGATACTGGGAGGTTGAAGCAGAACGATCACAAGTTTGAGCCCAGGATGGGAAACTTAGTGAGACTATCTCAAAAAGGGAGGAGGGAAAGGAGATGTGGAATCTAGAAAAGATGAAAAGAAAGCAGAAGGGAGATTAGTATTTGATAAGAGGAAGGGGAGAAGGGGGAGAAAGAGGGAGTGGGCAAGAGGGGGCATGAATACAATCAAGATGCATTGTACACATTGATTCCCCTCAGGAAACAAATGAAACAAGAGGGAGTGGGGAAAAGGGGGTGCTGCAGGGGGGTGATTAAAGTATGTTATGTTCATATACAAATCTACCAAAACGAAACCCACTAATCTGTATAATTAAAATACACTAATAACAAAAAGCGAGAAAAGGGGGTGAGGACATTGCTAAGAGCGAAGGTCCTGGGTTCAATCCCCAGTACCACCATCAGCCCTGAAAAATGTTAAGTTGCACTTCAGACATGGCAAAAACTAGATATCATTAAGTGCCCTTTTATTTAGAGATGAGTGCCTTTTTAGAAAACGTTTTGTGATGAAATATACTAGGTGCTAAAACAAGCATCAGAAACAAATACTAGTTGCTCTCCAATGTACTACCGTATTTTATCTAATATATTCCTTAAAAAACATTCACTGGTTAATTTAAGCCTAAATTGTAAACCTCATTTCTATAGCAGTTTGGTATGTGACTGCACAGAAAAGTGGTGGCTTATTTTGAGATGACACGAAATTAACTCAGAATACAAAAATTCTTCTCAGTGAAAATTTTCTTACATTTTTAAGTAGTGTCCATGGCTACTTTAAGCTTTTTCTAGATAAAGTAAAATAATGTATCAAACTAATATAAAGACCTGAAATATTTGAATTAGTAAAAATAAAGTTATACATATATTAATACTGATGACTGGAACAGATGGTTTCTTTTTGAAAGAAATTAAAACATTTTTAATAGCAAAATATAAAATAAAGGCATATAATAAATCACAAACTACATGAAAACACTCATATAGTGCAATAAAATTCTATATACAGGTATTAAAAGGATGAGATGAATTAGTAAGTACCAATATGCAAACACATCAAGGCAAGGTACAAAGGGACTACAGAACCATACTGCCATTTGTATTAAAAGCCACCACCACTGCAGCACATAAACACTGTTTGAAACAGCTGGAGAATGACATACAAAAATGTTCATATTGTATCTCTAGGTGGTGGGTTCATGGAATTGTCACTTTCTATATTGTACCTTTTTATAGTGTTTTAATGTATGAGTTAAACAAAAAATATACAAAATATTTTTTAATGGGGAAAAAAATCTGATCTCAAAAATGCTTTAAAAATGCTAAATGAAGTACGTGAGAAGAAAGGTGCTCAACAGCTAACCTGAACACTCACCCTTTGTCTTTGGCATGGACGTCAGCGCCGTGGTGCAGAAGGTACTCCACGACAGACACACGGTTGTAGCCTGCCGCGAAGTGCAAGGGTGTAGAATGCCGGCCTTCTAGATCTCTACAATTCACATTCTGGGGGCTGCAAAGTTGCTTTTATGGGGTAGACACAGAGATACACACAAAAAGAATATTAATATTTATCCATAGGCTTTGCTCTACAACAGTGCAGCATCTTGAATATGTTGTAATTTTTTAATGCATACTTACTTCCAAAGAATAGTTAATAAAAATGCTTAAAAATCAACACAATGTTTGGCTTTACAATGACTACAAACACTCTTTAATTTAATCTTAGTCAACTTTTCCTGGCCCAAATCTTACTCAAATAGAAAAACTCACAATAAAGCAGGCATTTCCATGTCAATTAAGCCTTTGTTTTGCATCTTTGGAAGCCTCTGCTCCGAGACTGCTTATCATAGCATATCTGCTTGCGTTAGAATGCCATTGGCTATACTTCACTCAAATCAGGCTAATTCCATCTGTCTACAAAATTATAGAGTTCTGTCCCCTCTAATGTGGATTAAACACGTTAGGGGCTCTAGAAAAATTACTTTTCTGCCTGGCTCACTCACTTGGACCTTTGACCCCCTATTAGCAAGAAGCCTTTACAACAATATTTGGGGGGGGATCCCACAAATCAAAATTATTTTAATCACGCTCCAGCTTCAACCTTTACTTTCATCTTGTTCTGATATGTTCTCCAAATTGCCTGTCTTTTTTGTCTCTTAAAGTGCTACCCTTTCCACAGAACATAAATTATGAATTCAATTATGTTTGTTTACAAAGCAGTAGGAAACAAAGAATGAGAGGCTGTACCACTGGTGGTGACAGGTGAATTATAATAACAATATGTGAATAATAATTTACAATTTAAAAGAACATCACTCTTTCAGTGAGGAATTGTATCTATCTGTGAAGTTAAATCAGTATCTTATTTTGCAGATAAACAAACCCAGGCTCCGACAACTTAAGAAACATCCTGTTCAACAGTTATAAGGGGTAGCTTAAAGATCCAAACTATTTAACTGATTTTTAAACTCGATATTTTATCAAAAACATCATACATCATATATCATTATTCACTTCCTTAATTATTCAGCTTTACAAATGTGCTAAGAAGAAAGGTAACGAGAAGATGAAAAGTCAAAGTAGAGAGAACAGTGGCATTTCCTAGACTACCAAGCACGATGTGAGAGAATTTCTAGGTTATTTGCTAATCATGATGCCACTGCCGCCAGTGTAATGTGCTACTGTTATACAAAAACTAAGAACCTAAAACATCTTTTTATGCTAGTAGAAGTGCTATGGTTTCAATGTTTGTGTCCCCCCATAATTCACGTTGAAACAGTTTCTAATGCAACAGAATCAAGAGGTGTAGCCATCAGGAAGCAATTAAATTATCAGGGATCCTCTTGTGACTGGGATTGAGGACCTCATAAGAAGCACACAAGTGTTCGGCTCTTTTTGCCCTCTTGCCATGTGGTAATACAGCACTTGTTTCCTCCAAGGAATGCAGCAACAAGATGCCATTTTGGAGGCAGAATGACTGGTCCCCACCACACCCAGAACCTGTCAGAGCTCAAACCCTTGGACTTCCCAAGAAATGAAATGAAAATGAAATGAAAGAAGTTATGTTTCTATTTATGTGTTACCCAGTTTATGATACTGTGCTATAGCAGCACAAATGCACTAAGACAAGGAACATTCACAGCGGTAAGATAAAAATGAAAGCTTTAATGCAGGGTAATTTTCACATGATAGGCGGAAGTCTGGCCTGCAAGGGAGAGAGAACTTATAAATTCATCAAATCTAGATGAAAAAAGTACCAGCCTCTAAAATCTAAAAAGCCATTATTACCTGGCCAAGTGAAGTCTGGCCAGGTAATAAGTCTGTGGCTGCACTAAAACACAAATAAGAGAACTGATAAATACAAATATGTGAATATGAATAAATATATAGGCTAAGAAGAAAGAAAGACTATAAAAATTGGTACTAAATTCTTCTATAAGGTCTCATACAGTTGAAGCTGCTCCCTGATGTTTCCTTTCCTTCTGGTTCTTCAATTCTAAATGATCATTATTATTTTTACAGAGAATACTGGGAAATTGGGACATGGCAGGGAATGAAACAACCAATTTTGTAAAGTTAAAAAAGCAAAAGTCCGTTCTGCTTATTAAATATTTGTACTTTAATATAAGTTCTTTATCTCTCTTCTGTTTCATTTCCTTCTGAAAGGTAAGACAATTTTACACCTTTCCTATTTTTCACAATTTCAAATTCTACAATCTTTTCTTCTAATATTTTTAATACTTTCTAAAGTTCTTGGGAAACACATTTCTCACTTAATTTGTGCTGCTTTGACACATACATTCCATTAAATTTAAGAATCACTTTATTTACCAAAAATAAATTTGGCATTCATTGTGAATATTTTGTTTAGTAAACTTGAAAGTTATATATTTGCCTAAAAATTATATATTTAAAATGCTGATTATAATAAGCACATGTGGCAATTCTAATGATGAGATGATCATATCATAATAAAGAAAACAAATCCTAATTGCTTAAGGATTTTTTGTTATTTGGATACATTTCAAATGGTTAAAAACAAATACTTTTAGATATAAGAGAACTTAGAAATTTCCTCAGGGGCTATTAAAACTAAAATTTATCTTTTAAACAAATAACTTAAATACTATTATAAGATGGAAGAGATCCTGGAAGTACCCTGAAACTAAAATAAAATTTCTACACAATAGAAATTAGTGTTTATTGTCATCTTTAACTAGCATGTCTTCAAGAATGCTAATGTTATTTTGCTTAAAATATTGAAAAGTTTACTTCACAAGAGGTGACAAACTAGTCTGCAAAAAGTAATGTTTTGCAATTAGCCTTTCTTTACAAATAATAAAAACTAAAGATCAAATCCCAAATTAAAAAACACCTTTTATTCTTTCTGCTAATTTTATGTCTAAACTAATGGTTATTGATAGCAATTGTAGTTCTGGAAATTCAATATCAGAATGTTATTTTGAAAAAAATTAAATCAAAATTAAATCTACATCTACTGTTTCTATACTACAAATAGAGAGTGATAATGTTTTCTCAGCAACTATAGTCCTCTAGAGAAGGAAATTTATCATCTGCACATAAATAATTCCCAATGGTTGAGGGATCATAATGCTTTCCTAAAATAAATGTGAGAATTTCTGGGAAAAGTTCAAGAAACAGCTTATCAAATGTTATCCTACTAATACCTAGATTTAAACCTGTTCACATATTTCATGACTATAATCTAAAAAAATACTTTAATACAAGTGAAAATAAAAATACTTTCAAGTAACCTGAAGACAAATGATTACAAAGCATGCATGTATGTGCATGTGTACATGTGTGTATTTATATAGCTATATGTTTTTCTAATGGTTTAATTGCTATAAGCCATATGGAGAGAGAGAGAGAGAGAGAGAGAGAACCTTAACAATAAAGATTTTTCCTATCTACAGACACTCTTGTCTATTTTTAAAATTTTGTTTTTATTGTTTGGCTTTGAGTAGTTTTGTTTAGAAGCTTAAAAAATGAATTGGGCTGCAAAGCTTAACAGTTCCAACAGAAACATCAAGGTCACTGACTTACCTTCACAGTTTCCAAGTCACCAGCTTTCGATGCCTCTAAGAGTCGATAATCAACATCAGAAGTACGTATAGGTGTGCTCTCTGCGTAAGAGAAAGAAAGTATTACACTCGATCTTGGAGAATTACAGAGCAGTGAAGGAGGCAAAATTATTTGGTGAGTAGACACAGGAATTAATGAATTGTAAATTAAGTATTCTGCCTGGTCTTTTGCAGGTTAAGAACTAAGTGCTTTCTTACTTCAATCTATCATCCGAAGCCAAATTGAAATAAATTTTAATACGTGCAAATCCTTCTCTCTCCTTCCTATCCTATCCCCTATTTCTTGGTTATAAATTTGACAGAGTACAGTGAGGAAAACCTAAGACCAGGTGATCAAAAATATTTTTGATATAATGGTATCACAATGTGTTGTAGCAAAGCTTTGCCATAGGTCTGTTATATAAAGTCAGGAAAGCTACCTCATTTTTACTACTTAATGTTCAATTTTTCTTTTTAGCTTCAGTGCCCCCAATATAAAACAAAAGCACTACTAAAATCAGAATGATCAAAATGATCTTAGAATGTGTAATTATTGAACAAAAAAGGCCTACTATAGACAGCTGTTTAATTAACATTTATTGAATGGCTTCAGGGAAATACAATTTAAAATGTCTGTGTAACTAGAATGATACCAATGCTAAATAGAATATAATGAAGTTGGGCTACCATGTCAAACAGCTGATAAATGAGGTATTTTGATTAATACAATATAAACAAACCAGAAATTCATTTCACTACATGTAACTTTGGGTGAATCATGATGTCATAATTTCATTTTTTCACTTAAAAATTGAGAGTTGGTTTCCCTCAAAAAGGTGACAAACTAGTTTGTAAAAAGTAAAATGTAGACGTAAGACTGTATTATCTTATGATCAAAGACAACTTGAGGCTTTTATCCAAGTGGGAAGATCAAGTGATGCTATGAAAAGGTTTTAGACTTCAGAAGAAATATTTTAGTCCTGAAGGGCTTTGTTCAGGAAAATGACTTTTACAGAACAAGTGGCAAGAATTTTTCAATAGAAGGTAAACCATTTGATCACAAAAATACTTAGCAGATGAAAGATTTAAGAGAGTATTTCACACAATAAAGTAGATTTCTGAAGTATTTCTTTGAAAGAGAATTCTCTTTGTTAGTTTATGCAGTTGTTTAGGAAAGAAACCAGATCCTTGGTTATTTTTCTCTTTATTTATGGAGAACATTCAGAAAGCATTTGGTGACTTGGTTTTCATGCCATTTTCTTTGGGATCAACTTGTGTATCAGACCTTAGCTCTTTCTTTGGCTGCCTCTCTTCTATTTTTTTCTGTTTCATCTATTTCCTCCTAATTGTGCATACAAACACTGTACTTATAGTGCCTTTGCACATGTACTGTGTTTCTCAAACAGTGATTCTGACAGTTGATAAAATTCACTGAAAAACTTTTGGATACCTAAGGATAATATTTTTAATGTATCATTAGAATAATATATCATTAGAAAAAAGGATGATTGTTTATGTAGGTAGAGTTACAAGTTACTATTTTTAGATTTTAGCAATGAGAGATTAGTATGGCGGAGTTTTTAAAATTCTAAGAACAATCTGAAACTGACACATTTACCTTCATGAAGGCTGACTAAATAGAACTTATAATTTTTCAATCAAGAAAATGTTTTATGCATACATAAGATGCTTGTTAAGAACTATGAGGAAAGAAGAACAGAAAGTAAAGATACTGATTAACTTGCACCTGCCTGCTTGAACCAGTGGTAACACATTCCTGACTGTTACGTTGGGTGGCTTATACCACTGCTGGTACAACTGGGTCCAATCACTTTTTATCAGTCTTGTTATTAATACAAACTAATAAAAAGTTGCCTGATAGGACAGTCATACATCTACTGTCAGAAGTTCAAGCCTTTGGCAGTGAAAACATACAAATTATGATCCAGTAGTGAATGTGCTAGTTACTGTACAAACTGGGGAGTGCTTCATTATTGTAAATCTTTAGGTTCAGAACAGACATGCTTTTATAAATAATATGAACAAAGTATTAACTGAAAGAAGGCAGTACATATAGTCCAGGAACTCTGCATAAAGTTATATACAATTAAAAGAAGAAATAAAAGAGATAAAGTTTAAAAAGGAACACAGGGAAAAGAACAGCTGATATGCAAAGTACTGTATTAGTAAAATCTTCTGTAAGTACAGAGTCTTTTGCAGATTATGAAATTAAAGGTGTTACCTACAGTCAGAGATAAGAGATGGATTTCTGATTTTTTTTCTCTCTGATTTAGTCTGGCTCACCAGAACTTTTTAAATTTTCAAAGGCTGGGATACAGTCTATTATTTTCAAATAATCTCTTTCAGACTGGTTCTTTAGGGTTAGACCACTGAATTGGCAGCAGGGACAGCTTATTTTGATGTGTCACTGGAAGTGGAATCTCACTGTTTAATGTAGCAATCATTAGTCCCTAAATCCTCATCTGTGGAAACAATTAAAGTACTTCTTTTCCCATTCGAGGATATAAATAGAAGAATTTAGCTCAAGATCTAGCCTAAAGAACTATCTGTGTTACTAGAAATAGTCTTTCTTTTATGCTGTCTAACATAGTAGCTGCTAGCCATATGTGACTATTACATATCTGAAGGGTGGCTAGTGGTGACTAATGAGTGATTCTTAATTTGGCTTGTTTTGTTTGTTCATGTATGTATGTATGTATGCATGAAACACTGGGGATCAATCTCAGGGCCTTCTGCACAGTACAGGAGTACCCTGTAACTGAACCAAACTCCCAGTCCCAATTCTACCAAGCCTAAGTGAAGTCACCCAGAGTTAACAGGTAGCATATTGGATAGAGCAGGTCTAGGGAAAGCAGCCAAATCTTCCGAAATGATATTTTAAAATGCTGATTCATAAAAATAACTGCTTCTTTTCTTTTCTTATTCTGACACTAATTTGATATAAACACTGCCAGCAGTATACAATGAAAACTTTATTAACATAAACTTCTGAAACTATTTACCTAGTACATAAAAAAAAGTATGTTTTTAAGGCTGATGTCAAATCTGGTATTAGCAGTTAGATATAAATGAAACTTTAAAATGTGGTATTAGCAGTTATAGTTAATGAAACTTTAAAATGAACCCTAACAACTTATTACATATCCTAGGTGACTGATGAATTCTTTTAAGAGCCATTGTAGATATATCCTAGAATTAGATTAATAAATATAGGTAAAACTGTGAATCTGTCAATACATAAGTTTCTGGTAGAAATAATTTAAAAAACTATTCCTCTTTCAAACATGAAACAGTTCCTATTTTTTTTTAAAAGAGACTTTGTAACAGGTACTGTTTCACCAGGCAATTCGATTATTTGCCTTATCTTTCTAGGTCAAAGAACAGGAAACATTAAAAATTTCTGTCATGTTCTAAATTAAACATGTAATTATTTTAATGTTTAATTTGATAATAAACTTCAAAGATCAAAATAATTGAAAGAAATTTCAATTTTGACTCACTATTTAACTTTAACCAAAGTCATATATTCAAACTGCATTATCAAGAAGATAATTAAAAATCATAAGAAAAAAATGACTCTAATCTGCTTGATTTAGTCAATTCATTCTTCATTTTGTCAATTATCTTTAAAAATTATGTAAAGTCTTATTAGCAATTTTGATGTAATTGCTGTGTTTGCCTGATTTATGATTACAACTTACAGAAACTAGCTTAAAATTCTATAGTAAATAATTTTCAAAGCATGACAGAAACTTAAAATATTTTAACAAAGTCAATAAGTTATTTTAAGTTATTAGAATTTATTGAGATGGCAGAAATATTTCTTAGTCAAACAGTAACATCTTCTTTAAATAAACATTCCACTGTTTTGTATAAACAGGAAGTAAAAGTTATGCATGTAGTAACTCAAACTTGAACCTCATAACAGAAAATTTCTTTCCTTCAGAAATTGTCCTTATTTAGCAATGAAGATGCTCTATAGGTCTTGTTGTGCTGTGTGAAGCTCATCATCTAAGATTCAAGTAGAGTAACTGCCATCCAAGAATAATCTAGCATAAGGAAAGTAAGTCCTAGTCAGTTTTTCCAGAGTCGCACAGTTATTTTCATGAAGCTGGTTAGTGCTGATTCAGCACTAATGACACATACCTTTCACGATCTCTCTGTGCCCTGGAAGGTTTGTATTTTTACCATGTAGCAGTGATTCTCTACTAGGGTGAACTTCTTGAGGGCCCTTTAAATCTGAGGAGCCAATTCTGGTCTTCTAGGACAGGCATATCCAAGCTATCACCCAATAGTTATTTTATTGTAACTTACTGTTATTCTCCCTTATACTGTTGTTGGGGTACTTTATACATTTTTTGGGAAGCAATGTGTATGATTAGGTCATATCAACTATCACCTTCATTTCTGCATAGTGAAGAAGACACCATACAACATCTGCTATAAAGAGAGCATTATGGATTTTGTCTAGATGAGCCACCCTTCTACCCCCCAAGCCTTATGTCATCACAGGTGCATTTTTTTGTCACGTGGCTAGAAGTACAAGGTATGATGCTGGAATTAATTCACAGTTCAATGCTAGGATCAAGGGCAGTAAGATTAAAGGTGTGAGTGCTACCCACCATGAACAGTCTGGATAAAATAAAAAGGGGCAGAAAGATGCTCTACGGTCCCTTGCTTTTGCTTTGTTTTGCCTGCTATGAACTGGTTCTCCCCTGCCAAGCTACCCTGCCTTGAAGCCAGATGATTCTGAACTGAAACCTTCCTAAACTGAGCAAAATAAATCTTTCCTTCTTTATCTTTGAGTGTTGGGTATTTTATCTCAGCAACAAGAAAAGTAACTGAGAAAAAATCTGATAATAGAAATGGGGCTATTGTTGTGACTATACCTAACTATGTGGTTCAGGAGCCTTCGGGATGGCTTGTGGGAAGAGTTTGGAAAGATTTGGAGATGCCAGCTGAAAAAGTAGAGTTGGAATGCCTTAGGAGATTCTGTACGGCAAATTCTGATCAGAGCTCAGAAGACAGAGAAATCCTGCTGTTAAAGACCAGGCTTGGGAGCTTTCTGTGGAAAATGACTGCACTGGCTGTTGGGACTCCAGATGATGTGTGTTATGCCCTGGAAGAAAGTTTGTCTGCATCTTGCTTGTGCTGTGAGACTGTTGCTTGGTATGTGGTTCATAGGAACTGGATCCCTACAGGCAATAGAGAAGGAAATCTGTCTACTGCTCCAACTGGCAGTGGAATAAGACACCGTGCACATGGTACTGGTTTTAGGCATGTGCACAGAATGCAAGAGGTGTGGGATCAGGAGGACTTCTACTCAGATTTCAGAAGAAGGCTTGAGAGAGCAGGAAATGTGCCATAAGAGGGCAATGTGTGAATCTGTAAGTTCAAAGTCAAAGGTGTAATGGAATACATAAGTCTTTTCTTTTTTTCTTTTTTTTTTGGTACATGGGATCAAACTCATGACCTCACACTTGCCAGGCAGGTGCTTATGCCACTGAGCTAAATCCCCAGCCTGCAGAAGTCTTGGGAAGCCAGGAACATGGATTGTCTAAGGAAAATTGCAAGGAGGGAGCACAGCTGGCCCCAGAGAAAAGCCACGAGAGTGACCACCACTGGAAGTGCCATGGAGAGGTAGCCACATACATATAATATTCTGATATATTTTTGTCACTCTTAATTCAATTACATCATCATGAAATTAGTCTTGTATTTTTTTTTGGTTTAAATTATAAAATCTTTCTGAATGTCACAGTGTTACAGCATGAGGTACTTCAATTAGTGTTTTGAGGGAACTGTGTTCACAACTTGCCACAGACTGGTGGGGATGCTGGAAGGGTAACTGTGGGATTTAATGCTTACCCTACTGGATTTTGGTGTTGTTTTGTTTCTATTCCTTGGTATTCCCATTTGTAACTTGTAGAATGAAAATGTTTATCTTGTGCCATTATGTGTTGAAATATTTAACCTTTTTTTCCATTTGCACAGAGGTTTGCAGCTAAGAGTCCCTTAAATCTTATAGGAGACTTTGGACTTGTACTTTTTAGCAACGCTGAAACTATTAGGACTTTGGCAACTTTCAGACATGGAATAAATGCCTTTGTATAAAGAGATGTGTGTAAGTATTTGCAGGGCCAGAGGCAGAATGTTATGATTTGTGCTTAGATGTGCCCCAAAGCTTCATGCCATCACAGGTGGGCTTTTCCAGAAGTGGCTGGAGTTACAGTGTATGACACTGGAATCCATATGATACAGTGCTAGGATCAAAGGCAGTGGGATTAAGGGTGTGAGTGCTACCCTCCCTAAGTAGCCTGGATAAGAAGCACAAAGGTGCTGTTGTGGTCCTGTGGTTGCTTGCTTCTGCTGTCTTCTGCTTGTCATAAACTGATTCTTCTCTGTAGTGACCCTCTGCTAAGGGCCCCTGCCTTGAAGCCAACTGATTTTGTACTGAAACCTCTATAAACTATAAGTAGGATAAACCTTTCCTCCTTTATTCTTTGAGTGTTGGGTATTTTGTATCAGCAATGAGAAAGTAAATGGCACTGTGTTTGACAAAGTTAAGATTGATTAGACTATGACAGGAAAAAGCAAAGATTTCTGACTCTCATCTATGGCTTTCTCCACTTTATTCTTTCAGTTTATGTCATTGTATAGTAGATACAATCCACAAACTAAATTAGAAAGAAAGGAAAGAAGAGTAAATTCTGCCCAGTTTCTTTTGTGCCAAGTTCTCATTTTTCAGTAGGTTGACAGTGCTACCTCTTCCAATTTTGGGAAATCAATGACTATTTTCATATCAGTTTTAGATTTGAGCTCCCTCAAAAAACTAACTGAAATACTTCATGCTTTATGAGGCACAAACTGTGACATTCAGAAAGATTTTATAATTATATTTAAACCAGAAAAACATAAGATTAATTTCATCATGGTATAATTGAATTAAGAATGACAAAAGCATATCAGAATGTTATATATAAGAACAAGTAAAAATCATTATGGGCCAAGGACATAGTTCAGTGGCACAGCGCCTGCCTGGCCAGCACAAGGTCATGAGTTCAATACCTGGTACCAAAAAAAAAAAAAGAAAGTCATTATCACAGTGGTGATTTTTAAAATCTTCTCTGCCCAATTGATTCTACAATAATTCCAGTTTTTATGAATTCTGCATCACTTCTGATGATGTCAGACTTTCAATTTTAAGTTATAAATATTAAACAATGCTCTTGCTTCCTTTCAAAACTTACCTCATGCCACTAAAAAAGTGGTATGGGGAAGGACACAGCCTAAAATGCATTTTAAAAAACAGGCATTAAAAAAAAAATTGGGGCTGAGAAAAATATTTCAAGGAGTGATTTAAAGCAAGTAGTGCAAAGTTTGAGCATGTCAAGAGAACTAGAATAGAAAGTGGAAAACAGTTTATCCTTTAACTCACCACTCAGAATCTGCTGTACTGCTTCGTTTCCCATTTGTGCTGCAGTAAAGCCTTGTAAGGAGATGATAGAGGGATCAGAACCATAACTCAGCAGAAGGCGGCAAGTCTGCAAGTGACCTGCGAGGGCAGCTCGATGCAAAGCCGTCTGACCAAGGGTGTCCAGTGCATTCATCTGGAAAGTCATTGGTGGCACAGTAAGTTAGGCAATCTTTTACACCTCAGCAAATAAAACTCCTATGAGAAAAATCAGCTGTGAAAAGCTTTTTGAAAAGTGCCACAGGCACTGATTATTAATAACTTTGCTTGCTAGTTCTAAAAAAAAAAAAAAATTACTACCCTTCTCAGACCACCTTATTCAAAATTACAATACAGCCTCCCCTTCTTTGAATGATCACCTTCCTGTCCACTTTCAACTTCCTTCAACTCCTCTGGACAGCAAGAATGTAAGGGCTGAGAATAGCAGGGACTCTTGTCTGGTCACAGTGAAGATGGTCACCAAATACTTTCAAATACATGGGTTTAACCTCACTTTTTCCCAGAACAGAAAAACAGAAGATATAAGCAAACACTGGTAAAACAGCAAATTGTATGTCTTTCCTAATTTTAGGAACACCTGATTATACGGGTTTGAGCATCCTTATTCTCAAATGCTCAGGACCAGCAGTGTTTCACATTTCAAATTCTTTCATACTATGGAATATTTGCACACATGTAGGAAATATCTTGGGGGAAGGGACCAACATTTAAGCAGAAAATTAATCTGCTTCATATATACTTTATACATATAGCTTGAAGGTAATTTTATACCTTATGCTTAGTGGAACCATGTTTTGACTGTGACTGGTCATAGGAGATCAGATATGGAAATTTTCTCTTGAGTCATGTTCATACTCAGAAGGTTTCTGGAGCACTCTACATTTCATATTTTCAGATTAGGTATGCTCATATTATAATAGAATACTCTAAACTGAATTACAGTGACATTTAACCTAAAAATGATTTGAGAATTTGGATATTCCATTTTTAAAACTGTGAAGCATTTATATAGGAAAAAGAACAACTTACCTAGTTTTAAAATAAAGAGAATGTTAAACTCTGGAGTTATGTTTATAATTTGGTCAAATCTGATTCTAACCTATCTTCCAGGATGTCCCAGTAAATATCCTCTTTTCTAGTCAGACCAACATCCATGCTCACTGCATACGCTGCTTCTTTCAGACAATCCCTTCTTACGGTCTTTCTCAGTTATGAGATTCAGGCCTCTTCTCTCCTAACAAGTCTTCCTTGATTACTTCAAGCTTCAATGATTGCTCCCTTTCTGAATATTTACATCAATGTTGAATTTCTCTGTCTAATAAATTACAACACTGGAGTGGCTTTACCACATTAAATTAAGTTTACTGAGAATACTATTTATGTTTTCTAAGTTTACTAGAAAGTTCCTGATAAGAGGACACAGTAAATTTTCAAATATGCACTGGTTGTTCAAAATATTTGTGCATATTTTCTAGACAGAAGGCTAGAAAAACAAAGGTTTCAAAATAATTTATCTCCCTCTTCCTAGTCCTATTACTAGTAAAACTGTCACACTTACTCAGATAAGGTTCATTTAAATTCTTAATAGTCTTTCATAAAATATGCCCACAAAATACCAAGATACTCAATTCTATCACATTTTCCAGTAGAAAAATGCCTGTTTATACAAAACAACACAAAAGTACAAGTAGCATTTATTAAACAAACAACCAACAAATACAAACACACAGGCTGCCAAACTACATTTTTTTTCTCTATGAATATTTCTGTTACTTCTTCATCACAGGAAAAAAAAAAACCTGGAAATTACAAATATTCTAATCATAAACTTTTCCTGGAAATTGGCTAAAAAGTATACTAAACTATTCAATTACAGAAATGAAAACCTCCAATCCAGTTTAAGTTTGGAAACCTTTAAAAGGTTTCTGGTTTAAAATATAAATGTTACCAAGTTAATAGCTCTTCAGTGTCATATAAAGTTGTATCTTTTAGTACGTCATTTAAAACAACCCTAATTTCCTACTATGCTACCTTCCTTTCCATCATTTTTAATCACAAACTGATAAGCCTCCTATGATTATTTTATTGTTATTTTGTATTCCCATTGTATGAAGGTATTACCTTCCAGAATCACTGCTAAAAATAAAATTAGCTGTTCATCAAGATGACCCCTGGAAATACCTTAGCAAATTCTAAGGAATTTATAGATGTAAAGTTTCTCAGTAAATCCAGCACCAGCCTGTTTTCCATCCAGTGTCTGAGCAGATCAGATGTACACCATATTACACACAGTATCTCTAAACATTAAAAACATAGCATGTCTTAGAAAAGGATTGCTCTGAAAATATGTATGGAGGAACTGAGTATAATACAGAAAAGATTTAGATCTGAATGAATAGGACAAACATTTATGATTCAATGCCAAAACAGTTCAGACTACAGGGAACTGGTAGACTGGAACCTTTCCATATTCTAATCAATATGATAGCCCAGTCTCAGACACTAATTTTGAGGCTGTGTCTTCTCTTCTGTACTAAACTTAAAGCAATGAATCACAGACCATTCTGCAACTTTGGTACTTAGGCATTTATTTTAAATTAATATTACTATATAACTTTAACAATTAACATGTGTAATTGAATGTAAAACTTGATTTCAAATAACACGAGGCTTGAAAACAGTCCCTGTATTCCTTCAGCTAGACTGGCACTGTTTTTTCCTCAAATCAAGACACTTTGAAAATGAACAGTGAAAAATTAATAACTTTAATAATTCTGTGAAAGAGGAACAAAAGATAAAACAGGTCTGTTCCTGGTGAACAGAGACCAAGACAGATAGAAGGCATATTAAAACCTTTTTAGCTTAAAGACTAGCTTATCTCCCTACAATTTCTCTTTATACGAACCCCAAGAAGTTAAATTTGTTAAATACTGTTGCTATAGTTTAGATGCTAAATATCTTTCAAATGGCCATGTGCCTGGTCCCTTCGTATGGTTTCCAGGATGGCACTAGTGGGAGGTAGCTCATACTTTCAAGGAATGGGGTCAACTGGGACATCTTTAGATAACTGCGGGTGTGCCCTTGTAAGGGATTATACTAAGAGAATATACCTACCAACTCACTTTTAGAATAGCCTTAGTAATACTCTTAATAAAGACAGCAGACATTCATTAATAATAGAATATAAAATGCTAGGATATATTAACAATAATAATTAATAAATTGTTGCATGAAGGTAAATATAATAATTTTTAAAGTAAAAAAGTTAACAGTCTTGATAATTTTACATGCCAATATTTGTTAAGTGGTGTCAAAACTTATAATAGAATTCAAATATATATACCTTACAAAGTTTTTTTCCAATCACCAATGAGTAAAGAACATTTGTAGCCTCTCAAAATAGCATTAATAAGCTTTTCAATCTCTATACTAAATAAATATGAAATTTTACTAATAGTTTTTATTTTTATTATCTGCATGGCACTCTGAAAGTGAATTACTGGAGGGAGAGGGAAACAAATATGTCATCGCATGCTGAAAGGGAACAGATGACGGGTCACTCTCAGTCCCTCCATACTACGGGAGACTCATTCTTTCTCAGGAAACCTCAGTATCTGCTATGACTCAGCTCAGCTGACACATGGACCTAAAAAAGCTGCCAGAGTCAATATGAATTAAATATTAGTAAATCTTAACTTCTTTATTCTTAAAAAGTAGAGATACTTTTGACTATTGTTTGCATAAATTATTTTCTTATAAACTATATTGAAATGCTGACTATCAAAATATACCAATACTTACATTAATACATGTGAGGTTGAAATCTACTTCAAATAGCAGTAGTTATATTTTATTGTATTTTATAAAAGATTGACAGTAAAGGACAAAGAAACACGGGTAATTATTTTATAAGAACTAAGACTTAAATTGGTCTTTTAGGAGAATCTATGAATTTAAATACAAACTACCAATCAGTTCTGAATAACTTTCTTCAGAAAAATCAGAGCGAAGCAGCAATCTTTAGAGCAGCAAGCTGCTGAGCGCCGAGCCCAGCACTTCTTTTCTGGGTGTGCTTTACCTTTGCTCCGTGCTTATGCAGAACTTCCATGACATCGTTGTGAGCTCTCTCGGCTGCAACGTGCAGAGGTGTCATGAAACTATGGAGAGGAGAAGGCAAAAGGTAATTTCGTCTCTAGTTTTTGTTGTACTTCTTCACGATTTCAACCATTCTCTCTGCACTCACACTTACTCTTTATTTTTTTCATTGACATTCGCTCCTTTTCTAAGTAATAATTCGGTCACTTGTTTTCGTTTGGGGTGTAAGGAGGCCACAGCACAGTGCTGTAAAGTAAACAAAATTAAGTTAATAAAATACGTTTCTATTTAAAAGTACATTTCTGAATTAAATAGCATCTGCTGGCTATTTAGAACACTGCTCATCACAGCATATCAAAGCATAATATAATTTACATTATGGAATGGTCAATGAGCAATATTCCTTCTAAAGTATAAAAGTTATACCAGTCAAATGCTTCAAACATAAACCTGTAAAATCATGGCTGCTCAGGTAAGCATGAAGAGCTCTCATTTCTTTTCCTTTGGCAAAGGAATAAGTATGCAGGTTTATTTCTCTGAAAGCATAAGATACTACCTCTTCAAAGTTACAGAACTCCAGACTAACTCAAGCCTTCATCAGCTGTTGGTCACAAAAGTCAGTTATCTCTCAAACTCTTTCACTAATGTACCCCCAGAAGTATGGGGAATAAGCTTCTATGCCCAGGGACTGGCAAAAGAGCAACAAACCGGAAGCAGTTTGGAAGAAAAAAACAGTCTCAGAAATTTTATGTTTTACTCCAATAATTAATTATATTAGTTTTGCATTCTGTTGCATTTTATGATAATGTCTATATTAAAAATTTAAAAATAAAACTACTTACAATTGAGAAAAATCAGTACCCTGAAAAAGCATGTCAGTTTTATTCTCTGGCTTTGAGCTGTCCTGGTACAATGCTGTGTAGCTTGAATGTACAAGAATTTCAGTTTGACAGACATATACTGAAGAGTACATACAGTTGACCTATTTCAATTTAGTGAATCTTCTAATGTTGTTTTCAGTAAATACTAAATTTTGATCTTCGTGTGCCACATATATGTAAGAATATTATCGCAGCCTTATGTAAAAGTCTGTGATATAAGTATTATGTTTGCTTAAATTCCCAATTCAGAAGCAATTATTGACCAGTCCTGTATCTGAGTGCAGTGTGGTCAATGCCAAAGAAAGAAACGAATCTTTTTCAAAGTGTATTAGACCACAAAAAACCCCAAACCAAACCAAACCAAACAAACAAAAAAAACCAAAGCACTGTTTTAATAACAAACTGTGGAGAAGAACATTCATAACCTTATCACTTTTCTGTGTGAATACAACCAGTTACTTGAAGATAACTGTTCAAAAGAATTATGCAAATATCTTTGAAAATATTTTAATTTCCCACAAAGATATAATATTTATCTAAAAACATTAAAAAAAGCTTCTTACAAAAAGATTATATTTTATATTCTGTAAAGGCACTGGTTACAGAAGACAAAGTAAAATAATTTTCAAATCAAGACTGAGCAAACGTCTATTATTTCATGCATGAAAAGAATCATCCCTGAACCAAATGTAAAAACCAATGCAACCAATGTAAAAATGAAAAACATTATTATATGCTTACATTACAATGTAGGCTCAAAGAATGGTTTAATAAAATCTTACCAGTGCTGTTTCATGAGACTGTGGTTGTTTAAAATTAATGATTTCCAAAGCAAGTGTTTTTTTAACTTTAGCTAGGTCTGCCTCTCTTGCTGCTTGTAGTAAAGAATGACCTTTAAATTCATCTGGAAATAAATGGTTAACATATAAAAGTTTAAAATATATTTAAAAATACTTAGCATGACTATATATAAATAGGAAAATTATTCACTTTACACATTTCTCTATTTTAGCAAAGGCAGTAATATAATAATAATAAAGGCAAATAATGAAAGCATAGATTAATAAAACATCTGAAAAACATATGCTTAAAATTTTGACTATTTGAGGCTGGGGATTTAGCTCAGTGGCATAAGCGCCTGCCTGGTAAGCATGAGGTTTTGAGTTCAATCCCCAGAACCAAAAACAAACAAACATAAAAGACTATTTTATACTCTGAGTTCATAAAGATTCACCTACAAAGACACCACGATGAAGTTTTTAAAACTGTCAACCTAAATGTTCATCAAAAGGAAATTAGTTAAATGATATGTGAATACATACTATGGACGATTTTATGCTCTCAAAAAAGAGGTATCTCTATACATATTGATATGAAAGTATATTGTGTTTTTGACTGTCTTTTGAGACAAGTTCTTGCTGGCTTTGAGAACTTGTTCAGCAATCAAGCTGGCCTTGCAGGCACTATGTTCACAGGCTGGCCTTGAATCTGTAGTGATCTGGCTGCCTCGGCCTTCTGAGTGTTCACATTTTCATAAACCACTTCAAGCAAAGAGCTGAAAGCTGCTCTAAAAAGTACCAGATCCTTTCATGTTCAGACTTTCGTATCTGCATAGTGTTCTTTCTCTTTTCAAATGAAGGGAGGGAACTGTATAAACTGCCATATGTAAGAAGACGGCTTTTGAGAACTGCAAAGGAATGTGACCTATTGAGAAAGGATATCACAAGTGCACGACTGCTGGAATCAACAGTCCAGAGAAATTTAAGCTGAATGTAAATGAGTATGGCTGGTTCTCCATGAAAAAATTCTATGAATATCAAAATGATAAAAGCAATTCTACCTTTTCAGTTAGTCTTTATATTCAGGACAAGTAGTTCAGACAAAATTAAACATTACATATATGAAAAACATAGACTTATACTTAATAAATTATGATGCAATAATATAACTAAATAATACGAAATTATTTCATATAACAGTATAATATTCCTCATCTTTACTCTTCAGAAAAAGGAAAACTGTGCCTAAATTACTTTTCAAATTTAAAATACTTTGTTGAATACTTAAAAAAATGTTAAAACTGGGTATAAAGAATGAAAACTATCAACTACAGTATACAGTTGTGTGAAATTTTCAATGCAAAGATACACAGTAGTTTTTAAAACTTCAAGGGAGTTATTTAAAGTATACAAGAGATATAGAAAAGTCTTTACAAAGACTTTTACATTGTATAAGGTTCTCTTTCCAAATGCATTCTGAAACAAGAGTGGAATTCAGACTATCTTGCTCATTTGGCCTTACAAAAAGAACACATAAAATACAAAAAAAGGTGCGCAATAATACAGTTACTACTGGGCATGATCAAAGTATTGTTCTTACTCATTTCCTATATAATTCTATTTAAACAAGTTCTGCAACTGTGAATGCCTACTATAAAGCAATGCATATGATAATGAAACTGTAGTTAGAAAAGTCCGCTTCAGTGAAGTTTTTTCTTTCAGATAATTCCTTGGGACAATCCTATTTAATATGAAGGTTTTACTTATTAAATAAAATTTCCCACTGAAAAGAATGAAAAGTATTCTAGGGAATGGCTCTTTTTATAAAAGAACCTAAATTTGATTACATAAATTTAGGTTAAGTTTTAAAATGTCTATGGTGGAATAAGACAAACTAGTAAAATACATCAATAATATTTGAAATTTGTAAAATGGTTGAAAAAGAAAAAAGTCAATATATACAGATAAGCTGAGCTAGTATATAAATCAAAAAGAAATTAGGAAACAGTACAAAAGTTTTGCATAGAGTCAAATTCAATTAATAAACCTGCTGAACAAATAGTGTACGCGCTTGGGTGAGATTCAGTAAAGAAGAGGGCTCCAACACAAACAGCACCACACACTTTTCTCTTAGGGAGCCAGGAACTAAACAGGTGTGAAGACAGAAACAGGAAGGCAAAGTCTTTCTCTTGTAGGATTCAGATTTCCCTAGCAAGATAGAATGCATATAGAAAAATGAACTATATAATGCAAAATAATACACAGCAAGCATCAGGGTGAGTGGGAGAGAATAAACAAACCAATCAAGGATTCACTACAAAGACACCTGCCCAGGTACAATTTGGTCTAGACTTATAACCCCATTTGGGTATCAATATAAATTTAAATTTCCATATAGGGTCAAAATTATAAAGAATTCTACTTTAACATAAGCTGGTTTAAAACTTGTTAAACATAAATGATGTTGGAATCATTCTGACTATGTCTTTTCCTTAAATTATTGCTTAACAAAGATTTTCTTAGGGATTCCCAATACAAAAAAAAAAAAAAAAAAGATTTTGTTTGGTTGTTTCTGATTTTTAGAATTCTGAAAGTAAGACAGAAAGAATCATGGGACAAATTAAAAATCAAGTAGATGATATTACATATAATTTAAATCAGAAATGTCAACACATAGTGGTAAATACATATAATATGACATCCTAAATGGGAATGTAAAGCAGAAAAAGGACTTCAGGTAAAAAATTAAGGAAACCTGAAGAGTGTGATTTATTAATTGTGATAAAGTATTAGTAGTACAGGACACCGAGTATAAATAAATACATGAGATTCCGATACTATCTTCATAAATAATCTGCATATCTAAAATAAAAAGGTTATCTAGAAACATACTTATATATGTATAGGTAACAGTTATCAATTTGAGAAAATTATTTCTATCAAATGATAACTATTATCTCAAATATATATTAAATTTGGGCCAATCTGCACTTGGGCCATACCATACATAATGTTTATGACTGAACTTTGCAAGGCTTGGAAAAGAGTGCTCAATCGTGTGAGAAAAATACATACATGTGAGTCTCTCCCGGAGCTCAGGAGTTGGAGCCATATCCACAGCACTTTTGCCATGGCAGTTGACGAGTGTGGGGTCAGCACCATGGCTGAGTAACAAGGAGCAGACTTCTACACGATTTTTGGAAGCAGCCTCATGGAGTGGAGTGAACTGCCAGAGATCCATAGCATTAACACAAGCTCCATGCTGGATAGAGGAAAAAAGTTTCCAGTTAGGCAGCACTTTGCTGGATCAAATCAAACTCGGAAAACATTTATTTCATTGTAAATTTCAGTTACAATTTTCAAAAATGTTATTTAAATTTTTTATTTTAAAAAAAGTTTAATTTGAGTATTGAAGATATTTTAAGCAATGGTAGTATTTTTAAAGACTCTTATTTTCTTAAAATATTGGGTAAAAAACACATGAAACAATGACAAGTTTTTTTTAAACAATGAACGATATTTTAAATTTATTTTTACCTTTAGTAGCAGTTCTGTGACTTCATAATGTCCATATGAGCATGCATTATGAAGAGGCACCAGTCCACTAATGAAGAGAGTCACATTAAAATACTTAACTTTCAAACATTTTGTGGTTAACTATCCATGGCGTGCCAAGAAATAGAAGTCTAGTAAGTCTCAATAAAAGTATATTAAAAATATTTTAGTATTTAATAAAACAGTTCAAAACATAGATGATATTCACTTTTATATTTATCTTGTATTTATATAATCGTTAACAATAAGAATATTAATTACAAGAAGAGTCAGGTAAAAGAAAGATCATATGCTAATTGATAATTGTATGTTTTTATTATTTACAGGAAATGTTAATTGATACAGAACTGAAATATTCCTAGTAAGTTCCAGCATTAGGAATCCAAGTTATACCTTGGATATCAAAGTATTCTAAATGAGTAAAACCTCCACCTTTCATGGTGCACTTCTATTATGACTCACCTACTATACATTCATGTTTTCAGACATGTACAAGAAATAGAGATGTACAAGAGCATCAGGCATTTAGGACGCTGTACTTTCGGGGACTCCATTCATAAAAGGCACAAGACTTGGAGCAGGCAAAAGAGAAGCAGCACCACAAAGAGCAGATGTCAAATGGATGGATTCCTACTCTAATTGTTATCTTAAGTGCTGAGTCCTTTGCTTATGCTTCCTGATGTGGGAAGGCGGGTGGTACACAGTGAAAGTCCTGCTCCAGGGCATCTTTTCGGGGTTCCTCTGCCAACTACAAAAAGGTAATGTACCTGGTCTGGTCAATTATCTTTTAGATCTTGTGAGACAATGAGAAATGTGTTCCCTTCATCTAGGAGACCAAACCCAACGTTCATGTGTTCCTGGAGACTACAAAGTTTCCCAAAATTTACCAATTCATAAAATAAATGACGTAACTGACTTGTGGCTTTCACCTATTTCTCTCCTCTATTAACATGGACATTCTAGGCTTTGTCAGTTCAGATGTCCAAGATTTCATCAGGAAAAAAATTCCTCCAAATTAAAATATTGCATATTTCTGATTTTGGTTTATTAATAAGAGATGATCCTTAATAACAAATGATTGTGAGAGCTCTGCTACCAGAATATCAGAAATTTCAACTTATTTTATCTTTCTGAAGTGCAACTTGAAAGTTGAAAACTAATGACTGCAACTGAGAGGCAGATTTTTAGCTTCAAATAATAGAATTAAACTTATTTAGGTAATTTTAATAGACATCTCTGTAATAAGTAGATACATGAAAATAAGGCCTGAAATCAAAGTTGTGACAATTCTTAGTGAGTTATATGATTTAAATTTCAGGGTTAGCAGAGATGATGAAATCAAAGTCTAAAAATCCATAAACAAATCATTAAAGGTCAATGTAGTGATAATTTACCCTTTGTCTTTTGCATGAACGTCTGCACCATGCTGAAGAAGCAGTTGAACTATCCGAACTCGGTTGTAGCCTGCTGCCAGATGTAAAGGAGTAGACTGCAAAAGAGAAAAAATACATCTCTCTCATCAGGTAAATACTTTTAATGTTAAGTGCATATAAAAACACACAATGAACATTTCTGTATCACCAAGCAATAGAAACAGACAAATTTCTGCTTTCAGAAGCAGGTCACATGTTATTACAAATGTTACTTTCAGGATTATTAGGTTATTTTCAGGATTGTTATTTTTCTTTTATTTTAGAATGATACTTTTCACTGTTATGTGAAATTTAGATTAATCTTTTTCCTTCCTTTACAAAAAAATAGTATTTTAAAGATGCTGCCCCATTGTCCTTTGGGCTGCAATGTTTCCAGACTAGCAATCTGCCACCACCCTTATCTTTGTCCCTTTGTACCCACGCTTCTTTCCTTAAGATGTTTTAATATTTTTTCCTTATCCTGGGATTTAAGCAATTTGATTATGAAGTACCTTAGGCAAAATTTTTCTTCATGGTTTTTTGTTTTGATCCTTAGGACTTTCTAAGGTTCCTGAATCCAAATTATTTTTAGTAAATTTGGAAAACTTTTAGTTACTATTTCATGAATTTTTTCCCTACTTTCCTGTCCCAACATTCTCTCTTACAGTGACTTCTATCAGACATACACTACATTGCTTAGGTCTTAGGCAAGAGCAGAACAGCCTTTAGGATAGGACTGCTTTGCCCTATTACTAAGGTCTTGCCTTTCTGAGTACATTATAATATTCCAGGAATTATTAGGGTCTTCCAGTCTGTCTGGCAACAACAGAAACTACTGCAGACTCCATGAGATGCTAGGATTGCAACCTCTAACTCTTTTGTGTGGCTCTTTATTAGCATCCAGTAATTTCTTCATACATGTATTAAATTGGCCCCAGCTGGAGACCTGGGGGGACTCTTGGCAGGTCTCTCTTACCTGATCCCATGCCTTAGTCACTTCTCACCACCTTGTGCCATTTGAGAGGGTACTGATGGCCACAGGTGGGCTGGTAAAAGAACTCAGTGATACACAAAGAATGTAAAAAAAACAAGAGCTTATTTACATCAGGATATGCTATCTTACAGGGCAAGCTGGTGAGTTTCCAAAAGAGGACTCCAGTTAGGGCAAGGAGTTGGGATTTTTATTAGGGTTTAAGATATGAAAAAGGGGTCTGGGCAGCAAATGTGATTATCTGAAGAAAGTCTTTCTGGGTCATTGAGCCCTGTGCAGATCTCCTGGGAGCACTTGGGTAGAACTTAAAATTGCTTAGAGGCAACTCAGACAAAGCCATTCTCCTTCAATCCACAGAACACTTTTTGGCTTTAGATAACAAGGTCATAAGGAACTCTACATATGCTTTAGAAAAGATGGGTTGGGACTCTCTGGAGGCAGGGATGAGCCTGTTGCTATCTTATGACCATCTTCTAAGAGAGGGAGGTCTTTAACCAGAGTTCTCTGTTACCAGATGGCGTTAGAGAGAGTTCAGCTACTAAGGCTTTTAACACTTTTCATTGCCAATCCACAAGTCCTACACCTCGGTCTGCTCAGACTCTCATTCCACCTGAACCATTGGACACCATCAGGGCCCCTCCATGTTAAGTTTGGAAATACTTTCTGTGCAGTAAATTGGAGCAGCTGCACAGCTCACCTTACTTGTCCCCCTTTCAATGGGTCACTGTCATGTACTTGCTAGTATTCGATGTCTAGCAACCACTGTTTCAGATACACTGTGTTTTCCTCGGTTTGAGGAAAGAAGGTAAATTCTGTCCTTTTTATTCCATTCTGGCACTTGTAGGTAGTCTGTAAAGTAGTCTGTAAAGTAGGCTTGGGAGCTTCCCCCAGAAACAAGGACTGTTTTGGGTAACGGTCAGTAAGCTCTCATAGGGCTGCCACTTAATATTTCATGGAAAAGGTAGCATCTCTAGCTTGAACAAAGAAAGACATTACTGTTTTATATTGTCTTTTATATAATTTTATTTGTACATAGTTGATTTAATAATTTCTATTTCTGAAAAAGAACAAAGTCCCTAAATGAATGGAGACATATGTGCTTATACTGACAGTCTGCTTAAAAGGCCAAAATGTAAGAATAACAATCTAGTTCCAATCTTTTTTTAGTCTGTAAAGTAGAAATCATTTACAATGCTTTGAAAATAGTAGCATTTAGTTTTCAAAATGTTGAAATTCATATAACTCAGATAAATGAGAAGCTCTTATAAATAGTGACAGGAAGCTTAAAATGAGGCGGCTGTAAAAAAGTGGAGTTAAGGAATAATTTTCTTTTTTTTTTTTTTGTCTTTTTCCTTTTTGTTGGTACCAGGGATCGAACTCATGACTGCCTGCTTGCAAGGCAGGCGCTTATGCCGCTGAGCTAAATGCCCAGCCCCAAGGAATAATTTTCAAAAACTATTAGGAAGCCTTATTGATAAGACTCTAAAGACTGATGTATATAAATATCCTCAGTTTGGAAACGTCAATGACAGAAGAATAGAAGGGGGTGGTATAGAAACAGGATGGGAGGGACCCTGAGGAAAACAATTTGGAGGTTAGCACTAAATTTAAAGTGCTTACATGACACCATAGTGGCTATCCCAGAGTGAGTTTTACATATACAAAATTACAATTCAGAAGAGGTTACGGCTGACGACAAATCTGGTCATAACTGGTATCATTTAAAATATTTCAGCATCTGCCATGTTTGTGACACCCTGTTAATTGGCAGGAATAGTGTAATAACCATGAAATGTTCAGTAAGTTGCCCCTATAGAGGCTTTTTTGCAGGTCAGGGAGAATCGAGACCAGCAGTGCTGGGGATTGAACCAGGGCCTTTGCATTGAGATACAGTCTCCCAGTACTGTTACAATTTTTTTTTGACAGAGTCTCACCGAGTTGCTAAACTGTCCAGAATACCCAGGCTTTGATGTGTTTGATCACTCAAACTTGTGATCCTCCTGCTTCACGCATTCACTAAATGAAATGTAAATAAACAAATTTATTCAGAAAGACAAAAGATGGAAAAGAAAACTCTAGTTTCTATAGAGTGAAGTGCCTCCAGAAAGCAGGGGCTCCATCCCTGGGTGAAACAATGCAGAAAGGGTGCCACAGCAGAGGCGAGAACCTGAGCACTCTACCGGTGGCCAGTGTGAAGCAAGCGCCAGGGGAGACTGAGAACCACTCTCTGAGCTGAGGCTGGAGGATAAAAAAAAAAAAAATCTAAGGTTAGAATTTACCATATGGAAAATAAAACAGAAAACAGGAACAAACCTATGGCAAGAACACCTCAACAAAAGGCTATGGGATTAATCCAGAAGAGAAATGACTCAGTCAGCAGTGTGAACGGCACTGAATCAGCAGTAGGTGAGCATGAGAGTGACAGGCTCACAGGAGTGAGTAAAGCTGAGTGAGACTTTCCACAGTGGAAGCTAATCCTGCAGCCTAAATGGTATCAGCAGAATACGTACAAATCAGTAAAATGCAAGAAATCAATCTCAGAAAATGGAAGAAAACAAAGCAAAGAAGTATAGACAATTTGAGAACAAAGGATGATTTGAACAAGCTTATGCCACAAAGAGCTCAGAGGTTTTTCAAAATATAGGAAAAACATTTATAACTGTTATTTGCCAAATGTTGTCTTCTGACATGTAACCTAGACTAAACTTATGAATGTTTCCATCATCTTGTCAAAATTATACCCCAACTGCCAAAGAGCAAGGCAGTGATAAAAGTGATTTCCTGATTGCTACGATAATTAACAGACTATAATTTTGGTTTTGGATATATAAGGGAGAGCTATTTGTAAAATCCTCACACATGTTACCAGATCATTGATGGTAGTCATAAACTAGCAAATGCAAGAATCAAACATTTAAGACATCAACACACACAAGCACAGCAATCACTGCCAGTTTAAATATGTCATGTTTACTCTAAAAACAGATGCTTCTTTGGGGAAAACTTGAAAGACAAACACGTAGAATAGTAAAGTAAGAAACTACTGGAAATATATAAACTCCATCTAAAGATCATTCTGCTGCAATATAAACAGGGCTGACAATGTAGCTCAGTGCAGAGGGCATGGGTTTAATCTCCAATATTATTATTTTGTGTGTGTGTGTTTTTCATTTTTATTGGTACCGGGGATCGAACTCACGACTGCCCTGCTTACAAGGCAGGTGCTGATGCCGCTGAGCTAAATCCCCAGCCCCTCCAATATTATTTTTAAAAATTACAAAATACCAACAGTGTATGACAAATCATTATCTTCTCTTATTCTGTCTTCAGACAATGATCTTGCAAAATATCTGAGAAACGTCACTACCAATATCTTCATGCTACAAAATGTTCACATAAAAAATCCTTAAAGAAGTCTCATAATTCAAAGTTTTCCTCTTGAATTCTGGCTTTAAGAAAAAAATATAAATGTAACTATTGTTGCTGAAATGTCAGTTTACACATAAAGCAAAGATAGTTAAATACATATTTTTTTCCTTAAAACCAGAATAACTCTACTCTAAGCTCAGTGGCAACAGAGAATACATCTTAATCTTATGTTTCTAATGCTTAACATAATACCTCATATATACAGGTATTATGTTAATTTTTAAAAATGAATGTGCTACTAGGGAGGGTGGTGTGTGCTTATAATTGCAGCACTCAGGCTGGGGCTGGAAAAATGCTGCAAATTTGAGACCAGCCTGAACTACATAATAGAGTTCTGTCTCAAAACTCAAAAAACGAAAAATTAAAAACAAAAAGAATGAAACATTGTCAGTTTTTGATTTGTATTACTAAAAAGAAACAGGAAGAATATGGCTAATGTACCTGGGCAAATTTGACTCTAAATTTGTGTAAGAGTTAAACTGACATTTCAACACAGGCACATGTGACATTTGATGTATTCTCTAGGAAAAATTAAAACCACAACTGTAAAGCTATAATGTAAGTTATCAGAGCCACACAACCTATGTTGTACAGGGTATTTTGTTTTCCTATGAAGGGAAGAAGTAGTCTATATCAGACCCTCTGGGATCTTCTAAA